AAGTGTTGTGGGCTGTGTTCGGATGGAGATCAGCACAGCATGACATGTGCAATAGCTACACACATACTGGGTAGTAAACTGGAGCAGGAACCATGGCTGATTTGTGTGCAACTTGTATAATTCAACTGTCCACTGAACAAACCCCTGAACCACCAGAAACTGCAAACGTTATTTTCAAAATGGCGCCCTGTCAAGCACACTGATGACAGTCGTCTACAAACTGTTACCTGTCTGACTTGCCGACTGTGAAGGACATACTGCGGTTCCCAGCTGCTTGCCGGTTCTTCTTTCCTTTCTAAACCAGAAAACATTTGGTCAGCGGCCGAACGGCCTTTTTCCCCACAAATCTCTATGGTTCCGATCACCAGGTAAAGGCGGCTGGAACCATGAACGATGACGTCAAAAAGCAGAGACGGGTACGGTCAGCAAATAGGGATGATAAGCTTGCAAATTACTACAGAAATACTCGTTTAATGTTCTCTTTCATTTGAACATGCTATAAACCAGAATGTCCTGGTCAGCTATTTACTCCGCTGCACACGCAGTTTAGCAAAGTCTCGATCTCTTTAACTTTAGACAAATTAAGCTGAACCCAGGCATCGTTTTGTTGAGGTTCTCACGTGCAGATTGAGGACCTGTCTGAAGGTGCAGTGCAGATACCAGATTCCGCAGCAGCAAACGTACCTTAGAGTGAGGTCCATCCGCTGACATATTGGGATCAAAATGTGCAGGACCTGGAGTCTTGCTGCCACCTAACAGATAAAAAATAAATCCAAAACACAATAAAGCACAAACAACACCCAAGATAACACATCTCAGTCAGTGAAGCGCTTTGAGACGTCTCAAAGACGTGACAAGGCCCTGTATCAAATGCAAGGATTCTTATTATTACTCTTCACTCTGCCAGACCTTGTGGGTTCCAGGCCCATGTTATACCCTGAGCTCACAGTCTAGGCTGACAATCCAGTGGACTACCAGCTGAACACTACATTGTAGGGACTGCTATTCAGATGAGACGTCAAACTAAGATACTGCCTTCCTGTGTAGGTGAATGTGAAAGATCCCGCGGCGCTATTGGAAAAAAGAAGAGATTCTCGAGTGTCCTGGTCAACAATCCTCCAGGTACATTTATGCTCTGCCCAATATGGCTGCCATCTTTACAATACAAATTTACATTTTTGTAGCATTTTTCATGTTGGGAGGATGTCCTAAATTGCTTAACAATACCGGCTTGGCACCCGAAGCTGCGGTGAGAGCTGAGCGAGGTGGAGAGGGAAAAGATGGTCCATCTTTCTCTAGAAGTACATAGCCACTACACTTCACGTAGATTTGTTTGAATTGCTTGGGGACGTTTCAATGTGATAAGGTGTGATGCGAAAATACAAGATCTAATAGCTGGCTGGCTTGAGAACAACAGAATCAGTCTGCATGCACAGGGCTAAGTTGGTATGTAATTAACATTATGCCTCAACAGTGTTTCATTTCAACTGTTACAGAAACCTTACGAAGATCTGAAGATCGAATGACAACCTACCAGCAAACACTTTGAAATCGGACTTGCTGTAGTCGAACGCCATGAAGGGTTTGGGGTTTTGCTGCTCGTCTCTCCTCATGGCGGCTGGCGGCCTCTTCTCCGGCGGTGCCATCACTTTCTCCGTTGCGCTCTTCGCTCGCTCTCGCTTCTTGCCTGCTTGCTGATCAGCTGACTTCTGTGGGGGGGAGAAAAGAAGAGGAAGGTTAAGGCGCTAACGGCTTAGAAACTTAGTAATTTACAGTGCTGGAGACTGTTCGGTCAGTCTAGTCTGCAGCGGCTCTCAGAGCAACTGCTTCATACAAACCCACTGCCCTGCCCACCCTACCTCCACACCCTTCAAGACCTTAACTTTCATAAACCTGCCTACTTCCCCCTTGAAACCCACCTTATTCAACCGAGTCAAGATGTCATTCAGCACTGCTCTTGCGCACGGGTCAGAAAGTTGTTGGTTCAAGTCCCATGACAGGGACTCACTGTGTGCAGTTAAAAACAAAAATTTGCAGCACAGAAGGGCATTGAGCCCCTCAGGTCTGTGTTACTGTTATATGAGCTAACACTCTTTACTAAATTCGAGCCAGGATGTACTTTTGAAAAGAAATCAAAAATACAGTAGACTGGAGTATAAAACATTACCAGGGTTCATAAAATCCTAACTCATCTTATAGTCTTCGAGACGTCTCAATGCGCTTCACAGGGTATACTGTACAGTGAATTGACTGTATAGTTTGCGGGCGAAACGCGGTAGCCAATTGCTCACAGCAGTGTCCCACAAACAGTCGTGGATTGAGTGACTAAATTCTTATAATTTTTTTGAGGGATTATTACCCCCAGAAAATGGATCCAGGAACCCAGATCCTCTCGCTTGTGAGGCAAGCACAAGTACAACTAAGCTATAAAGTTTACGCAAAATCAGACACTAAGCTGACCAAATAAAATTGAAATTGACCACCCTACGAAGCAGACCTTGACGCCTGCCTTACCTCAGCTTGTTGTTGCTGTCTGACTGACAGCAGGTCTTGGACCGCACTTTTGTAATCCTGCTGCACCTGCTGCCTCACGGCTGTGAGAGAAAATAATGAGCTTTAATATCACTTAGTCATAACTCAAGAAACGCCACACAGCATTCTGTTTGGGGGTGGTGGGGGAGGGGGCGGGGGAGACAGTGGCGGCAACATTTTTAGTCACATTGTTAAAATCCTAATTCTGATCTCAAATCCCTGCAAGGGCTAATCCTTTCCTACCTACAATATCTCCTCCAGCCCCGTTCTCCCTCCTGACTGTCTGTCTGGATCTCTGGAGTCACAGCTGACCTTGGTTCGGTTTCCAAGGGACGACCAGTAGGAGACAAGTAGCAATGAATGGCTGATTTCCCCTCTGCGGCCCACAGTTACCAAAGCCATTTGTAAACTCTTCTACCGTGGCTGAGATAATAATAATAATCTTTGCATTTGATACAACGCCTTATCATGTCTTTGAGACTTCTCAAAGCGCTTCACAGAAGTGTAAAGTGAATTGACTATATTTTGTGGGCGAAAAGTGGCAGCCAGTTGCATACAGCCGTGGACTGAGCAACCAACTTGTTTTTATTTATTATAAATAAGATCACTTAATTCAGCATTGAAAATCTAATCAAAACTCCAGATTGCCTGGTCGATCCAGGTTTGTGCTACAATGAGTATTGCCTTAAACCACTGGGCTGTTGAACAGACCCTCTCCAAACCTCTCTTTACCATCACCCACCACACAACCATCAGCATATACGTCAAACTAAACAAACAAAATCCCAAATCGTTGCAATGATTGATTACTTGGGATTGTTTATTTATTGTTTCAGGGATCTGGGAGCTAGCCTGCGTGAGGGGCGCTATATAAATGCAAGTTGTTATTTTCAGATCAACGTTGTTTCTTTTGATTGAGTCGTTAATTCCTCTCCCTTCTCCGTCCACTATTACAATAAACTAGTTTTTTCCTGGTTTATGCCCCCTCATCCTATCAAAAATTCAGTTTGATTGGCTCCCATCTCAATTTTGATGGGACATTTGCCTCCGTATCAACATACACTTCATTCTTAATTAATTTCATGTTGTGAAGTGCTTTCACAGCGTTCAAAGCGCTAAATTGAAAACTGATGAGCGGCTTCACACAACCTGCAGGATTGGGTTTGTTATCTTTCTTCTTCTCTTCCTTCTGATCCTTTGCCTCTTGCTGCTGAGGATCTGGGCTCTGTAGCTTCCACCTGTGGCTAACCTGCAATTACATAAGAAGGAAAAGGACCTTAGTTGTTGTTTGATGAACGCTGATCTTTCAATAACCTGCCAATATTCGCACTGAAGAATCTTGATTCACTGAGCTCGAGTGGAAGCAAGCTCCAGTTCCATGACAGGACATAAGTTTAGAGTCTGGGCTGACACTCCAGTGTGGTATGGGGTAGGAGCTGCAAACCTCCAGGTGAGACATTAAAAAGTTTTTCTCGATGTCCTGAACGAGAATTCTCCAAATTAATTTGTTATCCTTCTCAAGGGACCTTGCTGAGAATAAAATGGCTGTTTTAGTTGCTTTCGAAAAACACCCTTTGTCTTCCGTTTAAGCCTTTTTGTAAGGGATTCCCAGGATTGTAGCTTCAACCACCCTCCCTGGTAACCCGTTCCAGCTGCAGATTCTGTTCTGTGTGTAAAAAAAACTTCCTGGTGTCCAACCTGAGCTGGTCTTCAATGGATTTTCATGTGGGGGGGGGGGGGCAATCACATGCTGTGAAGCATTTCTAACTGAAAATAAAATCACAAAATAAAATAAAATGCCACAACCTCTAATCACCAGAACGGTAAGTCTGTTACAATGGTCTGATACAACTGGTCAGCCACAATATCACAAGAATTGCTCGGCCCATTTCATCTTACCTTCCAGAAACACCATATAACATTATCTTAAATGAGAACAATAATTTATATTCACATTACACGTTTCACACCAGGAGAATATCCGAAGGTGGGACAGTCGAGGGTTTGACCCGAGCTGGGGGTTGGATTCAAGAAGTGCGAGTGCCAAGGGGGGAGGGGTGGGAAGAGGGGGTGGTCAAAAGGGAAGATCTTGAGATGACCTTGATCCAGCCATTAGCCTCTGTGTAAGGATGTACTTCCTGGTGTCCGTCATGAAATCGTTGTCAACCTATCTGAATCTGGGATTATAAATCCTGCTCTTTGGCATATCTGAATATATCGCTCTGGGTTTATTTTCTCAATCCCATTGATAGACTCTTCTACACCGCGAAGTCCTGTTTGAGACCTATATACAAACGTTCCTGGTTGTTCACAATTACTTACTTCATACACCTTGGAGGAAGGGTCAAACTTTGCTGCTTCAGAGATGTATATGTTACTGTCTTTGGATGAAAGGTACTGAAACACAAACACAAAAAATTGGTATATTATTGAATAAACTGACAAACTAATGCTCTTTTACCCGTTGCTGGGTTCCCAACCTTCGGTTTACCATTTAAACGTCCTTTGTCCGATACTTTTCCTCAGGGTCCACCAACCTTGGGTTTGAGGCTCAAATCATCTCTGATAATCAAAGTCCTACAAGGGAGTGACTTAGAAATACAGATGACTTGGACGCAGTTTGTTTAGTAGTCATGCATGTGGAACCCCATCACTAAGCTTAAGAGTGTCCAAACCAGACAGAGCTCTATGTATGTGTCACCTACACATGGAAATTTCCCCGTTTCTGGAGTGGAATGCGCCCTCTTGAGGGATGAACGCTTACCAAATTCCAGAGGGTATTGGCGCAAGTTGATGAGAACCAAGATATGGGCAGCAGAATGTGGCTTGGGGTAACTGCTTGGTGTCTACCAATTAAAACTGCATAGCTTGCCATCATTCACGCAATCCACCCCCAATGGGCAAAATTGTAATGGTTTTATGGATTAAAGAATCCTTTTAAGAAAAATAAACTCCAATAATAATAATAATCCTTGCATTTGAGATAGCGCCTTATCTCATCTTCCAGATGTTTCAAAGCGCTTCACAGAATATACTGTAAAATGAATTGACTGTATATTTTCTGGGCAAAACGCAGCAGCCAATCGCGAACAGCAGTGTCCCACAAACAGTCACGGATTGAGTGATCAAATAATTTTTTTTGATGGAATTATTACTCGGAAAAGCGATCCGCCAATCGACTACCTAACTTACTGCTGGGTAAACAGAGGCGTGTGGAGTAAGGAAACTTGCCCAACTTTTCGCCCTGCCTGGGAATCAAGCCCAGATCCCTTGCAATATTACTAAATAAATGTTTACAGAGTTCAAAATAACATGCGGCATTTGAAAGCAATTATAAAACCTTTAGTGGATATAAAATGCAATTTTGAAATGCTCAAATCAACTTCCACTTTCTCGCTTAGCAATTTGGCCAGAGGAAGCGGAAACGGGATGGCCTGCTCACCATCCTAAACGGGTTCTCAAATGATTCTAAAATCAGCCGAGCTTTCTGCTGTGCCACTGTCAGGATTTCCTCCTCCGCCTGGGCCTCGGTTGGATACTGTGAGAGCAAAAGAGGTCAGTTGTTAACACTTGGGCAACCTGCCACACACATTGTTCCTGCAAGTTCCATTGTTTGTTCTCACACTTGGGTTCAAATCCATTCACTCCCTGGCACCTCCCTCCCTCTCTGACCCCCTCACTCTCCAATTCACCACACAGCGCCTCCGCTCGACTGGCACCGGCCTCCTGCTCGTCCCTCACACCCTCTGCCCAACCATCGGAGGTCGCGCTTTCAGCCACTACGCCCCAAACCTCTGGAGCATTCTCCCTCAATCGTTCCGCCTTGCCCCCTCTCGAGATCAAGTCCTGCCTGAAAACTTTCATCTTCGACCGTGTTAACAGCCTTCTCCCACCGCCCCATGGCTCGGAGTAGGCTCCGCCACTGTTAAGCGCTCTAAGAAATCTACTCTTGGTGGAAGGTGCTGTATAAGTACAAGTTGTTGTTTATTGTTGTTGAGTTGGAATATTTTTACTCTTTTCCACCTGGCCACAAGTCTTACTTAAAACTTGCTCCAATCAACCAGACATTCCATTCACACAGCCCCTAACGTGGCATACAATATCTAAAAGCGCTTCTTAAATATAACAGTAGATACAAAACAGGGAAATAAGAGTGAGTTTTGAATTCATTCCTAGCTATTCCCCTCACCCACCCAACACAAATACCTGGTGGCTTAAGCCCCTGCCCAATACAGCACCATCCCATACAGATTGGATGATTGTAGGTTTGAATTGCTAATCTGTACTGAGTTCACAGGCCTTTGGTTGCCAATGGAAAATTAGCCAGGCTCCCTGTTACTGATCGCTATCTGGAGACAACCACGACATCAGCCGAGGACAGGCTGGGGTCTGTGATGCTCTGCTGACACTCACACGTGAACAAACAACGCAAGGTACCTGAGGGTGCCCGCTGTGGTGGGACAGCAACTTAGTAAGAATGCTCACGGTACAGTGCGCAATATTGACATTTGCTTTAGTCACTGAAACGCTTACCTCAAAAATAGTGACGGTGGCTCTCGCACTGAGGGAGGAAGCCGGTTCCACGTCCACTCGCTCGTCCTCCAAGTCCAGAAACAGAGAGCACGTTTCAACCATCGGCACTGGAACAACAAGCCATTGATTACCAGTCGTCCATTCACTCACTTCCTCTTTCACTGCACATCTTGATGGCTGGCACCTTTTCAATCTAGTAGCCAGGGCTACAATTGCCTACGTTTTTATACTTGCTTATGATAACGAAACATCGCAAACTCCTTCATACCAATTACTGTTGTGAGGGAAAAACTGGCATCAGGCATAGACACAATGGTAAATTCACAGAGAATGGGCTTTGCTCCAGTGGAGCAGCTAGTATCAGTGTTGTCATGATGGAGGAGAAGTAGGAGGTTGGGATTAGAGTAGAACTCCAGGTCCAGGGGAGCTGGTACCTGTGCACACACGATAATAATAATCCTTGCATTTGACTTAGTACCTATTTACTGCTTTAGTTAGGTAAACAAAAATAACGTCAAACTACATTTGTATAGCACCTTTCATGTCGTCCCAAGGTGCTGTACAGTCAGGGATCCGCACCCGAGCTGGTGGTTGGGATCAGGAGGGGTGGAGGATGGGGAGGGTAGGGGTAGAAGGGTAACTGAAGGCACGGTCGAAGAGGGGGTTCTTAGAGACGAACTTTGAAGGAGGCAAGGGAGGTTGAGGGACTGTGGGATGGAAGTCCAGAGGGTGGTGGCAGAGAGGCTGAAGGCCCGTCCACCAATGACGGGGCAGGCAAAGCGGGGGACATGAAACAGGCCGGAGCCCGCTGAGCAGACAGATTGGTAGGGGGTTAGGAGGCCACAGAGGTAGGAGCGAAGCCACGGAGGGCTTTGAAGGTGAACAGAGACGTATGGAGTAAGGAAACATGCCTAAAGTTTCGTCCCACCAGGAAATCGAACCCAGGTCCTCTCGCTTGTGAGGCGAGCACGCTAACCACTACACTACAGGACTCTGACATGTTGATGTATGTCTGCCAATTATGGCCTGTTATAGTGCTGGTTGAGATTTTACAGACCGTCTCTCCCTCCACCCCCCACCCTGCGCGCGCGCGCGCGCACACATATACACGCATACACAGGTAACACCCTACCTGAACCTGAGGCAATCGGGGCATCTTCTTCGATGAGATGGGAGCTATCGTGAGGTCCGAACAGCAGGTTCTGTATTTTCTGTAAATACATAGCGAGAGCTAACAAACTACACAATATGTTACTGATTCACTCACAAACAGTCACTCATCCCAATAAGGCCACTCAACCTCCTAAAGGATTTTTGATATACCGTTCTCCACCCCCCACCCCTTCAATTTTCCCCTTTTAGACTGAAGGCGTTGGCTCTCGCTAGCCTCCTAAATCCATCCCTGTTGTTGAGGTGTAATGCCACACAGCAAACGACAGCAGGGGATTTCAACTTGTCACAACCCAATCTGGGCGTTTACAATCGGAGACTTTCGAGCACCAGTCTGTGGGCCAATGTTTCTGCTCTGCCTAACCCAATGGCCCGAGGTCAATTGCTCAAATGAAATTCCAAAATTTAACAGATCCAATCAGATATCACACTTCTAATTAGTTAGGAAACATGCATTTTCACTCCTATCTCTACGTGGGGTTGGAGAGCAGAACCTCTTCAATAAAATGATGCTGTGAAATGCAGATATTTAACTAGCACCGGAACATTCTGAGCTAACAGCTTACCTCTGGCTTCAGCAATGGGCTTTTCTTCTGTGGTGCTTGTGTAGGTTCTGACTAGAGAGGGGAAAATGAACAGTTAAAGGTTCAGTTTCAGGTGTATGCAGACTAGACTCAAAACTAGGTTCATTTGGGGAGCAGCTGAGGGCTAAGCCATTAGTGCAAAATATCTCTCACTGTGAGCTGATGCCAAAAACTACCTTAAAACCATATTGTAACATGTAAAGATTTAACATGTAAAGATGATGCAGGATCTTGGAAATTCCTAAAATTCAATTTTATTTGGGAAATCCTTTTTCCCCCACAAGAATGAAATCCACAAGAATGAGGACTCCCAACTTGTCAAAGTTTTGGCTTTATATGACTGAGGATGTGCCCATCCAGAGCAAGTCTATCTGGTGATGATCCATTGAAAATGTCTTGTCATGTTGCCTCACAACTAGTTCAACCCGAGGAAGACTCCGCTTACCTTCCTCTCCCCCTCCCTGCCCAAGCACAGATTTAGACATGGATCTCAAAAAAAAGTAAATGATCAAGAGGACAGATAAAACCCAGAACCTCTGACCTGGTCTGGTAGCCAACCCACTAAACCAAACAGATAGAACAATTTGTCCTTTCAAATAGTCCTCAGTATTTGTCCTTTGTTATCAGCAATTAGGTGTTCATAGAATTATACAGGAGGCCATTCGGCCCTCCTTGTCTGTGCAGGCCCTTTGAAAAGAACTATCCAAATCAATCCCACTACCACACTCTCTCCCCATAGTCCTGCAAATTTGTCCTCCCCATAGTCCTGCAAACTTGTACTCCCCATAGTCCTGCAAACTTGTCCTCCCCATAGTGCTGCAAACTTGTCCTCCCCAGTTACTGTTTGTAAAACATTGATGGGTTGAACCTCATATGATTATTTACTTCTCTCTTAAAAGTTGTTATCAAATCGGCTTCCATCAACCTTTCAGAAGGGATAGATTAGATCACAGGATGACTGTTCAACTCATCAAATTTACTAGATCATGGCTGATCTGCAACTTAGTACCATTTCCTGGCGTTTCATCATATCACTTGATACCCTCACCATCACTCAGTGTAACATTTCCACATACTTTTGTATGAAAGAAACATTTCCTGATTTCACCGTTGAATGGTATAGCACTAAGTTTTGGATTTGCCTGTCAGAAAGAAAAAAATTCTCTCTATCTTCCTTGGCAAATATACAAACAAAGTAAATAGGGGGAATACAACTATTTCCTTTAGCGAGGCAACTGGTGACAAAGGGACTGGGTTGTCAATAGAAGACTGAGGGGAGAGTGAGAAAGGTTGGAAGGAATTTCTTCATTCAAAGAGGGTGGGTTAGAGTTTGAAAAACATTGATAGATTGAACCTCATGTAATTAATTCAAACGGTAACTGGTAAGCAACTGAGCAGGAAAAACATTAAGAAATATGGAGAATAAGCTGGATTAATATAAAAAGTGGGATTAATATAAAAAAGGCAATTTAGGAAAACCGGGAGCAGACACGACAGACTGAATGGTCTCCTTTTGTGCTGAAAATATTAATTACAATAATAATCATCCTTGCATTTGGTATAGCGCCTGAACATGTTAGTGAGATGTCTCAAAAGCGTTCACAGAATAACTGTAAAGTGTATTGACTGACTGTATTTGTGGGAAAAATGTCTCCACAGTTGTGAGAATGGCTGAAATCCAATAATCCCTTAAAAACATTTTTATTTTTTGTAAACAATAATTTGGGTCACTCAATCCACCACTGTTTGTGGGATGCTGCTGTGCGTAATTGGCTGCCGTGTCTCCACCCAAAAAATATAGTCAATTTACTTTACAGTGTATTCTGTGAAGCACTTTGAGACGTCTGGACAATGTGATAAGGCGCTGTTTCAAATGCAAGGATTATTATTATTGGCGTTACCTTGAGGATTGGCATGTCACGTGCACGTTGGACATGCTGGTGCAGCTCATTGATCTGCTGTCGGACCATGGGAGGCACCGGGTTACAGCAAGAGAGAATCCCCTGAGGCTCCCTGCAACACATCAGAAGACATTACACCAGATATTAAATAAAAACACAAGTGGCTGGGAACACTCAGCAGGTCAGGCAGCATCGATGGAGAGAGGAAATGGGTTAACGTTGATCTAACTTCATCGACCTGAAACGTTAACCCACTTTCCTCTCTCCATCAATGCTGCCTGACCTGCTGAGTGTTCCCAACTACTTCGGTTCTTATTTCTGATTTCCAGGATCTGCAGTATTTTGCCTTTTGTTACAAAGAGTTTGTCCTGATTTCTACCCCGGGAAGGAATGCGACTTACTTTGGCAACTCTTCAGCTATTTTGAGCATCATGTGATTTGGGAGAACATATCTGTTGAAACAAAAATACAGAATGTTAGCAGTCCGTTGTCCCTATCAGATTCCCCAAAAGGCTCTACCAGAAAATAATAATAATCCCTGCAATTTGATATAGCGCTGTTCATGTCTCAAAGCACTTCACAGAAAAGCCTGTAAAGTGAACTGACTGTGTATTTCTGGGCGAAACGCGGCAGCCAATCGCTCACAGCAGCGTCCCACAAACAGTCGTGGATTGAAGTGACAAATTTATTATTGTTTTTTTTCTTGAGGGATTATTATCAGTCATGTGGAGTAAGGAAACTTGTCCAAGGTTTTGCCCTGCCTGGAATCGAGCCCAGATCTGTTGCTTGTGAGGTGATTGCTCTAACCACTGAGCTGAGCTTTGGAGTCCTGTAGCTCAGTGGTTAGAGCACTCGCTTTGCAAGCGAGAGACCTGAGTTCAATTCCCGGCAGAGGGCGAAACCTTGGGCAAGTTTCCTTACTCCACACAGAGCCTAATAATAATCCCTCCAAAACCAAAAAAACAAACAATAATAAAAAAAATTGGTTATTTTCAATCTACCACTGTTTGTGGGACATTGCTGTGAGCAATTGGCTGCCGCGTTTGCCCACAAATATACAGTCAATTCACTTTACAGTGTGTTCTGTGAAGCGCTTTGGGACGTCCTCGCGACGTGAAAAGCGCTATATCAAATGCAAGGATTATTATTATTATTACAGGACACTACTGTAGCTCAGCCCAAAAGAGCCCAATACAAATGAAATGGGATTAAACGATCTGCTAGAAGGAGGCCATACACCCATCATGTTTGTTTTGCCATTTTATCAGACTATGGCACATCTTTTTTTAATCCAAATTCTGCATCTTTTTACTACTTTTTTAAAGTGCTCTGAGACACCGTCCGATGTGGATGGCACTATATAAATCCAAGTTGTCGTCGTTGTCGTTGTTGTTACACATAAAAAAACAGCATTTAATATCGCATCTTTCAAGCCAGAAAAATAATAATCCTTGCATTTGTATTTCATACAGAGCCTGATCATGTCTTTTAGATGTCTCAAAGCATTTCACAGAATATACTGGAAAGTGAATTGACTGTACATTTTGGGGATGAAAGGATGTCTCAAGGAATACACTAAGGTGTGGAAAATGTATTTTGTTAGTGAACACAATTTGCACACAGTAACGTCCCATGAACAATTTTATAAAACCTAGGTTTCCATTAGATTTTTTGACAACTTTGCCCATCTGCCTTCCCACCTTTAAGGATTTATGTACAGCATGTCCACAAAGTCCTGTTACCCCCATGTTTGTTTCTACAATGCACTGACCAGCAACTGAAATATGTGGATGAATGATGATATTTGTATTTGGAAGTTACTCCATTGTATTCAGTACAAGTGTTTAACTGCATTAAGACATCCAGAGGATCATTCAGTGTGAGTGTGTGTGAGTGCCATCATTTTCACGTAAGATAATGATCAATCGCCATGTTCTGTGCCACAACTTCCGTAACATGGATGGAGTTGGTGAGGAGGCAAAGTGCATCTCTGGCAGCTTGTTTCAGCTCCTTCTTAGTCTCACATCACTGGTTTGTAACTGGAGGTTAACAGGACTTTGTGGAACACCCTTGATATTAATCCGCAAGTCCCTTTATTCTTCCACTTCTTTTAATATTTTACATCCAACATATACTTGTTCTCCTACTCTTCCTCCCAAAATATACAACCTCACAATTGTCTGCATTAAATTTAAATGGCTATTTCTCTGCCTTTAACTATAAAGTGAATGGCCAAATATGTGTCTTAACACCCTTACTCCTCAAGTATCCATCAGTCTGCCTTTTAAACCTCAATTCTGCCTCTACTGCCTTCCCAGCAGTGTGGGTCATGCTCTCACAACCCGTATGAAGAAACGCTTTCTGATTCCCAGTGCTAACTGGTACAACAGTAATCTCCTGTGTAAGCTTTCTCCATCCCGGCCAAAATCTGGTGACGTGGCCTCTGGTATCAATCGCTCCCCTTGCTCCTTGGATAAACATTTCACGTTGCAGACCCCACTCACCCTGTGCTCTCGTCCTCTTGTCGGGCCATCTTATCCCTCCATGAGTACAGTAACCTGAACGCAGTCATCTGTTGAGTGTTCAGATGCTTCTTCTGTTTTCTGTTCAGCTCCAAGTAGGATTCCTCTGTGAATATTGGCTTGCAGTATTTCTGCAAGTAATAACAAGATTACAATGTAGATTGCTTGGGTGCAATTTTCTGGGTGCAAAACTTAACGGCTTTATATTTGGAAAAGGCAGAAGCTTTCAAAAGGAAAGTACGTATCTTGGTTTGCACATTGTAGAACATTACATTAATATTTCAGCCAGGACCTTGTAGAATACAGAAGAGGACATATCTGAACACACTATTCTATACTCGGGACAATACCTTCAGGCAAACGTCTTTGCTCTTGTGCCAGACAAGATGAATGAGGCGGGCCTGTTCGTTCCCCTGCTCCCACAGCTGATTTTTCATTGTGTCATAAACGTACAGCAAATAGTGGGTGTCTTCTTGTGCATAATGTAACATCTCCTTCGGGAGTGGTCTATAAATGGACAAGAATAAAGCTGTCAAATAAAAGACAAGACATCCTCTGAGCACCGCTGACGGCTCAGTGGGTGAGCAATGCAGCACTGAGGACACAAAAAGTACAGAACAGAAAGTTCTTAAGGTTGCTCCCATTTCTCAGCTAGGGGTGAGCAGCGTGGACATCCTAATTTGGTCTCAGCTACTCTGAGCTAGGCTTTAAATTCAGGCTGAATATGGAAGTTGGCTTTCCTGCAGCACTGAACAGCAATTGCTGAAAACACTTACAAGCACATAATCGTGTAAAAAAACATGGGATGCCCAATAATGAACTCAACGTTTTGACTGTTAACCTGTCTCTAAATAGGCCAGGGCTTTTCAGAGATATCTCTGAGGGTAAAAGTGACAGAGAAAGCAAAAATTATCAAATACGTAGAGGCAGCGGGATAAGATGGCACGAATTCAGGATTGTGGAGGACAATTTCAGGACAGACACCAGCATATGTTTCTTTATTCAGAGTGCAGTCAACAACTGGAATGAACGGGTCATCAGAAGGATGGATGAGGCAGGATTCTGGGACTCATTTAGCAAACAACAATTTGCATTTACATAGCACCCCTCACGCAGGGCAGTGTCCCAGCGCACCTGACAGCAACAGAGCACAATGCCAGGGGAGGGGGAGGTGACCGTAGGCACGGTTGAAGAGGAAGGTCGTAACCTGAAATTAGGGAATGAGGGGGTAAGGCGGACGGATAAAGGGAGGGTGTTCCAGAGATTCTGGGCATAGGGGCTGAAAGCGCGGCCACCAGTGGTGGATAGGAGGGCGCAAGGGACATGCAGGAGGCCGGAGCCAGTCGAGCGGAAGCAGCGGATTGAGGGTTCGGGTGTGTGCAGGTCAGAGAGGTAGGGAGGTGCCAGGGCACGAAGGGATTTAAAAACGAACGTGAGGATCTTGAAATCGAAACATTTTGATGCTCTACTGAGAAGTGGGGAGGACGAGACCAATGGGCTGAAGGGCCTTTAGTAGAAACGTATCTCGACAAACAGGAGCTGACTTACCGCATTCTCCAGTCAGCTAGCTGGTAACGCTTATCAGCCTCCACGCTGCAGTAATGTCTCAGGAGGTGATCGAGAGAGTGTCGAGCCAGGTTTAGAGTGCGTGCAGCCTGGTGTGTGTCAAACATGTTGACCACATAGATCCCAAAGTCTCTCTGTAGCCATTCAATGTCGGAATCTGCTCCGTGGAACACCTATACAGACCCAAGCATCAAGACTTTAGAATCAAAGAGTCACTGGTTTCACAACCAATTTGTGCACAGGAAGATCTCACAAACAGCCTTGTGGTGCATGGCTGCTTAATCCAGAGGATACTGGAGAGAACGCCCTCCTCTTTTCCAACAGTCATTGTTTGTGGTCAGCCGGATGTCTGACACATGCGGAAACCCTTCCCCTTGCTGAAGAATACCCAAACTAAACAGAGTTATGCGCATCCCATCTACACATGGAAATTCCAGAGATATTTATTGGAATGGATCTCTCCCCGGAGGGACCCACCCTGCTTACCTCTAAAATCATAGAATCCTACAACTCAGAAAGAGGCCATTTGGCCCATCGTTCTTCTACCTGCCTTTTGGAAGAGCTACAACTAGTCCCACTTACCTGCTCTTTCCCCATATCCTTGCAATTTTTTCCTTTCAACTTTTTAAAAAATTCTAGTAGTCATGAAATTTTAAAGTCTACCTGAACGCAGAGAAAACATATCTTATCCAGCCCAACACTGGACTGGATTGTAAATACTGGATCTCAAATATGATGTGGGCTTGAACCACAACTTTCTGATCCAGAGGAGAGGGCACTACCAACTAAGCCAAGAGAAAATTAAGTAATGTTACGCCGATATCAACAGGGATAGTAATCTTCAAACCAGAATGACTTCAAAATAAAGTCACTGCATTTTACAGTAAATCCTGTGAAGGGCTTTGAGACGTCTTCCTGAAAGGCACCATACCAGATGTAAGTATCATTTATTATTATCATTATTCACCAAACTAACCTTGACAATGGCTGGATCAGTAAAGACTTCATTGAGAATATACAGTTCACTGCGAAGCTCCAGTGTGTCAACGATGAAATCCTCTTCTCTTGTTGATATCTGCAATAAGCAGGTTAGGCCCAAGAAACTCCGATAGGAATGGTGCTGCCGGAACAAAAGGAGAAAAACGAGAATCAAGTGGATGAATTAGTATGACAGCTCAGTGGGTTTAACCAGGGAGGAGCTCAGCCACACAGACTCTGGGAGAGGTCCCAGGTTCAATCCCCTGGAATGTGTTGAGTTGGCCAATCTCAGCCGGGACAGAATTAGGGAATGAACATTTGAACTGAGTGTCCCTGGTGCATGTTAGACAAGGTGAACGTCAGCCACATAGTGTATGTTTGAGAACATCTGGTGGATTGGATGAATTTGGATGCAGAGGGAACATAGAATAGATGGGAGGAAAATTATCTCTTTCAAATTGCTTCGTTGGGGGTTGGATGGGGTGTGGCAGGGAGTTGACCTCTTAACATTCACTGCTTCACAAGGCAGACAGAAAACCACCAATTTGAAAATAAATCAATATAAAGGGTGCACATTAAAGTCCAAAGCTGTAAAAATATAAACTTCTGATGAAATTTCATCCTAGAAATAATGGGGAAATGTCTGCACCTCCAGATCAACAGCAAACTCCGTACACCGCGAGAGCACTTCATTCATTTCCACAAGATCATCCAATGTCGCTATTAGCCGGCAGCTCGTCTCAGACAGAGGTTTGTACATCTGTTTGTACAAAAAACAAATAATAAATTGGTCATTTCAATCCACGACTGTTTGTGGGACACTGCTGTGCGCAATTGCTGCCGCGTTTCACCCACAAATGTAGTCAATTCACTTTACATTTATTCTGTGAAGTACTTTGAGACATCTAGAAGACGTGAAAAGCACTAAATCAAATGCAAGTATTATTATTATTGTTATTATTATCTATAGGTTGGCAAAACAACAACAACAAAATTACATTTATAGAGTGTCTTTCACGTCGGGAGGACGTTCCAAAGAGCTGAACAGTCAGCTGTTGGGGCCTGAGCATGGGGAAGGGGTGGTGTAGGGGTGAGGGAAGGCAGAGAGGTGGACGGAAGATCAAAGGCTCGGTCGAAGAGACGGGGCTTGAGACTGGCCTTGAAGGAGGCAAAGGAGGACGCGCGGCGAAGGGACCATGGGATGGAGATCCAGAGTGTGGGGGCAGAGAGGCTGAAAGCACAGAAAGTAGGGCGGGTCGGGCGGGAGACATGGAGTAGGCTGGAGCCTGATGAACGGAGGGAGCGGGCAGGTTGGTAGGGAGGCAAAAGGCAAAACTTGGTCAATGAGGCTTCCTGTGAAGGGCTTTGAGACGTCCTCCTGAAAGGCACTATACCAAATGTAAAAAACATTTATTATTATTGTTATTATTATTATTATTCAGCTTCCTCTGCTAGGAAAGTATCAAAGAGCAATGAGGAAACACAGTAAAGTTGCAGCGGTAAACGTTGAGCCACAAACTGTTTTGTCACTGACCTGCGGGTCCTGTTTGACGAGTAGGTGCTCTGGAGGCTCAAAGTGATCGAGCTCATGCTGGTAGGGATGGGCAAACCTGCAAAGCAGGAGGAACACAAGGTACAGTTCATCCACTGTCTAATTTACAAACATCAATGCCACACTTCCAACGGGTGAAACGATAAGGGGCAGCACCGCACTGTTAAGAGTTGCCCTTCGGCTAATTTGTTAAACCCATCTGTGCCTGTTTAGGTGGACGATAAAGATCCTATGGCACGCGCTGAAAAGAGATGAGAGTTTCTCCCCTGGCCAACAATCCCTGAAATAAAATTAGTCATTCACTTCACGGCTGTTTTGTATGACATTTCTGTGCGCAAATTGGCTGCCTCGTTCATCTACAAACACAATTACTACACATTACAGTAAATTCCATGAAAGGCTTTGACGTCCTCCTGACATGAAAGTGCTATATCAAATGCAAAGAGTATTATTTTGTTAGTAGTATTTAGTGAAGGTAATATGGGTAGCTACATGGAATGGTCAAGCCAAAAAATAAACAGCAGTATATACACCATCTGGTCTCTGGTTTGCAAAGTCCAAGCAGCTCAAAAGCAGTGGGATGTGATGGGAACCTCGGCATTCAGTATAGCAGTGGATCTGCTTCACACACCGTCACTTACATGTTCTGGGCATTTTGCTGTGTCCTTTGCTGGTGGATCATGTCTGCTAATGCTGCGGGCACATCGAGGTCCTCGGGCCGTTCTATCGACCTCAGGCGGTTTGCAAGAACTGAAAATTCACAAAGAGGATAATAAATAAATAATAATTTGGTCACACAATCCACGACTGTTTGCGGGACACTGCTATGCTCAATTGACTGCCACGTTTCGCCCACAAAATATACAGTATATACAGGGATACCGTATATAGTTTGGGACATGATATTTCAAGCGACTGCCAGGGTGGTGGAAGGTAAACTAGATGGACCTTGGTTTGCTTTTGCGAGCAAATTCTTATAATAATGCATTTAATACAGCGCCTTGTCACGTCTTTGAGACGTCTCAAAGTGCTTCACGGAATATATTGTAAAGTGTAGTGACTGTATATTTTGTGGGCGAAAATGTTCTTGTGTACAGTATTTTTTATATACAGTCAATTCACTTTACAATATACTCTGTGAAACACTTTGAGACACCTTGAAGACGTGACTGTATCAAATGCAACGATTACTATTATTCAGTCATCAAATATCATTGAACTGTGTGCTGTGAGCAAGTGATCGCCCCAGGCTTATTCATGGGATACTGCCCTCAATCAATAACAACTTCCTGCCCTCACTCAATCTGTGTCAAGTTAATTGATCAGAGCTGGACCAGTTACTAATGGCCTCCGGGTCCCAGGGTTATGATTCCCTGCTACCGATCACTACCCAGAGACATTCTGCTGTATAAGATCCGCAGATGTGAACATCAAACGAGCATTGAGGATTGCTGTGATGCGCTCGTAGTCAAATACAGTGCTAACACCACCTGCCAAGGCTCACACATGATAGCTTCTCAGGAGAGGTACGTGCATGGCAGCGTATCTGAGCAGGAGGAAAAGAGCCAGGTGCCTTCAGGAGAGCAGAGGAGAAAACTAATATATCTCTAATATTTCAGACACAAACAACAACAACAACAACAACACAATTCCATTTATTGAGCGCCTTTCACGTCGGGAGGACGTCCCAAGGCGCTGTACAGTTCGGTCAGGACCCGAGCAGTGGGGAAATGGTCGGAGGGAAGGGAGGGAAGGGAAATGGTGAGGGGAGGGAAGGGAGGAAGCGAGGAGGGGGTAGAGAGTCGAGAGGGGAGCTGAAGGCACGGTCAAAGACAAAGGCCGGAATTACATCCCATTTTTTTACATTCAGCAAATTTGAAGCCATCCTACCTTCTGGCAGTGATTTTTGGGCATTTGGTTTGAGGAAGATTTTTGGCACAAAGGGAGTGTTGGAGTTATCGATCTTTTCTTTAAACTTGATCTGGGGCCGAGGGATGTTTTTGGCGTGAAACAAGCGGAAGGTTTCGGACTTCATCTGCTTTGTCATTTCCACATTCTGAAAAAGAGAATCCATCAAAACTGCTAGAAGCCGGACTGCGCCAGGTGGAGCAACAACGACTTGCATTCATATCTAGCGTCCCTCACGCAGGATTGCGTCTCAGAGCGCTTAGCAGAGATACGTTTTGCTCCAGAGCAAAACTGGCAGGAGATAGCTTGTGGGGCCCTGAACGCAAATCGAATTAATCTTTCAGACAAGTTACACTGATGTGAAACTGAGCTGCAGTCCCCTTCGCTAACATATCAAAATGCGATAATTCCTGCATCACATCACGGTGCAATATTGTGGCAGTGCCAATTCTGGTCTGCTGTGTCATATCAGGAGCTCTACTTTATTCCATAGATGGTACTGGACCTCGCTGATCTCACCCCTCGCAACCTCTGTATCTCCTCTTGCACTATTCTCCTGCCATTGCCCTCTGACTCTGCTCTATTGTTCGATCCTTATTCCCTCCAATCCCATCATTGACCGAATCGCTATGGAGCTTCCTCTCAAAATCCCTTTGCCTTGTGCCAAACTCACCCTGCCTTCAAAATCCTCTTTGACTGTGTCTGTGGTTAATAACTTCAGACTCCACCTGCTCAGTGATCCCCATTGCCTTGGGAATATTTGAGATGTTCATCTTAATAATAATAATCCTTGTGTTTGATATAGTGCCTTATCACGTCTTAAGACATCTCAAAGCACTTCACAGAATATACTGTTAAGTAAATTGATTGTATGTTTTGTGGGTGAAACATCCAATTACGCACAGCAGTGCCCCACAAACAGTCATGGATTGAGTGACCAAATTATTTTTATTTATTTTGGAGGAATTGTTAACCCCAAAAAAGCGATCCGCAACTCAACTACTTACTACTGGGTAAACGGGTGTGTAAACAGTAAGGAAACTTGCCCAACGTTTTGCCCTACCCAGGAATCAAAACCAGGTCCTCTTGCATGCGAGGCAAGTGCTCTAACTACTGAGCTACAGGACTCCACATCTTAAATAATAGGCTGTAGTAAATAAAAGCTATTATATAGACGGAATAAAAAAAAACTACCTTCCTGTTCCAGCTAGAAATAATGGTCTTTGGGGCTTGAAGCCCAGCGGGAAGAACCGGCTGCTTGTTCTTGTTGATGCCTGAAGCTTCATCCAGTAAGATGCCCTGAAAACAATTAATTCAGCAACCCGTCACAGAGAAACAGAGAGAGAGAGAGAGAGAGAGAGAGACAGGAGGGTGCAACACCGTACAGGGTATACTACTGTGCCAACCTAATTTCTCATCCAAATTATTGTATTCTACACTGTGTTTTGCTCAATGACTTGATATCTGCTCGTTTCAGGTCAATTTTATTCCGGCTGGTGTGGATACAAGACACACTGCTACATAACGTCACGGTTTGTACACCAGTCTCGCTTTCTATAGTACATTACATTAAAACAAATCAATATTTGAATTATATGTGATGATGAATGTGTGCCCTTGTTTTATTGAATCTATTTAGTTTTACACAACTCAAAGCATAATCCTTGCATTTGATATGGTGGCTTTCACTTCAGGAAGATGTCTCAAAGCAGGATTGAGTTTTGGTAATGATTTTGTAAACGAAGCAGCTAATTTATACACAGCAACGTCCCATAAGATAGAGATGAAGCGAGTGACCAATTTTATCTGAGGGATTGTTGTGCAGGAGGAGAGAAAAACTCCACGCTCCTTCCGAATAGTGCCATCTCATCCGAAGCACGGCACCTCCAACAATGCAACGTCCCCAGCGCTGGGTACTGGAGTGTCAGCCTACGTTACACTATGAGTTCCAAGCCCAGAAGTAGGGCTTGAAACTCTGACTCTCGAGTGCTACCAACTGAGCTAAGCAAGCATCGAACACCTAAATGACCCGACTGTGCACTTGCTGCTTTGTCATACGTACCACTCTCTCCAGAATGGCATCGTTGGCATCCACCAACAGGTCGAACCTATCCTCCAGCTCAGTTAATTTGTTATGATTTTGGATGCGACTCCGACAGCCATGGTACTGCATCAGCTGGCTCATACTGTGAAACAATGACAGACCTGCCACTCAGTGAGATACACCACAGTAGGATTTAATCCAATAATAATAATAATAATCCTTGCATTTGATATAGCGCTTTTCACGTCGGGAGGACGTCCCAAAGCGCTTCACAGAACACACTGTAGTGAATTGACTGTATATTTGTGGGCGAACGCGGCAGCCAATTGCGCACTGCAATGTCCCACAAACAGTTGTAGATTGAAAATGACCAATTTATTATTGTTTTGGGTTTTGGAGGGATTATTATTAGGCTCTGTGTGGAGTAAGGAAACTTGCCCAAGGTTTCGCCCTCTGCCTGGGATTGAACTCAGGTCTCTCACTTGCAAAGCGAGTGCTCTAACCACTGAGCTACAGGACTCCACATAGTGGAGCATTGTCAATAGTGACAATATACATTTATTTTGTCTCATTCATCTACAAATCACAGCCTGATACCTTCCTCCCCTTCCAAACTGTTTTCTCCCCACTCCACTATCCACTGCCTCCGCTCAGCTGCCTCCGACCTCCTGCTTGCCCCTGGTCCCCTCAGCTCCATTTTCAGCCACTGCACCCCGTAACTCTCTCACTCAACCCGTCTGCCTTGCCCCTTAATTCCACTATATCAGTTCATGCCTGAAGACCTTCCTTTTCGACCGGGCCACCCATTACACCCCGAAGGGCCCCTAAATGCTACTCTGCGTAAAGGTCACAAGCTGTTGTTGCTGTTCTTTATACAGTGCCTTTTAAGTAAAAGAAACGCCCCCAAAAAATAAAATTTATTGGAAACAAAGTGAATGTAATGGGAGGCAAATATGGGAGTTTCTCTGCACCAGTTCATAGTAATAAGAGTTTCCGATAAATTTGAATCAGGATGGATTTGCAATGGTGGTGGTGGGTGTTGTGATGCCCCTTCATATGCGTCTGAAGCAGAAAGCAATTTAAAATGGAACAAAGACACATTATATTGATATTTAAAGTTATAGAGACATAAAGGGATTTGTAAAAAAATATATTAAGAATAGTGGTTTTATGAAGCAGCATACACAATACAAATTACATTTGTAAAGCGGCTTTCACTTCAGAAGGACATCCCAAGGTGCTGAGTAATCAGGGATTAGGACCCGAGCGGAATGGGTTTAGGGAGGATGGAGGGCAGAGAGGGTAGGAGAGTGGCCGAAGGCACGGTCGCAGAGGAGAGTCTTGAGGCATGCCTTAAAGGATGCAAGGGAGGGCGCACGGTAAAGGGAATGTGGGATGGGGTTCCAGAGAGTGAAGGCAGAAAGGCTGAAGGCTTGACCGCTGATGGTGGGGCAGGCCGGGCAGGGGACATGGAGCAGGCCAGAGTCTGCTGAGTGGAGGGAGTGGACACATTGATAAGGGATAGCACGTCGGAGATGTAGGAAGGGGCAAGGCCATGGAGGGCCTTGAAGGTAAGGACGAGGATTTTGAACTCGATCCTCTGTGGGATGGGGAGCTAGTGGAGCCGGTCAAGTGTGAGTGTAATGGGGTCATGGAGCCTGGTGTGGGAGAGGACATGAACTGCAGAGTTCTGGATGATCTGCAGCTTGTGGAGAGAAGATTTGGGAAGGCCAATAAGCAGGGCATTGGCACAGTCGAGCCTGGATGTAATGAAGGTATGTATGAGCATGAAAATAAAGTATGTGTCATTCACTCATAGATTCATAAAACACAAATAACAGTCATTTGGCTCAACAAGTCTGCACGAGTTTTGTTTTCCAATCAAGTTATGGACTTGGCTTAAACTACAGTTTGTGGTAGAGAATTCCGCATTTTAACCATCCTTTATGTAAATAAACTTTCTAAACTTCCCTTTAACACTTTTTGCACTCATCTTATACTTTTGTTCTCATGTTACTGACTCACTGACCAAAGGAAATAAATCTGCTATTTATCTTACATCTATCAGGTAATCCCATAACATTCTCAGTTTTAGTCAAAAAAGCTCCACTTTTTCAAATCTCTCTTCATAACAGAAAGTCCCCTATAATAATAATAATAATAATCCTTGCATTTGATATAGCGCTTTTCACGTCGGGAGGACGTCCCAAAGCGCTTCACAGAACACACTGTAAAGTGAATTGACCGTATATTTGTGGGCGAACGCGGCAACCAATTGCGCACAGCAATGTCCCACAAACAGTCATGGATTCAAAATGACCAATTTATTATTGTTTTGTTTTTTTGGAGGGATTATTATTGGGCGTATGGAGTAAGGAAACTTGCCCAAGGTTTCGCCCTGCCGGGAATCGAACCCAGATCTCTCACTTGGATGGATCTCTCTGATGGATAGTCATTCGATGGACAGAAATGTATCTCCAGTGCAATCTCTTACCAGTGCAGCAGTCGATCTGCTTGTGTGTCACAGAATGCCTGGAACCCAGGGAAGCTGCGATAAAAATCAAACTCATCTCCGGGCTTTGGGAGTCCACTTGAGGCTTTTGTGGCTGAAACCACAGTCCCGAGAACATGCTGCAGAAAGAACACAACAATAAAATTACATTACATAGCACCTTTCACGTCGGGAGAACGTCCCAAAGTGTTTCGGACCCAAGCTGGGGGTCGGGATCGGAAACGATGGAGAGTGGGAAGGAGGGTGACCGAAGGCATGGTCGAAGAGGAGGGTCTTGAGATGGGTCTTGAAGGAGGGGACGAGGCGGAGTGACTGCAGGATGGAGTTCCAGGGAGTGGGGTCAGAATGACCGAAGGTCCACAAGATAAACAGGGTGATCAGAGTCAGCCACGATTGGGGAGGAAAATGCAACGTTTGATAACTGATTTGATAATTATCAAATTGTTACAACAATAAAAATAATAATCCTTACATTTGATATAGTGCCTTATCACGTCTTCGAGATGTCTCAAAGCCCTTCACAGAATACACTGCAAAGTGAATTGACTCCGTATTTTATGGATGAAACGCGGCAACCAATTGCACATAGCAGTATCGCACAAACAGTCATGGATTGAATAATCCTTGCATTTGATATACTGCTTAAGATGGACGCATTGGAGCTGGCCGTTTTTTCATGCTTATGAGGCATCCAAAGGTTCCCTTACCTTTTCCCACCCAGCAGAGCAGTGGCGTCTCCTCCCTCCCAACCAATTCCCATTGGATGGGAAGGGGAACGATTAACAGTGGAGCCGCTTGGGAAAGGATGGGCACTCCAGCCATTCACAAGTGGCTCAAGCTGTCAATCTATCGGGACTTGAGCCGTCCTATTCCCTTGTTTCTTCCCCGTCCTCTCACTAATTGACAGCTGCTTGTGAATGGTTGGAGTCTGCTGTCAATCATTCACAATTTCACCTCTCTATTTCCATCCCGGAGCCGGCCTATTTAAAATAGGAGTCAATACAAATGAATTGGGGTTGGTCGCTTTGTCCAATTTACCCCAGAGTCCGACATTAACAGCTTCCACTGGCTCCCTATCGCCGAACGGATCGATATGAAGAACCTCACACTTGTTTTCAAATCCCTTCATGCCCCATCGCCTTCCTACTTCTCCGACCTGGTTAACCCTGAAGCCACAATCTGCTTGACTGGCTCAGGCTCCTCATGCTCTCTGTTCCACCATTGGCAGTCTCACCTTCTGCCACTACACCCCAAAACTCTGGAACACTCTTCCTTTATCCCTTCCTTCTCCATCTTCAGATCACGCCTGAAGATCTTCCTCTTCGACCGTACCTATAGTCACCTCGTGCCTTCCTCACCCCCCCCCCCCCGGCTTGGCGTTGTGCTCAAGCGCTCTGGGACGGTATCCTGTGTGAGGGACGCTGTGTGAGACGCTGAATGTAAGTTGTTATTGAACAAACGCTGGAGTTTAAACTTGGAATTGCATTGTCTAACTGTGCGCTTTACAAGTTCACAACCTTCTAACTCAAGAGGTGAGAGCCCGACCACTGAGGCGGACTGATGTAAAGGCTACTGTAGAGTCCTGTAGCTCAGTGGTTAGAGCACTTGTCTCGCAAGCGAGAGACCCGGTCAGGACGAAACGTTGGGCAAGTTTCCTGACTCCACACACCTGTTTACCAGCAGTGAGCAGGAACCCGGTTGTCAGTCGATTGGCGAATCGCTTTCCGGGGATAACAATCCCTCAAAAACAAATAATAATCAATCGGTCACTTTGATCGATTTTGTGTGGACACTGCTGTGCGCGATCGGCCGCCGCGTTTCGCCCACAGAACACACAGTCACTACACTTTGCGGTATTGTTGTGTGAGGCGCTTTGAGACGTCTCGACGACGTGGTGAGGCGCTGTGAGGAATGACAGCTTTTCCTGAACAGTCCTGAGTGGATGGGGAACATGTCACGTGCCTCCGCCTCACAGCATCTTATTCTCCGGGAGCTCGAGGCCTCCCCCCCCTCCCCTCCTCCTCCCCCCCTCCCCTCCCCCTCCTCTCCCCGCGGCTCCCAACCTTCACGAAAGCGTCGGCGTCGCTGTAGCCGGGGATGATGTCCTCGCCGCCGCCGCTGCAGCTCTCCGGATCGTCGCCCGACACCGGCGCCATCGCCTCATCCTCTCCGCGCGCCGCCATCTTGGGGAGCGCCGCCGCCGGGTGAAGTCTCGCGAGAACCGCGGGGGGTGAAATCTCGCGAGAGCCGCGCGGGGGGGGGGGGGGGTGTGAAGTCTCGCGAGAACCGCGCTCCCCAGCTGTCAGATTTGGGGGCGGGTTCACGCCCAATTGGGCGTGTTTTGGTGACGCGGCCCCTGGAACAAAACCAATGGGGCGGGAGTTCTACTTTTGAGGCGACGGCTACTCTTGGGCTACTAATGGGCTATTATTGGGCTACTGTTTGGTTGGCTTTGGACGACACACGTGTCCTTCCTGGAGGCCACGTGGCTCCTCCCAACTCAACCGCAGACTCACAGCACAAGAGGAGGCCATTCAGCCCATCAAGTCTGTGCCGCTCTCTGAAAAGAGCTTCCAAATCAACCCCACTCCCCCGCGCTCTCCCCACAGCCCCATCAACCCCACTCCCCCCCCACACTCCCCCCCCCCCCCATAGCCCCACTCCCCCACACTCCCCCCCCATAGCCCCACTCCCCCACACTCCCCCCCCCATAGCCCCACTCCCCCACACTCCCCCCCATCCCCCCACAGCCCCACTCCCCCACACTCCCCCCCATAGCCCCACTCCCCCCCCCCCCCCACTCCCCCCCCACAGCCCCACTCCCCCACACTCCCCCCCCCCCACAGCCCCACTCCCCACCCCCCCACAGCCCCACTCCCCCACACTCCCCCCCCCCCCACAGCCCCACTCCCCCACACTCCCCCCCCCCACAGCCCCACTCCCCCACACTCCCCCCCCCCACAGCCCCACTCCCCGCTCTCCCCCCACAGCTGATGAACCCGCACTTTTCTCCCTGTTCACCCTATCGAATCCCCTCATCATTTTGAAAACTTCTATCAAGTCTCCTCTTAACCTTCTCTGCTCCAAAGGAGAATAATCCTTTATTATTATTGATAAAAATACTTGCGTTTGACATAGCCTTATCACGTCTCCACTACCCACTGCAACCACTCGGTTGGCTCCGGCCTCCTGTCTGTCCCCCCCCACACCCCACACCCCCCCAATCCGCTCCGTCATCAGCGGCTGCATTTTCAGCCACTGCGCCGAGTTTTGGAACTTTCTTCCCCCGATCCCTTTGTCTCACCCCCACTTCCCCTCTCTCAGGTCACGGCCAAAGATCTTCCTCTTCGACGGTGCTTGGTGGCACCTCCACTCTCCCCCCATCTCGGGGTTAGGCTGTTGAGCGCTTGGAGATGCTGCCGCACGTAAAGGGCCTCTGTATAAGTAGTTGTCGGTAATGCCTGTTTAGGTAGTTGCTGTTTTTTTGTGCATTGTGTGAATTGATATCGACGGCATTATATTTCCTGAGCTCTGCTTGGAGGATCGTGCTTTCGACCTCCCTGCTTCCCCCGCCTGCCCTCCACCCTCCCCCACCCCGACCCCCAGCTTGGGTCCGTAACGCTGTCTGTTCAGCGCCTTGGGACGTCCTCATGAGGTGAAAGGCGCTTTACAACTGTAATTTGTTGTTGTTGATGTCGTTATGACGCTCGTTATAAACTGAGATTTGAGTGAATGGACCCAAATCATCTCTTTATAACAATTCAGTCTGCATCCGTTGTTAAATGTTAGTGTCGGCTTCATTTTAAATAGACATTTAATCTCAAACAAGTTCTGGATAGACATCTTTATTGGCGTTATACATCACACCAGCATAAGGAATTCATATTCAATAGTCTTTCAGTAATTATGAGATCTATCGTTTCAGTGTGATCAGCTTACGTGGGCGAGTTTAGCTCACTGCTAGGAATTTCCTTGATCATTTGGACCATTGATCTTCAACTCTATATGAGGGCTCGATGTGTCCAAATGAGGAACAGTCTTCCAGCACAACTGCTGCTTTTGTGTGTGTGTGTTTGCGAAAGTTACAATGCTCGGCTGGAGATTCTCAGGAGGTAGATGCATCTGAGAGTGTCACAGGCTGGAGACCATTGATTGACGTGAGCACAGGCAGTTCTAGGCGATGATTTGGATGCCAGGTCCAAGCCCATTTTGGAATAAATCTATCTTATCTACAAGAATTCACATTCATCCGTGAGACAGGCTCCGGCACTTTTCAAACACTTTCACCAGAAGGGACACCTGTAGGCAAAACAATATAGAAAAGTTCATTAATCCACAGCAAAGTGGTCAGGCACCTCATAATGCTTAGACTGAAGGCGTGGATGGCACCCCGTATTAATCAGTGTGCTTTGATTTGTGGAAGAAGTTCCTCTTGTTTGGCTCATAAAAGTCACAAAGGAGATTGAGCAGTGAAAGGTAACTGACTATTTTTGCGTACCTCAGGCAATGTTTTACGAGTTACAGCCCGAACATTTTCTGAAAGCTAATATTATTTAATATTAACTTAATTCGAGAGCATCAATTTAAGATAGTAAACGAGCAAATGGGGAGCTTAAGAGAAATTCCTTCATGCACAGAGTATTTAAGATGATAGTTGAGGCAAAATCCATATTGGCCTTCAAGTAGACAGATAATAATAATAAACCTTGATATAGCACCTTATCATGTCTTTGAGACGTCTAAAAGCTCTTCACAGAATATACGGTGAAGTGAATTGATTGTATATTTTGTGGGCGAAACGCAGTAGCCAATTGAGCACAGCAGTGACCTACAATCAATGGTGCATTGAGGATAAATCTACCAGAAACCAGGGTTAGTGAACCGTAACGCCATTAAAGAAATGACAAAGGAAGCATTTTGTGCCTCCGTAAAAAGTACAAGCGCTGCGTCCTTCTGATCACGGTGGTGTTAGCTGAGACTTCATGGAAGGCTGTGGCCACACTCAGTGGTTCCAAGTTCCTTTAGCGGCTCTCTACAGACTTATTTTTTCGACATTACAAGAACAAAGAATTGCCCCATGGCGTGCAAGACTCACCATCCAATGTAGCACTGACACAAATTCTCATGAGATGTGGCCTGTTTAATCAGCAGCTCGACCTGAGTGGGGACGTCTAGTGTCTCATCATGTGCAAAGTCACGACCTGAAACGTACATCAATCACTGTCTGTCATTGTGGGTCGCATTCGTCTAACTGGAAATGCAGATTGCTTCACGATTAGAAGAGTGAGAGGTTTGGCTGAAGAAAGCCCATTGCATCTCGTCCTTCCACAATACTCACCTTACCATCTTCCCATCACAATGTTGAGCTTTATTTCACAATTCTGTGAATACCATATATTTGACCCTGACTGTCAACCAAATTGATTCCCCATCGCCTTCTCCTCACCCCACTCCCTCCCTCCAATCTCTCACAATACCTCAATTCAGGACCTGTAGCTAATTGGTTTAATATAACTTGCCAAAGCTTCTGAATCTGACTTCAAGATTCTCACACTTGTGTTCAAATCCCTTCACTGCCTGGCACCTCCCTCCCTCTCCGACCGTTTCACTCCCCAATCCACCACTCGGGGCCTCCACTCGACTGGCACTAGTTCCTGAAAGCTAATCCCTCGCACCCTCCGCCCCATTGGAGGTCGCACTTTCAGTCACTACGCCCCAAAACTCCGGAACACTCTCCCTCAATCCCTCCGCCTTGCCCCCTCTCTCCCCTTTTTCAAGTCCCGCCTGAAGACTTTAGGATTATGGCCGCACCCCCCCACTGACTCAGAGTCAGGCTCCGCCACTGTTAAGCGCTCTGAGACGCTACCCTGCATGGAGGCCATATATAAGTCCAAGATGTTGCTGATGTTGAATTTGTGAAGAAATAAGTTCGGAAACCCGCAGCACTTTACAACATTGAAAGAAAAATGTCAGTAACTAGGGGCTTACCAGTGAGCTTGTCTCTGACGCGGTTAATGATTTGAATAGCTTTTTTATTCAGAGCCTCTGGCTGCACCAACCCATCTCCAACTGAAATAGAAAAAACAGGTCACCCACCAACACCTACAATACTAGCAGCTGTCTGGAACCAGTCATGTGTGTGTATGTGCGCGCATGCAAGTACGTGAGGCCATAGCTCAAATGAACAGGAACAGGCTTGTAATTTCTTCTGTGTGCTGCACATAGGAATATAATAATAATAATCCTTGCATTTGATATAGCACTTTTCACGTCTTCTCGACATCTCAAAGCGCTTAATAACGTACATGGAACAGAGTTGCAAGTAAAGAAGGCATTGAGGGGATTTAGATGAGTGGAATCATTCAAAAGGGAATTGTATAAATACCTGAACAGTAAAAATATTAAGGCATATGGGGAAAGCCAGCATGAAGGTGCTGGAGACCTGCTCCTAACACTGCTGGAAGGAAAAAAATGTTTTAAAATGCTTTACAGAGATTACAGAAAAGGAAAATTATGGGGAAATAACAGGGGAGTGGGACTAGATGGTGGCTCTTTCAAAGAGCTGGCACAGGCACGATGGGTCGAATGGCCTCCTTCTGTGCTGTAATATTCTAAGCTTCTATACTGTCAAGTGGGGCAACCTTTCTTTGTAGGAAAACACGCAGCAAGATCCTATACACCGCCATGAGGTTGAATGACCAATTTATCTGGGGTATTGTTGGTCAGGACACCAGGAGAAACTCCCCTCTGTTTGTGAATAGTGCTAAGGGATCTTTAACTTCCACTGGAACAGACAGACAGGACTGCGGTTTATCCCTTCCAGCCCGGCACTGCAGTGTCAGCATAAACTCGAGGCTCAACATACAAATTTCTGCAGAAAATCAGTCAAGTTAAACTTACTGAAAGAATGGATGGACTCAGGTACTGTGGTTCCTGGTTTCTTATGAGTTGGTTCTCCAAGCTCCACTCCATCCAGGATTTCTGAAATAAAACATTAAAGCGAATCTCAACACCTTCATCGACAGAGAATTTGTACCTGGTTCCATGGAACAATTTAAAAAGTACCGCCATTTAACGAGAGCTTATCTCACTGTGAGCCATCTTTGTAGATCGCTGAGCTGGCTCCAAGGTGACAAGCTTGAAAACATCATGATGTGATCGTGCAAACCCTCTGTTGAGGTCTTGGTAGTTCGCTTTCTGTTAGGCAAGCAGGGTGCATCCCTCCAAGAAAGGAGCATGCATTCAATTCCACACACAGAAGCTTCCATTTATAGATGGCATCCATATGTGGAACTCTGGTTTGGATTATATCTACACATAGAAATGGGCTTCCACACGGATCACTTTGTCAGACGCACATCAGTATCCCACAAACAGCCAGACATTGTCAAAGCCGCTGGCTAACCCCCCACCCTCCAACAGTAGATTGGAAAATAATTCTAAGTTTGTGGCAGTCTGAGTTGAGTCTCCGTGAATTTAACTTTCTGTGAAAAGTTCTCAATTGATTTGCTGTGGCTGATTGGGAACTGAAGTCAAGGAGGCAGTGTTGTGTGATTGACTGACTCACCGACTGACTGACTAGTTGAGTAAGAGTCTGTCCTGGTCCTGGAACGTTTGATTCCTTTAATATTTGCTGGAGGGGGAAAAAATTTAAATATTACAGCGACCGCAAAATTGTACAAACAAACCCTTAGCTTGTTTCTCTAAGCTTTAAAGATGATGTGAAAAGGTCAGTGGAACTTTGGATGACTCATCAGATACTATTGATCAGCCGGCTCAAATATCCTTACACAATAACAGCGAGAGAAGGAGCACAATAGTTCACTAAATTCAATGCAACTGTATGAAAGCCAGCAAGGCAACGGGTGGGAAAATTCACAGAGGACATATCCATAATATAAATTGCAATTAACTACCCATAGCAAGTCTTACTGTGTACTCCAGTACTCCAGCTCACTGGCTAACACACAGCAACTGCAGTGAGATCTCAGAACATGGAGTCTAATTTATGATAGCCCTAAACCTAGATTTGTTGTATTAATCACAGCTCCTGGGTTGCCATATTTGCAGGAAAGGACAGCTTTTGGCTCATTGGGCTGTGTCGTAAATTTCACCCAGGCAACAAATTTGGAATTGCAAATATTGCTTTTTGAACTCCCGTATATATGATTTCTCACAGTACAGCTATTTGATTGTGATATAGGTTGTATTGTAACATAATGTATGCAGTCATTTGCACACAGCAACATCACACAAACAGCTGTGAAGTGAGTGACCAGTTTTATTTGGGGGATTGTTGGCCAGGACACGGGGAGGAACTCCCTTCTCATTTTGAATAGTGCAGTGGGACCTCGGTTTGACGATTCGTGCAAAGGATGACACCTTAAACAATGCAAACCCCTCCCCCTCCCACAGCCCCCAACACCGCAATGGAGTGTCAGTTCAAAGTCTCAATGTGGGGTGTGAAAGCACAACCGTCTGACTCATGAGATGAGACTGCGACTGACTGCGTCAGGCTGACAAATGCCTCACCCACTTTGTACACAGTGTTTATTAGAATATGCTGACAGTGATCAGTGTAATGCAGCTATCGCCTGTGCTGCACTCACTGTCCATGAGCCTCCAGTTCAGCAGTGGGTCGTACACAAAGGCCTCGAGCACAGCCATCACGCTATCTCTGTGCTCCCGGAGCACCTCCATCACAGTGTGGCACGTGATACGATAGTTCCCGTCCAACCCCGTCACCTTAAAGCAAAGTTATATGATAGGAAACCAGTTAGGGGTAGAGAACTCCACTAGTAATAATAATCATAATTAACCTTGTATTTGACATCGCAGCCTCCAGATGTCTCAAAGTGCTTCACAGAATATACTGTAAAGTGAATTGACTGTATATTTTGTGGACTAACACAGACACAATGAGCAAAGAGCACCAGTTCCAGCTCGGAATCCCTCTGCCTCACCTCACCTTTAAATCCTCTTCTTTTTGATTGTTCTTTGGTCACTTCTCACCCCCACCCCATTTGTTGTTGCTGTTGATTTCTGAATCAACAACAACAACAAATTACATTTGTAAAGTGCTTTTCACGTCGGGAGGATGCCCCAGGACGCTGGACAGTCGGGGAAATGGACAACCCCACCGCCCACCTCCTCGAGCTGTATTCCGGGTAAAGGGGCACAATCTTTGGCTCCAGGAAACGGAAACAGGGGACGTGACCCAAAGGGGAAAACAAGATGGCGGCACAATTTATTACAATCGAGTGTCAGACCAAACCATTGCTGATTTGGGGGACAGGGCACTGGGGTCTAACTCCCAAAGACAAGGTTCAATTTGGCGCTGTGATATGTATTTCTGGTGATAATTTTGAAATTGAATATTCCATTTTTTATTCATGACTGTTTATTTCTCAATTCCATAATATGGAAGGTTTTAAACATGTGCAATCAAAAATTACAAACAGGCGGCCATTCAGCCCATGTCTGTGCTGGGGCTCGCTCCCCCACTGGAGCTCTCTACCCTAATCCCATTCCCTGCTCTCTCTCTCTCCCCGTCGTGTCTGTGCTGTGCTGGTGCTCACATCAGCTCCTCACTGGATCGCTTTGATCCCAATTTTCTCATCATATTAACATGACAAAACAAAAACCTTGATAAATTGGCTATTTCTGAATCAACAATAAATTAAATTAGGGTGGCCGAAGAGGAGGGTCTTGAGAGGGGCTTTGTAGGAGGCGAGGGAGGGAGCAAGATGAAGGGACTGTGGGATGGATTTTCAAAGGGTGAGGGCAGAGAGGCTGCCGATGGTGGGGAGGATCGGATGGGGTAAACCAAGATGGGGGGAATCAAGATCAAAAGGATTGGTAATAATAATCCTTGCATTTGATATAGCACCTTATCACATCTTCGAGACGTCTCAAAGTGCCTTCACAGGATCCAGATGTAAACAGAAAGCTGACCTTCACATCCATCTCTCACCTCTTACCCTCTCTCTCTGTGTGTGAAGCCTCCCCAGGCTCTATTCACTTGCTCATACCCTCCACTCTGCTGGTTAGGGTTGTTGCTTGATTCTCCCCTCCTCCATCAGTGGCTTCAGATATAACGCTCCAGCTCTCTGGAACTCTCTCCATTATCCCTTCCATTTGCTGCCTTCAAAACCCTCTGAAAAACTCTGAAAATCTCTAGACTGTTAACTCTCAAATCCCTTTCCTCTCCTCCCTCCGTATCATTGTTGTGAAGTACTTTAGACGTTCATTCCTATGCTATACAAGTGTTTCTATATATTTTACATCTTACAAACGAACAGTAAAGCAAGGTATTACCTCCATAGCGTTGGTTAACATTCTGGTCAGTCTGAAGGGGATTTTCTCTGGAAACTTTTCCCTGGTCATAGCAACCTGTGGTCAAATAGATTAGTCAGATAGCACAAGAGACCAGATACGGGAATGGACCCTTTCAGAGGAGTATAAGATCCTACCTGGGATTGAGAAATTAAACCAGGGTTAATACTATCAGATAAACACAAGCAGCAGCACATGAGGGCACAGGCTCACGGAGCTGTGGGAGCTGTGGAGGACAATATCAGAACAGACACCTCTAGAATAAGTTATAAAAATGGTAGCTGAGACCAGGACTCATTAAGAAATAGCTCAATGCTGTGTTGGGAAGATGACTGGTTGGTGTTCTGGGAAGATGAGATCCTTTTCCATCTGAACCTCTCTTGTGATGTATTGCGGTTTTGGTAAACAGAATGGCATTCCTACCAGATTTAGCCTTAGCCAAGGTTACTTATTAGCAAGGTAAACAAGAAAATTTTGCTCCATGGGGATGTGGGGCTGTATTCCATTAAGGTGTTGCAGCAGCACAGGAAGTGTACTTTCAACCCAAACTACTCTGTCCCGGTATATCGCTATTTTAGGCGTAGGGGCAATTCCACACTCCCTCTAAATGAAATAAGCAAAACAGATTGTGGCCGACACCAGCTCAGACCATCCACCTCCTAAACAATACCTGTGTAACCTGCCTCATGAACCCAGTAAGATCATCCATGCTTCATGTACTCCCTGTTCGTGCTACAATCCCCAACTCACCTCAAAACAGTCACCAAAGTCAATGTGTAAGATTTTCCCGCTAAGTCTGTCCAGCATCAGGTTTGAGGGGTGTCTGGGAGAAAAAAAGCAGAAGTAATCACACATATTCCTGGGAAGCAGGTAGAATGTTAGTGAAGCGATGGGCATATCGGGAAAATGAGCAGTGAAGTTCCTTTAGACATACACAGTCACTACACTTCATAGAAATCTTGTGAAACTTTTGAGATGTTCATCGTTTCTAGGCGTTACATCAAATGCAAGGATTATAATAATTGAGGGTATTCACTAAGAATAATAATATTCTTTGTATTCAATGTAGAATTCGTGGAGTCCTGTAGCTCAGTGGTTAGAGCACTCGCTTTGCAAGTGAGAGACCTGAGTTCAACTCCAGGCAGAGGGCGAAACCTTGGGCAAGTTTCCTCACTCCACACAGAGCCTAATAATAATCCCTCCAAAACCACAAACAATAATAAATTGGTCATTTTCAATCTACGACTGTTTGTGGGACATTGCTGTGTGCAATTGGCTGCCACGTTTGCCCACAAATATACAGTCAATTCACTTTACAGTGGGTTCTGTGAAGCGATTTGGGACGTCCTCCCGACGTGAAAAGCGCTATATCAAATGCAAGGATTATTATTATTATTAGAATCTTACAGCACAGAAGGAGGCCATTCAGCCCATTGTGTCTGTGCTGGGTCTTTTGAAAGAGCTACCAACGAGTCCCACTCCATGCTTTTACCCCACAGCCCTGCACATTTTTTTTTTTTAAATACCTATCTAATTTTTTGGAGATAATCAACACAGTGACCATTTTGTACAACAAAGTGCCATAAATAGCCACGAGATAGAGGAGGATGGTAGCAAAGGGTATGAAACTTCGTAGGTAATTGGTGTCAAGTTTAGTCACTTTCTCAGTCAGGAAAGTGATGATTCTGGAAAAATACAGTATAGGGCAAAGGTAGGAACTGCAGTACCCAGTAATCTTAACGGTATGATTGCAGTATCCTCTTTACCTGTCTCCCAATCCGAGGATGTAGCCCACCATTGACATCACAGCTAAAGAACGGGTGTAATTGGTTCTTCGGTCAAACCACACCTGTAGAACAGGTCATAATTAGCAATCTCATCAAATAGAAATGCATTAGAATCAAAATCAAGACAATTACATCAGCGGAGGAGTGGGAGAAAACGGACGTCTCTTTAAGGAAAGCAGCGTAGTCACTACACTCGATTGTAATTACTGTGAAGCATTGACCGGTTTCAACATAATCGTAATCTTAAAATTAGAGCCAGGCCATTTAGGAGTGAAATCAGGAGGAAGTGTTTCATCCAAGGTTTAGTGGAAATCTGGATCTCTCTCCCCCAAAAGGTTGTGGATCCATTCACATTTTCAAGACTGAGGTGGATAGATATTTGTTAGGTCAGAGTATCAAAGGATACAGGGCAAAAGCGGAATAATTGGAGTTGAGGGACAGATCAGCCATGATCTAATAGAATGGCGGAACAGGCACAAGGGGCTGAATGACCTGCACCTGGTCTTATGTTCCTATTATAGAGTTGTTTCTGAGTACCAGCGTCTGCTCCATCCAACCTCTGCTCTAACCACACCTAGAGCTCCTGCCCCATTCACCCTCAGCCCGTTATGTAAACTGATATAAGTGAATGTGAGGGTAGACGGATATTAAGTCCCACTAAATAGTCTCACAGTGACTGACAGACAGTCAAAATGAAAAGTTCCACCTGCCGAACTTTGCACAAGGTGCTAGCGACAGGCCAAGGCGCTGTTACACTGAGCAGAGTGGAGGATTATGCTGAGTGTGTGACTGGAGCCAGACGTCACCTCGGAGCTGGGGCTTTTCAGCCAAAGCAGCTTGGCCAGGTCATCGCCAGCGGTGTTGTTCACAGCATGCTCAAACACCTCCACCTTCTGCATCAGGGTCAGATGATCGTAGTCAGGAGCCATCTGCGGGTACAACACACATTCATTTTCGTCCACAAAATTACAGTCACTCCACTATACAGTATATCCTGTGAAGCGCTTTGAGACGTCTAGACAACGTAATCAGGGGCTGTATCAAATGCATTGATTATTATTATACTCTTACAACAAGGTAATCAGTTAACCTCAGAGCCACCCCTGGTTGCTGACAAAAACAGTCACTGCCCTCGATAGTAATTACTGTGTTGCTTTGGCAGATTTCAACATAAATCAATATCAGAATTCTGAGTGTCAGTGTCGGCTCCATCAATCTCTGCAGTATCCACACATCCCCATCTCCCCCTCAGCCCCTCTCCCCCTCAGCTCCTATTACCCTCAACATGATGCGATGCTCGATGTTCAACAGGATTTTTTTCTTCTCCCTGTAATCCCTGATGAGGGCGTGTAGTGTGTCGCAGTGTGGGACCCAGCCAATCAGCCCCGAATTGGTGGACAGAGGAATGACAGCGTACCTCTGAATACTGGAGGGAGAAGGAGAGACATTGCAGTCAGAGGTCTGAGCTCACCTATGTACCTCCCAGGGCCGAGTGCAGTGCTGTAGAGCTTGGATACCTGAGGTTCTTGCGCAGAGAGGCGGGGTCATTCGCCAGCAGCGTGTTGACCAAACCAAAGAGCTGCATCACTCGCTCGTCCTGACGGAGGTCCTCGTGTCCCTTCAGCAGAAACATGAACTCGTGCCCGTTGCTTCCTACAGGGACATGCAAATAATCACGTCAAACCCTCCTGTCACATTCCGCTCAGTGCTCCAGGTATCAATAATAATAAACTTTGCATGTTACAGTGCCTTATCAAATTTTCGAGACGTCTCAAAGCGCTTCACAGAATATACTGGAAAGTGAATTGACTGTATATTTTGTGGGCGAACACAGCAATTGCGCACAGCAGCGTCCCACAAACAGTCGTGGATTGAGTGACCAAATTTATTTTTATTATTTTTTTGAAGGGATTATTACCCCTAGGAAAAGTGATCCGCTAATCGACTAACATCGGGTTCCTACTTACTGCTGGGTAAACAGAATGAACGTGTGAATTAAGAAACTTCCTCAATATTTCGCCCTACCCAGGAATCAAACCCAGGTCCGCTTGCGAGGCAAGTGCTCCAATCATTAAGCTGCAAGACTCCACAAATTGTCTTTGATGGTCACAATTATAGTGTGATATATCCCAATATTGCAATGTCATTGTGAACATCGGCCATTTCAGCCTCCGTTTGGCCCGCCCACAATGAATGCTTCTCACGGCTGAGCAACATGTCCTTGGGAGATGCCTCTTTACATCTGCTCAGTGAGTTGCTCTCCTACCTCGGGCTCAGTAATTGTGGAGTTAAGCCCTAAGTCATTTAGACTGATACCAGACGCCAACTACTCTAATCCTATTTCCCCCCAAAATCCATTGATGCTCTGGGATGCTATTCCTCCTGAAGTGAGTTGCATTTTACTAACATTAATATTCCTCAAGTATTTATCCAATTCATCAAAACCATTCATATCATATTTTATTTTATATCCCCCCACTCACCTTAACTCTCTCTGCTCCAGCAAAAACAAATCACTGTATTGGAGTTATAGGCTGGATAGTGAGTGCAAACTCCAGGGACTTAAAGCTACAACCTTCTGGTGGGAGTGCTATCGACTGAGCCAGCGTGACACCCTTGATATATACTTGTTGTATCTAGATGTACAAACCAACCAACCCCCACCCCCTGGCTCAACACGTCACCTACCCATGATAGTCAGCTTCCTTGGTCGCTGTTTGGAAGTGATGACCTGCAGCGAGGGGGCGATGGACTGAATGCGGATGATCGGTTGGTTGGGATCGTAAGTCCCGGGTACAGCCAACTCTAAGTCTCGGCACATGAGCAGTTTGGGCGACACGTACTGCAGTTCCAGAGACGTGAGCTGCAGAGGATAATACAACTGTTAATTTCCCTGTGTTGCTCCATAATTATCCTTATTACAACAGAACACAATTAAAGACTCAATTCGGCGTACAAACAGCCAGAGTTTGTCTGTCTCTCGCAGTGAAGAAGCTTTTTAATATAATCTTGTTCCAGTGTTTACTCATTCTGCTTCTGAGGATTAGCTCAACATTTCTTTTCAGGATCATCACACGGAGATTTATTCTGTGCAGCAGCGAGTCCCCGGTTACATTTTTGTGCATTTCTTGAATTACTGAGCAAGGTTGGTTGATCTCTCTTGGTTGCTATCCAGCACCTCCCTGCTGGAAGCACGTGTGTGAGGCTGAGGAACGATGGCTCCTGCTATCAAAATTGCGTGACATCATCTCACTGTCAAGGTTGTCATATGAGCAAGGCACTGGAGTGTGTCCAACAGGACAAGAAAGAATCAGACACTTTCTGGAGATGATGGCTGGGGAGTTATTTATTGTAAATAAATGGCCTGCATCATGCCCCCTGCTCTACCCACCCCATCATTACCGGTTGGGCTTTTGGGCTTTCAGCCTATCAACCCCACCCTCTGGAACTCACTCCCTCGCTCCACACCCCCCCCCCCACCCCCCTCTTTCAAGATCCGTCTCAAGACCTTCCTCTTTAACTGATTCCTTCAGTCATCTTTCCCCTTCCCACCCCCTCGGCTCCCTCCTCCTCCTCCCTGTATAGCTGTAGATTTGTAATAAATACAAATAAAGTGCCAACAATAGATGGGCTCACGTATAGAAACTCTCGGCAAATATTTCCTTACATTATAAAATGATAACTTAAACAGTTTAAAGATGTTCCTTTTGCTGTCTGTGACTCAGGCCTTATTAACGATTTCCATTGCTTTCAGATCCGTGTCTGAAACCTTTAACAAAATGTGAATCGAGTGCTCCCACCTGTGGCAGCTGCTTTGAAATGCGACGGAACACATGGTAGTAGAGATCCCAGGCCTGGGTTAGATCCTTCACGTTGCCTGATCTCATATATTTCCGACACCATTCCTGAGCCTCCATCAAGTCTCTGCCGTACGCCTGGGAGAAGAATAAACTCCACAAGTTTGTCAAATGTTCTGAAGTCAAAATACAAATTCCACTAAGTCCAACCTGTCAATCAGGTGGAGGCCTGTAGCTCAGTGGTTAGAGCCCTCGCCTCGCAGCCGAGAGGACCTGGGTTTGATTCCCGGGCAGGGCAAATGAAACGTTGGGCAAGTTTCCTTATTCCACACGCCTCTGTTTACCCAGCAGTAGGAAAGCAATAGTTAGTTGATTGGTGGATTGATTTTCCGGGGATAATAATCCTTCAAAATAAATAAATAAAAGTATAAATAAATGGTAAAGTGGTCACTCAATCCACGATTATTTGTGGGACGCTACTGTGTGCAATTGGCTGCCGTGTTTCGCCCATAAAATATACAGGCAATTCACTTTACAGTATATTCTGTGAAGCGCTTTGAGGAGTCTCAAAGATGTGATAAGAAGCCGTATTAAATGCAAGAATTATTATTATTATTCCTGTACAAACTTTGGTATGTTTTGATGAGACAAGTAGCTGTAAAAATGCAAAGGTCTCTCTTTCTTCACCTGGTTAAAGGAGGTTTCTTTCAGGGTCTGTGGCCCGCGCTCCATCATCGCGTGGAGGGGCTCGAGGACAGCAAACATCCCCTTCACATTTCTCTCTCCAAAGTAAAGCCTTGAAGCCTCCTCCAGGCCCTCGTGCCACATTTCATGCCACAGGATAGCCACGCGGATCAGCTCCTCACTCACCTGTGGGAGACAAGAGAGTGGTCTATCGTACAGGTACAAGAACTCTCAACATGACTAATAGGGTAGTGTGGTCCTAGCTGGACAAGCAGCAGGAAGCTTGCCAGTCAGTGCTCATTAGGCAGTTTCAGATGGATAAACTCTTAACAATTACCTTGACGGACGCACTCGAGGTCCCAATCCTTGGCTCTTGCCAGCCTGTACTAAATTCCTAAATTACTAAACCTTTCATCAGGTTATCGACCTGAAATGTTAACTCAGTTTCCTCTCTCCATAGATGCTGCCTGACCTGCTGAGTGCTCCCGGTGACTTCTGCTTTTGTTTCAGATTTCCAGAATCGGCAGGATTTTGCCTTTTGTGTCTAATACTGTCTGGAATTAGGTAAGCAGGGTGTGTCCCTCCAAGGAACAGAGAGAGTGCTCATTCCAGACACAGGAGATTTTCACCTGCAAGTGCTGTAAATTCTGTGGCCCTCTCAGTCTGGGTCAGGTGCTGTCAAGCATGGCAATGAGTGTCAGACATCCCCAACTGACCAAAACAAAAATTGACATGAACAGCAACAACATTAACATGAGATATAAACACGGTCTGTGTCAGTCCTGTCACTACCATCATAATGACTGCCCCTCGTCACTCCTCTACTAAATGAAATGATGGTGTGGTCAGAAGGAAAAGGGATCTTCAGAAATGCTTCAGAGCTGCTGTGGGCGGGCGGGGGCTTACCATCACGGCCTGCTGTACCAGTGTGTTGCTGTGTTCACACATGTTTTTCAGGATCTTGTTGGCAGCGCTGTGCCTGGCGGGGGTGGTGGATTTGGAGGCCACGGTGAGCGGGTAAATCAGAGCCTGAGGATTAAACACAGAGACATCCATATATACACGTACGCGCACACATGTATTCCCCTCATATACATACACACTTCCCCATCACTCGCGTACACACACAGAATCCCCCACTTGCGATGGGGAATTGTGCGTTAAGGGGATAATTCTGTACACACACCCACATTTTATCCCCTCACACACAATTCCCTATCAAATGTGCACATCCCTCTCACCCACATCCCCCCCCCAGTATACACATGCATACCTGATAAAGACACATATTTAATTTAAAGGGATGCTGAAGGCTGTCCAGGTGCAGTGCAGAATGAACACCAGGCCTGCTGTATGTTCATCCATTACCAATCACAAGTGTGATGCCTACACGGCGGCCTGTAGTTATTATTAAAGGGGCAGCGGCCAGCAGTTACCTGAGGGTGGTACCTGCCGATGTCGGTGAGGAGCTGGTGAATAAGCCGCCCAACCAGCGCTCGAGGAGTGTCAATGCGGGCGATGAGCTGTGGGATCACCTGAGGAGAGCAGTGCAATCACTGAAAAAAAAGGTTCTGACAAAAGGTCATCGGCATAAAAAGTTAACTCGCTTTCTCTCTCCATAGATGCTGCCTGACCTGCTGCGTGTTCCCAGACACTTCTGTTTTTAATTTCGGAATCACTGTGTGAGCTCAGTTATGACACCTCTTAAATACTGAGCATGATGAAGACTGTATTATATCATTATTAAATTATTATTTTATAAGACTATTATAATTATAAACATGACGACTGAAATTTCATCTTGTCCCAGCCTGTAAGAACATTTTGTCTTAAAATTTAAGATTGCGCAGAAGGATGGGAAAATGCAGTCTTAATTTGGAAGCTTTTGTTTTGGCAAAGTTAGACCCGTGGATCTCGACCGTATCCCACAGTCCACACAAGAACACAATCCTCAGGAATTAAATGGCCAATTACCTGTGGTCAATGGAGATTAAATGGTCCATGAGACTCTACCTTCCAAAGCAGCTTTTCAGAACTGAAGTTCCTGCCAATACACTGCCCAGATTTACTCAATACTGTGTTTATATAATATCATTCCTCGTGCACTGGCAGATTTTACACAGCAAAATCCTGGAGTTTCAAGATGTTTTCTCTACACTTGATGTCGCACACTTTGTACACCATCTTTGTCAATGTTTCCCCCGATGAGTCGCGATGGAAATAACAATAACGGCTGGGAGAAGGCAAATTTGATCCTGAACTTCCCCACCACCACCCCCTCGGTCCTGCTGCTATCGTAAGGTGCAGTGCGTTTAAAATATTTATTCACAATGAGATATTCAGTCACCGGGAATGGCGGGTGAGATGGTATGTGATGGGTGTGAAGAGTGTGGCCACAAGCCACACAGGAGTGTACCTGACACTGCAGGTAAACCTGCAGCGTAAGTGGTGACTCCCTGGCAGGGATGCAGTCAGGATCTGCAAACTACTGACAGATATGATAAAAACTAGCCAAATGCTAATCAAGGAGAATTCATTCTACCAGACCTTAATTCACATTTAAGCCCTGCGAGATGCTACCCTGCTTGAAGTGCACTGTATTTCAAGCGAGTTGTTGTTGTTGATTGGAATCAAACAGCCCATTGAGACGTCAGTCAAACCACAGCGACTCATACAATTGAGGGGTCAGAGTGCATCTCCGGAGGGTGAGCTGTCTGTCATCGTTAAGCATCTCTTACCTGCAGCCAAGTGTCAATCTGAATGGTTTTGATCCCCTCAACCAGACCTTCATTCACATCAGGCCAGTGTCCATAGTCAAACCATAACGTGAGAACTCTAACAAAGGGGAAAGTGATGAGCACACTCAGATTAAGCTCGTTTTCAAACTGTCTCATTAAATGCTTAAAGCAACACATTGTGGGGGAATCGTCAGGGGCCACAGTCACTTGGCAAGTCTGGTCACTACTGATATTTGAGACTGGGATTCATTAATAGTGACACCAAGCTGCTCCTGGGGTGTGAGTTACGCTAGTAATAATTTGGTCACTCAATCCACGACTGTTTGTGAAACACTGTTGTGCGCAATTGGCTGCCACAAAATATCGGTCAATCCACTTTACAGTGTATCCTGTGAAGCGCTTTGAGACGTCTCGAAGACGTGATTGACTTCCCTCTGTGTAAAGAAATACTTGCTCGTGCCTATGTTGAACCTGTGCCCTCTTGCTACGCTGCCTTAGCGTGCTTCCTTGCTTCAGTTTATATGCGAACAGGGTAACAAACTAGCCGTCTTTTTAAAAAAATTAAAAGTTCGACATTTATAGTGAAGAAAGGAGAAACAAAGTATTGTATCACGGTTTAGGTTTGATTATAAATTGTGCTAAATTAGTAACTGTTTTGGGAAATGGATTTATTACAGGCAGAAAAGCCACTAGATGTCACCCTTTACTTCAACCGAGTCAAAGCCAGGTTTGACTGAACACTGAGCAATGAACTCGAGCACTGGTGCTTCTCTGACTTGCTAACTATCATTAACAGTTTACACATCTTAGTGTACAAGCATTTTCGACTGATTTCCAGACATCAAAAGTTCTGTAACAGTGACCAGTAATTAATAATAATAATCCTTGCATTTGATATTATCAAATGCATTATCAAGTATTTGAGACGTCTCAAAGCGCTTCACGGAATATACTGTAAAGTGAATTGACTATATGTTGTGGGTGAAATGTGGCAGCCGATTTGCGCACAGCAATGTCCCACACATACAGCCATAAAATAAAAAAAAATATTATTGACATAATTAATATTGACGTAATAATAATTAAGATACCCTACGTGGAGGGCACTATATAAGCGCAACTTGTAGTTGTTGTAATTTGTCAGTTAATCCATGAGTGTGTGGGACACTGCTGTACGCAATCTTTAATATCCAGGAAGATGGGGCCTCGGTTTATTGTTATGTTTACAGACAGGAATGTTGTGTTGTTCAGGATGCAGTCAGTCACTCAAATTGAACGAGAACTTCAATTGCCACAGATTCAGTGACGTTGAGGCCATAAGATGGTGATAACAGTAGAACCCCATTCACGCTTCATTATAATGTGGGTTTGCTTATTGGTTCTTTGTGTATTTAATCAGGATCTGCCAAAGCCCTTACTCCTCTACTCCTCTGCTGTCCAGGTTGACGGAATGGAAAGAGCTCTGAAGGGCAGACACCGTGTAGTGTGATAGATCCTCATGGAATACATACAGAACATACTCATGTAAACAGTTGTTAAAGAACAAATATTCCTCAAGAGGAAATTAAGATTCTGAGCGCCTCGGGACACCGCTCCCGACATCAAAGGTGTTACATAAATGTAAATTTGTTGTTGTACTGTAATAATAAAATAATAATCCTTGGATTTGATACAGAGCCTTCTCATCATTGAGACGTGGCAAAGCACTTCACGGAATATACTGTCACAGAAAATACTGAACTTTGTGGGTGAAACAAAGCAGCCAATTGGGCACAGCAGTGATCCACAAACAGTCGTGGATTGAGTGACCACTTTTTTTTGAGGGATTATTAGCCCCTGAAAGCCATCTGCCAATTGACTAATAACCGGATTCGTAATTACTGCTCGGTAAACTGTACAATTTATAAAGTCATAAAAGCCAACATATATACACAGAAAGCTGTCTGACCAGCTGTACATGCGCCATAAAGCTGCAATTTCCAGGTTGTTAGATAATAATAATAATTATAATCCTTGCATTTGATATAGCGCTTTATCACGTCTTCGAGACGTCTCAAAGCGCTTCACACTGTAGTGACTGTATATTTTGTATATTTACTGTATATTTACAGATATCACTGCCTGCTTACCGCAGAGTATCCTGCAAGTTGTTGCCTCTGGACAGGGCAATGGAACGGAAAAAGCCCTGAACGGCAGGCACCGTGTAGAGGAGTAAGGTCTTTGACAGATCCTGATGGAATACAACACAGAACACACTCGCTAAGTGAACAGTTATGACAGAACAAACATTCCCCGAGCAAAAATTAAAATTCCCTGCTCCTTGGGACATCCCTTGCGACATGAAAAGTGCTTCGTAAATGTAAATTTTTGGTGGACAATGTATACACTGTCATTGTGAGTTTACAGCACAGGAGGCTGTTTAGCCCATCAGTCAGTCCTGGTCCCAGCTCCGAAACAAGAACATGCCCGTTTTATATAGAATAACGTCTCTGAGCGCTTCACAACGATGCAGCAAGATGCTGAAGAAAGGGAGGCAGGAATATCTATTCGAATCCCATTCCAGTTCTTTTACAATAACAACTTGCATTACCTCGCGCAGGGCAGCGTTCCAGAGCGCTTGGCGCAGCACGACACTGAGCGGGGGGAGGTGGGGATGGTGACCGTAGGCATGGTCGAAGAGGAAGGTTTTGAGCTCCTGGACAGTGTGAGCGTGCGGTGAGGTGGCTGTACCTCGTTGACTTTCTTCTGTACAGGGGATGACACGGGGCTGGTTTCATTGCTGTCGCCCTCGCTCTCACTGTTACTGGCCTCGCTGTTAGCACTGGCCCCGCTGGGATGCCTCAGCTTCTTCTTGTCGTCGCGAGCCTGATTCTGATGCTTGTAGTGGAGCACGGCTTCGAAGTTCATCACGGCCCAGGCGTGCCACGCCTAGAGACAACACCGCCCACAAGAATTGTTGGAAGCAGACACAAAATCAATCGGTGCTACATTTAATAACAATCCTTGCATTTGATACTGCGTCTTTTCACGTCTTTGTGACTTTTCAAAGCGCTTTACATTGTAAAGTGAATTGACTGTGTATTTTGTGGGCGAAACTTGGCAGCGAATTGCGCACAGCAGTGTCTCCCAAACAGTTGTGGATTGAGTGACCAAATTATTTTTAAAAAATGGCATATTGCCTTCAGAAAAGCGATACTCCAATCGACTAACAACAACTCGACTACTGACTGCTAGATAAACAGAGGCGTGTGGAGTAAGGAAACTTGCCTAAGGTTTTGACCCATCCAGGAATCGAACGCTTGGGGGGGGGAAGGGGGTAGGGAGTTCTCTAACCACTGAGCTAAGGGCTGCACATCTGAATGTGTAGTACACGGAGCGAGGGCATGAGTTCCCCAGCTCAGCCACCCTCACCGGGCTCCCAGCAAAGCAAATTAAATCTCTTCACAGTTTGAGTCTGCCTCCCTAAGCTATCTCTTACTCTTCTAACTATACACCTCTGCTCCTCCATCCCTGATATATTCCCTTCACCCTGGGCTTACTTTCTCTATTCCATTTAGCATCTTTTTTTAACCACCAGGACCTATAGACATTCCCATCATTTTCTGCCACTCCCCGCGCCATTTCAACAAGACGTTTTTCTCCCAGTTTTCCTGTTTTATAATCATCCCAAATTCAAATTTGACTTGTTCCTCATCTAACTGGTGCTGTTGCTGGTGGCCATTTGTTGCTGCGTTTGCCTCTACATAACTCTATTCACTTCATTTTGAATTAATCTTATTCTGTGAAGTGTTTCGAGACATTTCTTTTACATCAAAGACTACATGAAGCTAATTTGTGATTACTTGTCCAAAATCACAGTTAACAACAGCAATCTTTGTCTTTGATATAGTGCTTTTCACGTTAGGAGGATTCCTCAAAGCACTTCACAGGATTCACTGTAAAGGGGAGTAACTGTGTATTTTGTACGCACACCCGGGAACCAATTCGTGCACAACAATGTTTCACAAACAGCCATGAAGTGAGTGACCAATGCTTCTGGGAGATTGTTGGCCAGGACACCGGGAGAGAGAGAGGAACTCCCATCTATTTTCTGATAGTGCCGTGGGATGCAGTGTCTTTCATGCCATCAGACAGGTTGGACCTCGGTTTAACATCTCAACCGAAGCACAGGACCTACAACGACTTAGCACACCCCTGGCACTGCACTGGAGTGTCAGCCAAGACCGATATGAGTTCAAAAAGAGGCAAGCATCTTATAACTGAGTCAGGCTTTCACCCCATTGAAGTAACACAAACTTTTGAAGATTAGTTAAGAGATTCTGAGGGGCAAGTGAAATGAAAAAGCTTCAGCTTCTATTTCCTGTTAGTACGTACTGTGAGACTGACACCCATATTTCAATAAAAGAAAATCAGCAGGAGAAATACATTTGAGACTGTAATTTCACAAGTGTGACTTAAATCTTCAGGGTGAAAAATAATTTGGCCTTGAAAAAGAAGAATGAGGCAGTAAAGGCTGTGCAAAGCTAACCTTGTACCAGTTACGGTCATGTTCTGTAGCAGCGCTATAGTACTGCAGGACTTTAGGTATTGTGCTCTCATTGATCCCCTGCAGGTTCAGCTGCCACTCTCCCAACTTCAGGAAACATCTGTGGACAAAGATCACACATTTAATGGGACTGCACAGTGCTCACTAAACAAAGCCCCACAACGAAGCATTCCAGCTCAATTCCTCAACCCCTCCCCGTGGCTGACTCATGGGCATCTCATTCCCCTCGACAACATGCTTTCCAATAGCTTTCCACTGACATCTGCTCCAACAACTGATCTCCTGTGAACCCTGCTGGAATGTCAATGCATGGCTGTACATCTGCGCTCCAAAATAGTATCTCGTCTTTGTTTGTTACACATATGTTATGGAAACAGGCCATTCGGCCCAACTAGCCCATACTCGCTGTTAGACCGTTTTGTCCTAAGATTTAAGTCGGCTTTCAATAAAAATCAGTAAATATCGCAGTTTGTCATTTTGTGCTGTTCTACAATCCAAATACATTTTCATTGATAAAATTCTAGAAGCAAAACAACAACTTTCATTTATGTTACGCCCTTCACGCAGGGCAATGCCCCAGAGTCCTTGATAGTGGCGGAGTGTAACGCCAAGCTTGGGGGGGTGTGGGGGGACAGGAGATGAATACAAAAATGCATGAAAACACAGTGGGAGCCTTAGAAACAATGTGTAATGGGGGAAGGAGTCATAAGTGAGCAAGGGGTGGAGGGGGAGTATAATGTATATTTGTTTTACAAGAGAATGACATCAAAGATTCCACACAGGCAATAAATGTGGATGAATTATTAATCGGAATGTTGTTTTTCTCTGTTTTACATTACTGTAAATAAGCTTCCAAATAAATTGAAGAATTTTCCGAAATCCCACACAGTCTTAAATTTGAAATGTTGGAAGAAAAGACGAGGAGGAATTTCAGGTACTGGAGAAGAGTCCTGTAGCTCTGTGGTTAGAGCACTCGCTTTGCAAGCGAGATACCTGGGTTGAATTCCAGGCAGAGGGCGAAACCTTGGGCAAGTTTCCTTACTCCACACAGAGCCTAATTATAATCCCTCCAAAACAAAACAATAATAAATTGGTCATTTTCAATCTACGACTGTTTGTGGGACATTGCTGTGCGCAATTGGCTGCCGCGTTCGCCCACAAATATACAGTCAATTCACTTTACGGTATATTCTGTGAAGCGCTTTGGGACGTCCTCCCGACGTGAAAAGCGCTATATCAAATGCAAGGATTATTATTATTAAGAGGGAAGATGGGGAGGGGCATCAGTTCCTGGATCTCGCACACACAGCATGGCAGGAAATAACATCAACGGTAACTTAATGACCTGGAAGTTGTCACTTTAGCGCGAAAACAACGACAACAACTTGCATTGATATAGCACCCTTCACACAGGATAGCATCCCGGAGCGCTTAGTGTGCAGGAAGTCAACACAGACACAATAATTGTGGTTCACAGTCCAACCGCATTATAAGCAAATCTGCACAATAGTGATCTGTGTTATACTGGGGCTCTACTATATATAAGAACGTGTCAAAAATAATTGAGGGAGGAGGAGTTAAAGATGAGAAAAAAAAGCGAAAGAAAGGCAATACGTGAAATGTGAGATAAGACATTTTCTAATCTAATTTTCCCTGCAAAATAGTAATAATTCAGAAGATATTGAAAGTTTTCAGAGCACATTTAATTTGTCATTATTAACAAAAGGTATCTTTTATTATAATCAAATCAAATAATATTTTACTGGACCGCAACGCAGGCTCCTTTATCTACTAGCTGACATAAATAGATACAGCCACTTAATGATAGAAACAGGCAAAGTGTGTGGAGGCACAAGACCAGACCAGTCTGAGATATGTCAACATTAAGAATGTCCTATAGATAATATTGATTAAGTGAACCGTAGACAGGTGTCCAAATTTTACAGGGAGCTCTGCAATAAATTAACATGCTTGTAGTCCATGTCACTGAACCACAGTGAGCGCCACACAGGACATGACCTCAGTTTAAGCCGGGCTGTCTTCAGAATGAGAAAGACAACGTGTTTTAGGGTTCAATTCTCTTCAAATAAGCATGCAGATGCAAAGGCCATTTTAACCTTCGTGCCAGAGGTCATAGGAGGACAAGAGTGCTCTAATTAAAAACAAAACTAGTTTGGTGAATCTGTGTGTGGTTTATGTGAAAAAAAATGCACTGAAATATGTCATGATTTCTTGTTATCCCCTCCCCATCTTCCCTCTTCTCTAGAGACTTGAAATTCCTCCTCGTCTTTTCTTCCAATTTAAGACTGTGTGGAATTTTGGAAAATTCTTCAATTTATTTGGAAGCTTATTTTCTGCAAAACCAGCATCCAAAATAATATCGAATCACAAGTTTTTCAACTGCCTGCACCTACTGGAATTTTCAGGCAATGGGTCTTCAGGCTAAGACCAGAAGGAGTTTGAACCTGTCAAGTCATCACATCACACTGAGGTGCAGTTCCACAGGCACTGGCTGCCGTACAGAACCTCAGTCAAACAAACACGCTATCCAAGTCTGGAGAATGGAGATCGCTGTCCAACTGTGGAGCGTATCTCAGCCAAACTCGATCCTTTCTTCAACTGATAATTGGAAACCTTGCCTTATTTCCGTCTCTCCTCTCAGAGCCTTGGCTGAGATCTGATAGACAGTGCAGACTAGTGACTGAATATGGAAAACTTCATGTCTGTAAAGCTCATGTGTCAGCTTGGCTTCCTTGGCAGAATGTTTTTACATCTGGGTCAGAGGTTAAGTTCAAGGCGTGTGGCCTATTGCTTTACGGCTGAATTGGCAATTAGATATTGACCAATTAGATAATGGATAATGAGCATTGGGCAACTGGATAATGAGAAGCAAACAGGAAGCATAAACGGATTCTGGGAAGGTCCTGCGCAGAGTGTTGAAACAAAGGAGCTATTACACAGAATATACCGCACACAAACAGGCCATTCGGCCCAACTGGTCTATGCCGGTATGTATGCTCCACATGAACCTCCTCCTGCCCTTCCTCAACTAAGCCTATCAGCAAAACCTTCTATTCCTTTCTCCCTCATATACTATTGAATCTAAACTGTGTTGTGGATGACAAATAATACAAGGCCCAAGTTAGAGTTCAGGCTGACACTCCAATGCAGTGTGTGTGTGGGGAGCACTGCATGTACGAACTACTGACCTTCTAACTAGACATTAAATTTCCTTGTGATGCAATTTGAAAAGTGAAGGAAGTTTCTTCCAGTCTCCTGGCCCTCCATCCTCTATTTGTCACTCAACTACTGGCTATTGTGAGACACTGCTTCATTCAAAATGGCTGCTAAGTTTACTGGACAAACAGTTACTATGCCTGCCAGTAACAACTGTAAAGAGCCAGATACTATAAATGCCCTGTCCTTGAGTGGTTCAGGTCGTACCTCTCCCACCGTCTTCATTTTGTTTCCACGAATAGATTTTCCTCCACCCCCCGACTGTCTCGTGCGGTGTCCCTCAGGGCTCTGTCCTCGGTCCCCTCCTCTTCACCCTCTATATGCTCCCCCTGTGGTGACATCATCCACAGACATGGGGTTCACTCCCACATGTATGCGGATGACACCCAACTCTACCTTTCCTCCTCTACCCTCAACACCACGACCCCCGATGTCCTGACAGCTGTCTGTCCGACATCGAGTCCTGGACGAGAGACAACTTTCTTCAGCTCAACGTGCGCAAAACTGAGGCCCTCCTGATTGGCTCACATCAGCGCCTCCGCACCTCAGGCGCTGACAGCATCAGCTCCACGGCCGCACTCTCCACCTCTCAAAGCCATCAGGAACCTCAGGGTTCTGTTCGACCCTGAGCTGTCCTTTCTTCTTCATATCCGCGCCACAACTGGCACCGCCTTCCATCACCACCGGAACATCGCCAGACTACGGCACTACCTCACCCCTCACGCGGCTGAAACTCTGGTCCACACCTTTATCACCTCAAGGCCGGACTATGGGAACTCTCTCCTCGCCGGCCTTCCCGCCACCTCCCTCCACACTGCAGGTCATTCAGAACTCTGCAGCTCGTGCACTGTCCCACACCAGACACCGCGACCACATCACTCCCACCCTCGCCCTCCCCCTCACCCTCGCCCTCCCCCCCACCCTCGCCCTCGCTCGCCTCCACTGGCTCCCCATCCCCCAGAGGATCGAATTCAAGATCCTCTGGGGGATGGGGAGCCAGTGGAGGCGAGCGAGGGTGAGGGGGAGGGCGAGGGTGGGAGTGATGTGGTCGCGGTGTCTGGTGTGGGACAGTGCACGAGCTGCAGAGTTCTGAATGACCTGCAGTGTGGAGGGAGGGCCGGGAAGGCTCACCTGCAAGACAATTCACAGCCTCGCTCCCTCCTACCTCTCCGACCTACTATCCCCCTACTTACCTGCCCGTACCCTCCGTTCCTCTGGCTCCGGTCTGCTCCACATCCCCCGCCCCAACCGCCCTACCATCGGTGGACGGGCCTTCAGCCTCTCAGCCCCGAGGCTCTGGAACTCCATTCCCAGTGCCTTCACCGCCTCCTCCCTTTCCTCCTTCAAGGCCGGTCTCAAGACCTTTCTCTTTGACCGTGCCTTCAGCTCCCCTCTCGACTCTCTACCCTCTCCTCGCTCCCTCCCTTCCCTCCCCTCACCCTGACCATTTCCCCCCTGCTCGGGTCCCGACCCAACTGTCCAGCGCCTTGGGACGTCCTCCCGACGTGAAAGGCGCTCTATAAATGGAATCTAGTTGTTGTTGTTGTAAATGCTTTCTGGACGTCTGTCTAATGCTGAGAAAAACTTCAGCTCACTTTGTTTCAGTCCTTGTTAAGACTCAGCTGTAAACTGCAGGGCTCCCCCCCAGTGCTGCACTAAGACTGCCGTTCTAGACCATGAGCTCAAGTCCCAAGTTGGAGCGTGAACACACCTACTGTCTGACCCAGAGGCGTGAGAGCACCAAGCTGGTGGGTGCAGCAATACTGAGCCTGAAGTCTGTTGAGAGGAGGCATGACTAAACAACCCAACGCCCCGGGCACAAGCTGTCACTCTGGAAATATTTGGATAAATCTCCTACTCCACAATGATTTGCATTATACAAGGCGACTGCCAAAGTATGAAACCATTTAATTTGATCTAATATTTAATTAGCAAAACATAAATATTTCAATAACATAGTTGGAATAACAGTCAGTTCTCCTGTGGCTTGATGTTTAACAGTGCCCGACAGTCCTTAAAGTTGATATACCGCACTGGTGTGTCCTAACTTATACCACACGTGTAAGGATTACAGCAGCAATTTAGCCTCCACAGGCCACATCATCGCTGGAAAAGATTTCTGAAATGAGAACGCAGCTCCTACTTCCCAACGTGTCAGAGACATTGTACTGACGTTTTCTTTGTTGCGGTCTCTCTCCTGCCTCATCACTTTCTCCTGTAGTTTGACCCGTCTCTCCTCCCTTACTGAATATCAGCCTTTGACACTATCAAATAATTTATATTATGAGTTGGGAAGGAAAGAGGTTGAGACAAGATACAAAGTCTCAAAGCTCTTCAGTATTATTAGCGACAAGTGTATTATTGTCTGTGTATTTGTAGGCAAATGTCTCAGGTAGTTTGTACACAGCAAGTTGCAAAAACACCCATGAAGTGAACGACTAATTTTATCTGAAGGAATGCAGGCCAGGCACCAGGAGAAACTCCCGTTGCTTTTCCGATAGAAGACGCTCAGTAACGTCCATCCCAAGAACGGTTTAACATTCCCACACAATCCACGTTGTGGGCTATTGGCTGGAATTCCCGCGTGTAGGGGGGACGTACTGTTAGTTACCAGATTTAACATTTGCGAGTGTCAGATCTCTTGACCCCTAACCTTACGCGGAGGAAGGTTACACTGACCTCGCCATGAGCTTGTGCAGTTCCTGCTTGTGCTGCTGTTCCTCCGCTGCGATGGCATGCTGCGCTTGCTGCTGCATGTTCTGCACAAAGTGCTGCATGTGCTGGAACGCCTCGATCTACAACACAGGGTGAGGAGAGCAGAATTAGTTACCCACTCAGTTAAACAGACACCAATAAAGTGAGAAGACACATGGGCTAACACAGTTACATAACAGCATCAACGGGAACTGTAAACTAATACTGTAACGGGGTATTAATCCCTTCAAAAAAAATAATAATAATTTGGTCTCCGTTCCTCTGGCTCCGGTCTGCTCCACGTCCCCCGCCCCAACCGCCCTACTATCGGTGGTCGGGCCTTCAGCCTCTCAGCCCCGAGGCTCTGGAACTCCATCCCCCAGTGCCTTCGCCGCTTCCTCCCTTTCCTCCTTCAAGGCCGGTCTCAAAACCTTTCTCTTTGACCTTCAGCCTTCAGCTCCCCTCTCGACTCTTTTCCCCTCCTCGCTCCCTCGCTTCCCTCCCCTCACCCTGACCATTTCCCCCCTCCTCGCTCCCTCCCTTCCCTCCCCTCACCCTGACCATTTCCCCCTCCTCTCTCCCTCCCTTCCCTCCCCTCACCCTGACCATTTCCCCCCTGCTCGGGTCATGACCCAACTGTGCAGCGCCTTGGGACGTCCTCCTGACGTGAAAGGCGCTCTATAAATGGAATCTTGTTGTTGTTGTTGTTGTTGTTGGTCACTCAAGCCATGACTGTTTGTGGGATGCTGCTGTGCGTAATTGGCTTCCGAGTTTCAGCCACAAAACATGCAATCAATTCACTTTACAGTGTATCCTTTGAAGCATTTTGAGACGTCTCGAAGACGAGATAGACACCGTATCAAATGCAAGATTTATTATTACAAAATCTTCACTTATTTAACTTTGCCCAATTTTGGAACAGACCAATGTCCAGAGCCACTACTGATCAATATTCCAGGTGAATCGCAATAGTAAAGCAGTGGAAAAATTGCAGCGTAATTCACCAATTCTGTTATCAATGGAGACTTGAATAAAAGGCTTTTATCCGCTGGAGCTAAGGGGGAAGTTGACAGAACAACTCTACGTGGGGTAGTGTCCTGGAGTGTCACTGACGGAGTTTGACAACGAGCCAGGGGGAGAGGGAAGGGGTAGGTGAACATAAGCGCTATCAAAAAGGTCTTTGGGCATGATTTAAAGATGGGGAGGGAGGGGACAAGGCAGAGGGATTGACGGAGAGTTCCAGAGTTTCGGGGCGTAGTGGCTGAAGGCCCGGCCACCAATGGTGGAGCAGAGGGGACCACTGACAAACAGGAGGCTCGTGCCAACCGAACGGAGGCAGCGGGTGGTGGAGTGGGGGTAAGGAGATCGAAGAGGTAGGAAGGTGTGAAGACATGAAGGGATTTGAAAACTAGTGAGAGGATCTTGAAATCGATCGATTCTGTAATTGGGAGCCAGTGGAGCCCGGCAAGGACTGGTGTGATGACGGTACAGAGTTTTGTGCGGGTGAGCATCCGGGCGTCGGGGTTTTTAATTAATTTAATTTTGTGTGTGGTGAAGCTGGAAGGGTTAAAACGTTTCACAGCTGTCAGATTTCCTGTCGTGTGGTGAGGGAGGCAGGTGTGGAGTTCGAGCTGCTGGAGGCTGTCCAGATAGAGAGAGAGGCAGGAGAGAAATCCTGTCTCGCCACTTGCATTGACAATTGGGAATAACGTCTTAAATCATAATTGCCAAGTGATGTGGTCAGAGGCGGAGTCACCGAGTGGCTCAACTTTCTTTTCGGTGATTAATTTTGCATTAATTAATGGTATCCAAAGTAACAGATTACCCACAAAGGGGAATCATACTTTCTAAGGTTCTGTATGTAAGGTTGTAATTTATGGGAACTGGAAAGATACAGATGTTAAATACGAGAGACCAGTTGGTGAACAGCACCTTATTCTAACTCTGCTATAAGAATGACAGCGTCCTGCAGTGGGTTTCATTCAGATTCCTCACCTGTTTCCGTTCTGAACTTGCCGATTCTGCATTTGTGCACCATTTTTAGCTGCCTGTCCTGGTGGGCATAAACAATAATAATCCTTGCATTTGATATAGCGCCTGATCACGTCTTTTGAGACGACTCAAAGCGCTTCACTGTAAAGTGAAGCTGGACTGTAAAGTGTAGTGACTGTGTATTTTGTGGGCAAAATACGGCAGCCAATTGCACACAGCAGCATCCCACAAACAGTCGTGGATTGAGTGACCAAATTATTATTTTTATTTTTGGAAGGGATAATTACCCCTAAAAAAGTGATCCGCCAATCGACTAACAATCAGGTTCCTACTTACTGCTGGATAAACAGAGGCGTGTGGAGAAAGAAAACTTTCCAACATTTTGCCCTGCTGGGGATCGAACCCAGGTCCTCTTACTTGCGAGGCAAGTGCTCTAACCACTACAGGACTTGAAAAAGGGAAGCCAAAAATATAATAATCATAATTCTTGCATTTGATATGGCGCTTTTCACGTATTCTAGGTGTCTCAAAACAGTTCACGGAATATACTGTAAAGTGAATCGACTGTATATTTGTGGGTGAAATGCGGCAGCCAATTGTGCACAGCAGCGTCCCACAAACAGTCGTGGATTGGAAAGGACCAATTCATTATTGTTTTGTTTTGGAGGGATTATTATTAGGCGTGTGGAGTAACAAAACTTGCCCAAGGTTTCATCCTTCTGGGAATCAAACCCAGGTCTCTTGCTTACAAAGCGAGTGCTCTAACTACTGAGCTACAGAACTCCACAAAAATAAATATCATATTGGAGACGGAATGTGATACCCATTTCCAACCTTCATCTTTCAGCAGCCATCAGTGCGGTACTCTCTCTGCCTCCTTCCCCCCTCCCCCAATGGCAGCATTCCCTTGTTAAATATAGAATTGCAACGTCATTCTCTATTCTCTCTCCCCCCATAACAACAGGCACAACCCAACCCTTACACTGCAGCAGTGCGAGTGTGAGAGAGACCTTGGAATGATTCATGAGCCTACACTCACTTACAGCGCAGTGAGTCAATGTGAAAGTATGGAATCACCCTCTGGTGCAATAAGGAGTAGTATTCTGGTGCTCGGATCCATTGAGAAGTATGGAGCAGCCCACTGGTGTAGCAATTCAGTATGAAATATGGTAAAGACACCTTTGTATGCAATCCTTTAGTGGCTCTCTGCTGCAGCAATTCTTGGTACTGAAATTAGGGGGGTAATAATCCCTCCAAAAAATAATAAAATAATAACTTGGTCATTTCACCCAATCTACTGCTGTGTGCAATTGGCTGCTGGGTTTCGCCTACAAATACACAGTCACTACACTTTACAGTTTATCCTGTGAAGTGCTTTGAGACGTCTCAACAATGTGCTAAGGCCCTATATTAAATGATTATTATTACTATATGGCATGTTCTGTACTCCAACTGTACATGTACTGTACAGCTCGAGATGCAGTTCCATTGTCCAGCTTTGTCTACTGGACAATAAACGTTGTGCTGCTACCTCGACAAATCTGAAAGTATTTTTCTGGGTTTATTTTCTCAGATCCATTTAGCACCCTTGGCTGAGAGTCTGCCCTCCATTTACATTACTTCAGCGAATGAAACATAATATTTTGTCTCACTTCGGGCTCGTCAAATATCCCAAACAAACATCACAATTCTGAAAATGAAATTGGAGTCAATCTGATTTGATACATAAATCGGTATTTAAATCTCACACTGGATCTTTGCATGAATTAAAAAAATCCAAAAAGCTTAGCATCCATAGGAACAGGAAGAGGCCATTCAGCCTCTCGAGTCTGTTCCGCCATTCTATAAAATTATGGCTGATCTGTATCTCAACTCCAAGCCCTTGCCCCATATTCCTTGATACCCTGACCTAACAAACCACCTCAGTCTCAGTGGCCATGTCTACCTTCCTGTCAATGAAGATTAGGCAGTAATTGTTTTGGGACCACAGCATTTTATTTCAGAAACCTGTCCCCGGAGGATATTACTTTGATGTATGTCCCTAGTAGGCAAATGCCTTCTTTGCTTTAGAACACGGACACATAATATTCTGGCTCAGAGTAATACTGCATTTTGTAGAAACACAAACCCAGACTGCAAACAAGCAATCAGACATTTCAAGCCCTGGAGGGAACACACACAGACATCAGACTGGCCTGACTATGGACAGCTGGAAAGAAAGTAAGCACAATAATGGATGACTAAATTGTCTAGTCCGTGACGCTATCGATTAACATCATCTCTCCTTACACTGCTGCTCCATCAACGCTGATGCCTGTGAGTTTCCAGATGATTTGCGGTTTGCCCAAAAGAAAACTGACACAAAACAAGATATTAGTCCTATCAGATCCTCCAGGTTCTCCTACCCCCTCCACCTCAAGCTGGTTTTGATTCATGCACACACACACACATCGTGCGTGAGACGCCGAGCTGCTTGCACCAAAGACGTGGCTCTAGGCAGAAATTCCAGTCCCTGCCATTCTCCTCACAGGCCCACAAAGGCTTATACAACGCCCTTGATGTCACGGCAGTCAGTAAACCTCAGAAACGTCTCACTCCAAAAGAATCTCAGGCATCTGAGAGCACCAGCAACGTCGCCAACAGTTTCACAAATAATAGTAAGTTTGGACACAATGTACTCCAGCACTTTGAGCAGATCAAATGCATAACAATATAATTATATCATTTTCATACTTGAATTTGATTCAGCGCCCATAATGTTGAGTTATCTGAAAGATAGGTAATTGCTGTCAAGTGCAGTGAGTGTATATTTATGGGTCAATGTATCAGTAAATTTGCAGATGACAAGATCTCACAAACAGCTCTGAAGTGAATTATCTTCTGTGGCAGTTCCGGTAGTCCAGTTCCTGAGCCAGGCAGGTCCGCAGTATTCCAGAGCACTGCTGTTGACACACAGCACAGCCTGACTTATTCACAGGATTTGGAAAGCCAGACAAGTCACTAATGACAGGGACCTCCCACTCAGCTCCTGTTCACCCTGCAAGCCAAAGGCTTAACGGGTAGGATGGTCCAAGCTGGACAAGCAGCGGGAAAGCTTGCTCAACAATCATATTAATGGCAAACTATGTAGTTTTAGCCGGTTAAACTCCAGCACACACTGTGAGGTCTCCAAGCCCTGGCTCTTGCCAACCTGCGCCTAATACTCTCTGGAATTAGGTAAGCAGGATGCATCCCTCCAGGGAGAGTGCATTCCATTCAAATAAATATCTCTGGTAAAGGTGGGATGCATGGAACTCTGTTTGGTTTGGAGACTCTTAAGCATGGTGATGGGTTTCTGCATGTGTCAGATACCCGGCTGACCAAAAAGAAGTGAGTAACTAATTTATCTACAGAGGGCTGATGGCCAGGACACCAACGCGAGGCACTAAAATTTTAAACATAAAGGACAGCCATTTGGCTCATCGCGTCTCTGACTAACGATTTGTCCTCTTTAGTTTATATTCTCTGCTGCTATTTATAAAACCTTAGATCCCATTAACTTTTGCTGCAAAACTTTGTCCACCTGCCTTCTCACCTTTAAAGATTTATGATCTTAACCCCTATATTTTTTCTGCTCTTATACCCTTCTAAAATGTTACTATTTGAAAATATATCAGAATATACTTATTCTTCTGCCCAAAATGTATAACCTCACACCTTTCGGCACTGAATTTCATTTGAGATTTCTCTGCCCAAACTAAAAGTCTGTCTAAACACTTCACTTTTCAAACAGTGGCGCCAAATCTTCAATTTCCATTTGAGCAGATAGATGGGACCTTGGATTAAAATCTCATTCAATGGACGCTATCTCTGAAAATCTACACTGCTCCCCCAGTACCCCACTGGAGAGTCAACTGCAGTGAAATGAGAAGATATTTTTCTTCTGATCCAGTCACTGCTCAAATTTACTCGCTATTTGTCTACAAATACATGGCTGTCACTTTACAGACGAAAATCTGTGATCTTTTGACATGACGCTATACAAGGAGTATTATTCCTATATTGTGCGACGTTGATGAACGATCTTAGATCAGATGTTATAGAGCGTGTGAGACTTATAATTACGGGCTTCTGTAATTGAAAGCAGCCACTCTGGAGGGGCCTGGAATGAAGAATTACATCACGAGCTCTCCCAGTGAAGCTAAAACGGTCACACTTTGTTAAGTTGGCACAATAAAACACTGCCAGCAACAATTAGTTACAACATTCTCCATGTTTTGCCCACAAAATAACTCCTGTTGGCACGCAGTGAGTGACGCAATCCCCAGCACTCACTCCTCACGGCACAAGTTCAGCGTCTTTGCTCAAACATTCAATTTCAATAGGGCAAAAATAAACAGTAAAGCCAGCTTAGCTGAGACTTCAGTTTGAGACTTCACAAACTGTTTCACTGGGCACCATGGGCTTGGATTCAAAATTGTCTGAAGTGAAGGAAGGGTAGTTGGTGGTGGAACCAATGGGGGAAGGTATTAAATGAGGTGCATCAGGGTCTGTACTGGGATCCCTCCTGTTCCTCATATACATTAATGACCTGGTTCTCTGGCTTAGTGCAAGCTAGTTACATAAACTGCTGCAATTGCCTGCAGAACATTCCCATTATTTGCAATTAAATCTAAAAGCACTTCAAGGCATTTCTTGTTACGTGTGAGATGCTGTGTCAACACAAGTTATTTCCTTGAAGGGGTCAAAACGCTCCGGCCAGCGATTGGAAAAGACACGGAAGAGATGAAACCTGCCTTGCGTGAACTCTTCCACATATACTTCATGTAGGCGTAGGTGACGTGAGGATGAACGGTTGGAAGAGGCTGATCCAGATGTTTAGAAGGATCCACACCCAGTAACTGCACCAGGGTCTTATGCGCCAGAGCCTGGAAAGAGAACAGATAAAATAACAACAATACATTACGTCTGTTTAAAGAACATAAGAATCTTCTAGGCGAAAGAAGACCAAGGTCCATTCAGTTCGCCTTCCACTATCCTGGCAGTCGCATGACACATCGTATCCCAAACTATATACTGTATCCCGAGATATTATTTCCTAACAGAAATCTGTCTTAATTTGTTCTTGAAAAAATCGACAATTTCTACTTCCACCGTCTCCCTAGGGAGCTCTTTCCATGCATTTACTTCTTGCTCACTGAAGGATGATAGTAACAGATTGACAGGCAACCTAGCAATGACAATTCCTTTTCTTTTAGAAGGGATGTTTACTGATGAATATTTTAAGAACAGAGAAGTTCTTAAAACAAAACTGATTATCTTTGCCTAAACTATTACCTTGTGTCCTTGAGAGTGCAGCTGTAAAGTGGGAAAATATTTCTTTTGGCATTTTAGTTCCCCACTTAATTAACACAAAAGAATGAGATATATGATACGTGGAACAGTAAGCCCACATCTGACTTGTGAAGTGCACGAGGGAAAGCAAAGGAGGGATGATGTATAACAATGACCTGTATCTCAGAGCGTTTTACAAGGATGGGGTTGGATCCCAAAAAAGGTAGAGAGGAAGAAGAGAGGAAAGGGGATGTAGCTATTCAAAGAGATAGGTTTTAAAGTGGTACTTAAAAGGGAGAGAGGTGGGTGAGACAGAGTAAGAGGCAGGCAGTTCCAGAGTTTAGGGGCACAGGATACTTCTTACCAAACGACCACTCTTGCCACATAGACTTGCATACTTCAGCCACGTCCTCATGTCCTCGTGCGGCCCGATGACCAGAGAACGGACCATAAGGATTCGCTGCCAGTCTTCGACTATCTGCTGGCAGCCCTGCGGAGGCAACAAAGCAGATTAAATCGCCGTCTACCCCTTGTGTCCTAAACCATCACCCAAACATGACTACACAATATTGAACCTCCCCTGAGAGCAGTGTGGTGGGACACGGGGCTTCTACACAGTTTAGTCACTGTATCTGGATCAAACATGGCAGTCATTTAACTACATAACCGCCAGGAAGTAAATGATTAGTTTTATAAGTACACACACACAAAGGGAAGAAATCCATTCTCTATCCAAATAGTGCCATGAGATCCTTGAAGTTCATCGAAGGCAGATAGATCTCAGTTTAATGTTTAAATGGCAGCCAAAGAACAGCGATTCTGAAAATGCAGCTCTCCCTCCAGTATTTCACTGGATTGTCGGTCTAGACTAGAAGCTCGCTATCAGCTCCTGGAATGACTAACTACTTTATGTGCTGGACATTTCAATGCAGTACTTCAAACTCGACGACCCTGGGATTAAATCAACAATTCAGTGTAAAAAAGCTAGCAGAAACCTTGTTAGTACACACTGCAGTGTCTGATCTGAATTACATCAGCAGTCCAGCTTTGCCAAACTTCTTACCCAATAAATGAATTTGAAAGAAAATTAAATAGAAACTGTAAATTAAATTAAAAGTTGGAAAAAGTTGAAAATTATTGAATCGCTAGATTTTTAAACACGGCTGGAATCACGCAGCAGCAGCGCTCAATTCAAAAGATGGGAATTTAGAATAATTCAAAATGCCATTTTCAATTTGTCTGGAAGAATCTGACTGAAATATTGGCTTTGATTGAAATGCTACAAATTCTGCTGGGCACGACTTGGAGCTCGTCTTGTTAACACACTTAGCTTTCAGAGACAAGCCAGAAATAGATGAAGTGAGCCTGGCGCTGAAACAAAGTGCACAAGTTGTTTTGGAGTTTTCGAAACACTGGAAGAATGAATCCTGGAGAAGAATGAAAAAAAATACAACTGGGAAGTTTCAACTGACAACAGCTGGGAGGTTTCTTGACTGTTTTCGGAGGATTATAGTACTGATACTTTTTTTTAACAAAACTTTGGCTTGATTTGAAGACACTTCTGGGGGAGATAATGGACTGACGAGGAACCTGCTGCTGATGTTGAGAGGCAGCCTGTAATCCCCAGGCAAGCTATGAACAATGGCGCCTCGCTGCCAGAACACTTCTGATACACTATGAGTCACACAATAAGCTTTGTTTTAAATTTAGTAACTTCTATATTTGTCTCAGACGCACCAGGGAGATGTTTATTTGCTGGCACAGGCCCTGTCCAAATCTCCTTCTCTAAAGCTACTAAATGGAAAGTATTATAATTATTATAAACACTCACGCTGGAGTTTTAACCTGTCACAAAATATAGATGGCTCATAAAAATTCCTGCATTTAATATCGCACTTGTCATCCACAGACAGCAACTTTATGAATGGTTCACAAGAGCTATTCAGCAACTCATTGCAGGACTATAATACAGTACTTGGATGTTGGAGCAGAGTCAATTGGGGGCATTTGAAAGGGAATAATTCAGAGGATGAGCAGGGAACTGAGATTAGTATTAGGCTTCACTGGCCTCTTCTCGGTTATCGATTTCTATTGTTCTATGCGTCTTTCACAAGTGTAAAAAAATATATTACGATTAAGGGCAATTTACATGACAATATTTTATTTTCAAGTGATGCTGAGTTAATTACAATATGTCCCTTGTAAGTAAAGACTTCATTGTCCAATCTTTTCATACTTGTTTCAGGTACACAATTTAAGAATATCTAACCCCCACCCACCCACACCCGCCCCACAAAAACACACAAAGAGTCTAACCTTCCTCCCCCCCCCCCACTTCCTCTAAGCCACAAAGGCCAGGAAGGTCCCAGGTTCAACCCGGTTCTCTTTTCAGATGTTAGCAGTTGGAGCGGCAGTGAGGAAGTGAATGAACAGTTGGCTTCGGTTCCTACTCCAGATTCACTTCATTTTCAAAACATTTGCAGACATTGGAACAAGAGAAGGCCATTCAGCCCCTTGAGCCTGTTCCCCTATTCTATAAGATCATGGCTGATTTGTATCTCAACTCCAATTACCCACCCTTGCCCTGTATCCCTCATTACGCTGACCTAACAGATATCTATCCGCTTACCTGAAGCCGTTCCCACCAGGTCTGTCGAATGATCTCCCTGCGCTCAGGTACCAGCTTATACTGAATGACCTCTTCCAGTTCTGAAAGCATCTGACAGGATACCATGGCCTGGAGGAGAGGAGGGCAGTGTTACAGTCTGGCAGTCACAACTGAAAGAACAATGCAATTATCCTTGTCCAGAATTCTACTTTCTATCTTGGATCCACGAACTTTACAAACAAACTTATTTTCTAGACCCCAGAAACCACTTACTGTAGCTGGTTAGATTCCAGCAGTTACCCCCAATGCACACTCTAGGCTCCCCCAAGCCTTGGCTCTCACCAACAGCCTCCTAATGCTTTCCGTAATTTGGTAAGCAAGATACGTCCTTCCAGGGAGTGAGCGCGCATTCCATTCCAACAATCTATCTCTGGGATTTCCACGTGGTGGTTTGATGCATGAAATTTTTAGCTTTTTTTGGGGGCGGGAGACTCTTAATAATAATAAAATAATAATAATACTTGCATTTAATATAGCACTTTTCACATCGGGAGGACGTCCCAAAGCGCTTCACAGAACACACTGTAAAGTGAATTAACTGTATATTTGTGGGCGAACGCGGCAGCCAATTGCGCACAGCAATGTCCCACAAACAGTCGTAGATTGAAAATGACCAATTTATTATTCTTTTTGGTTTTGGAGGGATTACTGTTAGGCTCTGTGTGGAGTAAGGAAACGTGCCCAAGGTTTCACCCTGCCGTGAATTGAACTCGGGTCTCTCGCTTGCAAAGCGAGTGCTCTAACCACTGAGCTACAGGACTCCACAAGCACGGTGATGGGTTTCCGCATGTGTCAGACACCCGGCTGACCAAAATCTATTTTGCTATGTTTCTGGTGGGGAGCAGTGAAGCATTGACAGCAAACTCTACAAAGCATCAGCTGTTATATAATCCTTGCATTTGATATATCATGTCTTCGACTCAAAGCACTTCACAGAATATACTATAAAGTGAATTATTATTTTTTATTTATACTATACAGTGAATTGATTGTGTATTTTGTGGGCGAAATGAGGCAAGCAATTGCACACAGCAGTGTCCCATAAACAGTTGTGGATTGAATGACCAAATTATTATTATTCTTTTGAAGGGATTATAATCCCCGAAAAAGCCATCCGCCAATTGACTAATAAACTAGATGTAAGCAAAGGCATGTGAAGTGAGGAAACTTGCCCAGCATTTCACCCTGCCTGGGAATCGAACCCAGGTCCTCTCACTTGCGAGGCGAGTGCTCTAACCACTGAGCTACAGGACTCTACAGGATTGTTATATCGTTCTCACAAGGTAGCCTCGCTCTAATCACATCTGTAACTCATTCCATTAGCATTAAAATAAAGGTAAAATGGGGGAAGCTGGGTTATTAGATAAATTTTAAAACATTTCTGTAGATGCCAAATTGACTGGGATGTTTGAAAGGGAGGTCAGTGGATACTTGGAAAGTAAATGAATATGGGGACAAGGTGGGATAATGGAATTAGATGATTTGCCAATAAAATGGTGGAACAAGCTTGAAAGCCTGAATAATCTTACAATCTGTGTTAGGATAGCTAAATGATGGCTGGAGGGCAAACAATACTGATTCACAGTTGTCAAAAAGTGTTTTGTCAGGGGCTAGAATTACAGAAAACATATTCCTTTCATTTCCAGCCAGGCAGTCACAGGAGATTACCGAAAATCTGCAGCGGTTCATGGCTTGTAATTTTTATAGAGAAAGTAATTTTAGTCTTCATACTCATACTACACTGAATGGCAGGGTAATTACTTTTAGATAAATTAAAGTTATGTAATTTTTATTACATAAATGTTATAGTTGCCAAAAATGCAAAGGCAGGAAGGGATTTATTTCCTTGATATTTTTCTTTAATCAAATGAACCATATCTATAAAGCTACAATATGGATCACAAATAGCACTGACAGATGACAAAATTGTTTGTGAATTAAACTTGTATTGTGAAGAACTGCAGCTTAGTGGTTACAATCACCTGGGTATGATTCCCGGGCATTGCGTTTCCTTACTCAACACGCCTCTGTTTACCCAGCAGTAAGGAAGAACTCAGCTGTGAGTCGATTGGCGGATCGCTTTTCCTGGGGTAATGCACTTTTCAGCGCCTTGGGATGTCCTCCCGATGAAAGGCGCTATACAAACGTAATTTTGTATTTTTCTGTATTGCATTATAATATCGCTTAAAAAAGAAAATTAAAACAAAATGAAAAATGTGGTCACTCAGTTCACGACTTGTTTGTGGGACACTGCTGTGAGCAATTGGCAGCCCCGTTTCGCCCACAAAATATACAGTCCCGATTTACTTGATAGTGTATTCTGTGAAGCGCTTTGAGACATCTTGAAGACGTGTTAAGGCTCTGTATCAAATGCAAGGATTATTATTATGTCAGTTTCAAAGCCCACATCTAATCCATCAACTTCACCTTCTTCCAACTCTGGAACAATGCTCACTTCTATCCCTACCTCACCAGCACCACTGTTGAAACTCTATTCATGCATTTTTTTACCTTGAGGATGTTTTTGTTGTTTAATGGGGTGTCTGACACAAATGGAAACCCAACACCATTGTTGTAAAATATCCAACAGACAAGAGTTCCACATGTTTGCCATTTACTCATTGAAATGGAATGGAGGAACACACCTTGCTTTATTAACTTTAGAGAGTATTCGCAGGTTGGCATACCTAAGGTTTGGGGATCCGAGAGAATGTGTTGGGGTAACTGCTTGCGTTTAACCAGCTAAAACCATAACTTGCCATTAAAAGCACTGTCTGGCAAACCAGCTGCCTCTTGTTAAGTTAGAACTATCCTCTCTGTAGGGCAGTCGTGCTCAACCTGTGGCCTAGGGGCCACCAAGAAGTTCCCACGAACATTTGCGCGATCTGTTTTCATTTTTTTCTTGATTGAATATTTCTTGGCATAAATCAATCAAGAAAATGTATTTTGTTGGCCAGCCATGAAGGTTGGCCACCACTGTGCTAAGGCTTTGGTTTGCACGGTTAATGGGAGCCAGGTGGGAGGAAACCCTATCCTGGAATCCTGCTGCCAAACCAGGTTGGCTGGTCTGCCATCAGCAGTGCCCTGGAGAGGATTGTTGAGAGTTGCCAGGAGTTGGTACCTCAATTTAACATATCATCTGAAGGTTGGCACCTCCCAATGCAGGTGGGGCAAAACCTTAGGCGATTTTCTTTACTCCACATGCCTCTGTTTACCCAACAGTAAGCAGGAAGCCGGTTGTTAGCCGATTGATGGATAGCTTTCCAGGGTTATTAATCCCTTCAAAAAATAATTAAAATCATAATAATATGGTCACTCAATCCATGATTGTTCATGGGACACTGCTGTTTGCAACTGGCTGCCACTGAGAAGCGCTTTAAGACCTCTAGACATTGCACATAAGATACTTTATCAAACGCTATTATTATTATTATATAAGAGCTAAAATATATTTAAAATAGTAACAATTTTTATTTTTTCTCCATAAAAAAACAAAATCCCAACTGGCTATATCTGGCTAACCTCTCCCCCAGACAGCACAACGCTTATTTAAAAACCTACCAAAAAATGAGAAAAACAAATGTTGGAGAAGAGGAGGGAGACAAAGAAAAATAAAGGGGAAAAGTAAGAGTGAGCGAGTGATGTAATTTCTACTGCCCGAGCATGAAATTAAATCTCACTATGTCTGTTTTACCTAGTTCTTACTGCTTCTTTCTGAAGGCTATTTTTCCTTATTGCTCTTCCCAGGGCAATTCACATTTCTATTCCTCAAACAAAATAAAATGAATCCGACAATTTTTATTGCTATATTCTTGTGTCTTTTTACTGTGGTCACTGGAGACAAAATGTTTGAAGTGAGGCGTAATTTCCTTACTGCTAATCGTAACATTGAACATTGTGTGCATTTTGCATTGTGTGACATAAGATGCTTAACTCTTTGAAGGACCTAATGTGCTTCTTTGTCATGTAATCCACCAACACTGTTTACAGGACTTATGAAGTGGTAATAGGTCCTGATAATAGTAATAATAATACTTGCATTTGATATGTAACCTTATCATGTGGTCGAGCCATCTCATGGCATTTTACAGGATATACTGTAAAGTGGAGTGACTACATAATGACCTTAAAAGGCATTAGACAGGGCATGCCTCCATTGAGTCACCATCAAACTTGGGTCTTAAGCACAACATTTGCCCATAAAATATAAAGTCAATCCACTTGACACTTTGAGACATCGAGAAGAGTGATAAAGTGCTATATCAAATGCAAGGATTATTATTATTTGCCACAGCAAGTTGGCCGCGATACATTGAGATTTTCTATTTGCAAATCTTTCTGAGAATCTCCCAATTTAGACTGAAGTGTAAGACATGTAACTGTCCTAGTGAAACCCTGGGCTTTTTCTGGAGGTTGGGGAGGAAGGAGCACTGTACGTGCACCACAGCTGCTGCTTCTTGAATCCTTCACTTGGATGCAATGATTATTAAATGTAGTCAATCCCAACCTGACCACATGGGACTCTTTATTAGTTATGACATCTCATTCCTGACTGTAGGATGTTACTTACGCTGATTCAAGGCCCTATAAAAAGATATTCACTGTATTTTGAAAGTGCTGTCTGGAAAGTGCTTGGAGCTGTTTTATTTATGTCGAAGGTGCCTTATAAATATAAAGTGTTATTGCAATGTAACCAACTCTGCAACCCAGCGACAGCTGTTTCCCAATTCTGCTAAGGAGCTGTCCATGGTACCAGACAGGTTGATTTATGAGTCTTGGCTTCAGAGACAGAGGAAAGCAATCCCAAAAAGTGTACAGCTTTAGTGCTTTGATATATTATTTCTTGACATTGCACGAGACATCAATTTGATCATTAGCCCAAACTATAAAAATACTAGGGATACAAATCATTCTTGAAAAAAAATCACTCGCGGAATTACAATGTTGGCAAACTAAACCGTACAGTTAGTGTGTTGGCGTTTCTAACTATCTCTTGGTGTCTGGCTAAAAGGCACAAATATAACAGCTGTTACATTTATTGGCCAATTTTAACAATTCATCAACAACAGTGTTTCATGGAAACAACTAATGCATGAGATACTAAACATCAGTAAAACAATACTACAGCACCCCTTTGGGATCTTGGTTGTGTTTGGCCGCGAGCTAGCTAATAAACCCCACATCGAACCGATTCTAATGAAGATCTGCTATCCTCCATCACACCATTACCTTTTGAGAATATTTCAGCCCATCTAGACCTCTGCCATCACCACAGACCAGGTGCAAAGCTGTCAATGCCTTTGGTGAGAATCAGGTCTTCCCTCCTCGTTTAGTCGTGGAGCATTGTTGTTTTTAAGATCCTTGTTCTTTTTTTCAAATCCTTCTAAGGCCTGGCTCCACCTTAGCTGTGACATCTTCACCAGCTCTGAACGCTAGCCTGCACTCGGTACTCTCCTCACTCCAATTTACTGCTCAGTCCTGACTAACTCCTTTTAGGTATGATATCTGATTGTTCAGCCACCCATTGGAACTGTCTTCCTGAAACCCCTTCACCTTTCTACCTCTCAAACTGTATGCAAAGCCTCTTAAAGACCCATTGCTTTGACCTCAGTTGCAGGATTTCTCTATTTTGTGCAAACACTTTTTTTAAAACTTCCGCTTTAACACTTTTTACAATTACCTCAACCTCTTGTGCAAGGAGAGTTTACATTTTTTTTTAAGCCTAAACCTCTAGAACAGAACTCTTCACTATCAACTGTAAAACCATTCAACAAGTGCACAGTAGAGTCCTATTATAATGTGCTTCATTACAATGCAGGTTGACTTATAGCAGATCATGAATGGGCTGCAGCCTCTGACAATGTTTGCCCCCCAAAAATCCAGAACGTGCAACCAGCTTCCTCGGCGGGCTTGCAGGAAGCCAAAATTACTGACTTCCAGGTGATCATGTCACGGCTAATGTCACTTCCTGCACACTGCACATCACCAATAGAACCATACATTTTGTGCTCATATATACAATAATAATAATCCTTGCATTTGATATAGCACCTTATCATGACGTCTCAAAGCGCTTCACAGAATACACTGAAAAGTGAATTGACCGCATATTTTGCGGGCAAAATGCGGCAGCCAATCACACAAACAGTCATGGATTGAGTAACCACATTTTTTTTAAAGGGATTATTATTCCCCATTAAGGCGATTTGCCAATTGACTAACAATTTGGATTTCTATTTAGTGCTGGGTAAACAGAGATGTGTGGAGTAAGTAAACTTGCCTAACTTTTTGCCCTGCCCGGAATTCGAACCCAGGTCCTCTCACTTGCTAAGGCGAGTGCTCTAACCACTGAGCTAAAGGACTCCTCAATGTACGTAGAAGTGCTGATTGGCAATTATAGTGCTGGTTAGGATTTTATAACAGGTTTCCTGGCATGTTAGTTATCAGCACCTGCAGCCTAGACGAATAATCTTAATTACAAACCGGATTTTAAGATTCTGGAGACATAATATTTTAGAAGGTTAAAAATGAGATCAGAAAACATTTCTTCACACACGGGCTTATGAAAATGTCAATACACTACCCAGAAGGCGACCAAATCGATGGAATGTTTAAAAGGGGAGACCTGATACAGGCCTTTCAAATGAGGGCTTTTGACTGTCAATCGGGATTAATGGTTGGTGAGTCAGTGAGAGCATCAGTTTAAGATAATTAGCAAAAAAGGAGCAAAGGGGAAGGTTAGGAGGAATGGTTTCACAGAGTTGTTAGATTGTAGACTGTCTTGCTGGGTGCAGCGATTGAGGCAGGATCCATATTATAACAACAATTTACAATGCCTTTCTTGTTGGGGGTTCATTTCAAAGCAGTGAGAGCTTGTTGGGATAGGGAAAGGTGGCTGAAAGTGAGGATAAGAATAAAATTTGCTCTATTCAGGACGGTGAGCCAGTGGACTGAGTGAAGCTGGTGACGATGGGCTCACAGAGCACAAAAGGAGTGGACACAGGCGGCAGAAAATCTGAACAGTCTGCAACTTATGTAGGGAGGGCCAGAGTGTTGGAATAATCAAGCCAAGGCGAGTGAGAGCCCAGATTTAAGGTTTGGAGGACAGTTGGGGGGGGGTTGAATATGGAAGGTGAAGGGAGATGTCCTTCTTGCTTTTATAGTTGGAGGTGAGGATGGAGGGAGTATGGGAGAGTGGGCTGAGGAAAAGGTTGGTGGTGGAGAAGATGAGTTTGGGACTCTTTATTATTTTTCAAAAGGGAATTAGATAGAAATACAGGGTCGTGATAACTATTATCTAAAAGCAAAAATATCATAATTTCCTTTAGACATATTAGACTTTGTAATGGCATCATGACGTTTTGGTCACCTTGTATGAAAAGGAGCATTTTTGTGGGGAAAAGGAAGGTGAATGGGATTGGATGGATTATTCTTTCAAAGAACACATCACAGGCAGGAATGACCTTTTTCCGTGCTTTAAATTTTTATGGCTCTGTGGTTCCTTGTTGGAGTAAGTGGCATGAAAAAAAGGCACAGAAATGGGATTAAAAGTTCAGCCATGATCGTAGTAAACTGGTGGAACCGGCTCGATGGAGTGAATAAGCTCCCCTGTTCCCATGTAATGGATAGCATAAGGAGTCCATGTGGTCACCGTATCCAAACTAGAACAAAGAGCTTGTAGCTCTGAAAGGGAAGCGTACAATTCACACAGGAACATCAGACTCACTCCGTAAGCACGGCTGTAGCTCTCCCCAGCCATGGCAGTCAGCTCTGTGTCCAGCAGGTCCCTGGCTTTGTCAATGCACTGCAAACAAGCACATGTCAAGGCAGTTTTAGTAAAGTATGTTTGTAAATAACTATGAATCCAATTTTGATCCATTAATCATAGAATGCATTGTGTATCGCTGGGGTTTCTGCTGACCCCTCTGACCTTTGCCACTGTTTCCCAGAATGTGTAGTATTTCTCCCAGTTTTCATGTCTTGCAATCCTTGCATTTGATGTTGCGCTTTATCACATCATTGAGACGTCTCAAAGCGCTTCACAGGATATATGGTAAAGTGGATTCACTGTGTATTTTGTGGGCGAAATGAAGATTTGTTACGATTTTATACAGTGCCTTTCACCTTGGCAGGACGTCTCAAAGCCCTTGACGGGATTTACTGTAAAGTATGGGACAGTATTTTATAGGCAAATGCATTTGCATGTTGTTATAGTTGAAAATTTTGTTTCTCCCAATTCATTTCCCTTTATATCCTCTGGACCCTCACAGCCCCTCTCAAATAATTGTTATTAGCCAACGAGCGAGTGGAAACGTGAGCCAGAATGGAATCTCCTATGACCTCACTTCCTTCCCGCCAGCTGGATACCTGGTGACCTAACGATGAGAGACTCAGCACTGGGGCATCGGAGAGGCCCGGGAACAGCTTGCTGACAGATGGTGCACGTCAGAGACAGGGGGAAAGGGAGAAGTACAGAATTCTGCTCTAATGCAGCTGGAATGCCTTAATGATGGACAGCAGAACAGCAACATCCCTCACACTTGTATCTGTGCTGGTTCAGGAATCGCTTTTACCTCTATTACCTGTCTGTCTTTATTAGTTTAGAGCAGAATCTAAATCTCAATTCCTTTTTGAGATAGTCGCTTGCCTCCCTGAGCGCACACAATTGAGAATTCACTTTGAAACTCATATAAAAATGCAATTACTTTCGTATGCACATATGAAAGTAATTATATCGCTTAATCAACGTATTGCTTACGGATTTTCTAATTTACACTGACAAAACGTGTAGAAATGCTTTCAGATTTCATGCGTGTCACCTTGATTTGTCATAAGTAGGAGAAAAAATCCTTTTTAGTTGCCTGGGAATGGTCTGTGATCAGATCAAAGCTTGGCCTGCGCCTGAGACTTGCATTAATTATACTTCACAGGAATTCTTCAGCCCTTTTTTTGACGAGAGTGACTGCAAAGATTCTGAACATAGGCACGAGGGGAAGTGGAAGAAACGAGAGAGGAAGGATCACAATACGAGTTTAAAGATCACAAAGAAATTAAAACACACACACACACAAACAATGTCAGTGCTCAGCGTGACAGGGGAAGCAGTCAGGTCAACATCTGATGTGTATCAAGCAGCACGAAAATAGCTACAGGATTGTAGAGAGTACCCAGGCTAACGGAGGCATGGGTACCCAACAGCAATAAAATTAGTGTTGAAAACTGCGAGGGGAGGGGCGAAATTTGAAGCATTGCTAAGAACATCCCCAAGTACATTCCATTCCTCAATTAAACATCAGTTTACCAACCGGCAGAAAAAAAAACAGATTCCAGACCTACTGAATTAACGCACGCACCCCTCTCAGCCCCACCCCCGGACTGGTCTGATCCAAAGTGGCTTTCCAAATTGTTTCCCCACTCTCTTGTATTCCTGCTTTGAGTGCATTGTCCCCCAATTGATTTCCTTGACCCTATTCAGCATTTGAGTACCATCTGCCAGGAGACTGCCGATGACCTATATTTAGCATCTCCGAGACATTGCTCTCTGCAGTCAGGAACAACAAATGGGAACGCAGAAATATTTGGCCCTGACCACGTGCTGAAGCTGGAGTGGGGGGGGGGGAAATTCCTGGGCAGGGTTACCCTACTCCACACACCTCTATTTATCTAGCAGTAAGTAGGAACCCGGTTGTTAGTCAATTGGCGGATCACTTTCTGGGATAATAATCCCTTCAAAAATAAGTTACTCAATCCACGACTGTTTGTGGGACGCTGCTGTACGCAATTGGCTGCTGCATTTTGCCCATAAAAAATACACAAGCGATTCACTTTACAGTATATTCTGTAAAGAGCTTTGAGACATCTCGTAGACGTCATAAAGCGCTAAATTAAAATGCAAGGATTATAAGAGGAATTGGTGATCTTTTGAAAGGTTTGTCCACTGCACTGTGAGGGGATTGATTTACTACTGGGGCCAGGGGTCAGTGCACCTGGCGAAGGACAAGAAGGGATAGAGGGAGCTGAGTTGGAGAGCAGCTGGCAGTAAAGCTTTTTAGTGTTCTATTGACGTCATTTCCAAACCACAAAATGGCTAAGTGACATTTAAGGTCAGCACTCTAAGCGCTCTGAGACGCTACCCTGCATGGAGGCCGCTATATAAGCCCAAGTTGTTATTATTGTTGATGTTGAGGTCTGCCCATAACTTACAGAGTTTGGGGATCAGCCTGGCACCAAAACAAAATCAAATCTAATTTTAAAATTTGGTTTAACAATGTTATTGTGGTGAATACTTACACGTAAAACTCACATGTGAACTGATGGAAGAGCGCAACATAAACATAATAATAATGATCCTTGCATTTGATATGGTGTTTGAGACGTCTCAAGTATACTGTATAGTGAATTGACGGATTGTTTTTGGACGAAACACGGCAACCAATTGCGCACAGCAGTGTCCCACAAACAGCACTCTATCAAATGCAAGGATTATTATTATTTTTTTCAATGATTATCGAGTATATGAAGTCATTATATCGACATCTTTATATTCAGTATTGTTCAGCTAAACGAGCCGCGTAAAGACAGTAATGCACACCTGTTGGGCTAAAGAGAAAAGGTCTTGATGCAAAGCCAGCACTGCTCTGTAGAAGGCGCCATCATGGGTGTCTCTTGGGATCATACACGTGTATTCCTCCATACTGTCCCAGTGACCTGTCAAAGGTACACAATTAGCACCTTGTGTCATCCACACATGTACACACACGCGTACACACACGCGCACACACCCACGTACACACATGCACGTACACGCACACTTACACGCACGCACGTACACTCACGCACATGCACGCACGCACATACCTGCACGCATGTACACACACGCACGTATACACACGCACATACACCCACACGCACGTACACACACAAATGTACACATTCTTACACACATGCACGTACAACCTACACACATGCACGCACACATACGTACACCCGTACATACAGACACGCACGCACGTACATACGCGCGTTCACACACGCACGTACATGCAGGTACGCACATACCCATGTACACACACACAAGTACACGCACGCACTTACACACATGCACTTACACACAAAAGCACACACGCACACACAGACACACGTACACACACATGCACACAGACGCATGCAGGTACACATGCACGTACACATGCACTTACACACATACACACACGAAAACAACACGGACGTACACACACGCACGTATACACACGCATGTACACACACACACGTACACAACCCACATACACACACGTACGTACACATTGTGTAAAGATGGTAACTGTGAACCTTTCCCTGTACTTATCTGGTTAGTGTGTTCTACCCAAAATACCTCTGATTTGTTGAGGACACGTCTACATCTTTAAGTCACATTGTTGAGCCAGACAGGCCAGTCAGTCATCAAAAATGACTTAATTATCGCAGACTTGCCAAGGATTCTGGTTAGCTTCCCTCCTCAACCCTAAAGCATATCTGATGTGGTGTTCTTCTGTCGACAGGGTGAAAGGTTAAGCAGATGCTTTTGGCATCAGGTCTAGTGACTAAACTGACTGAGCTGATTCCAGCTACTGTTCAATAGCTTAAATTTGCAGTGGCTATATCCAGGTCTAAAGCCTCTTTGCAAAACACAGCAGTTGAACTCCTGTCACTATCAGAGTTTAAATGTCTCGATCACTAGTCTGGCTAACGAGTTTCTACTTTTGTTCCATTACGGCTTACATACTGGATTTATTTAATTGATAAATATTCCAGTGTTTAAAGTTCAGCTTCTGATCTTTTCATCTACATTGAAACCACATGGTTAAGGTCAATTTATGGACAGCAATCATTGATTTCTTCGAAGAGCCAGCGAATGACTGCTGACATCGGGGCAATGTCACATTGGGTGCAAATCACTAGCTTGAACTCATCGGCAAAGCTAGAAACAAGTAAATTAGAACATTTTTTTTATCTCAATGGGGGTTTACTGCTCAGTTTTCTGTGGATTAAGGAACCCAGTAAAAGGTGAAATAAAAAGGAACTGAGAGGCCCATGAATTCCATTTTCCTGTAATTGAAGCACAATTGATGCTTTGCTAAAGATCTGTCACAGTCACCATCGCTGCCCTCAGTGAGTGGTCATAATTCAACAACTGCTCAGTTATATGGCAGCTTTCAGGTAAAAGGAACCTCTCACAAAGAAGGGAGTTTTTCCCCAAGTGTCCTGGCCAACAGTCCCCCAAATTAAAAAAAAGTGATTCAATCGTTGCTGTTCGTTGGATTGGCTGCCACAAAATACACAGTCACAACACTTCATAGTATATCCTGTGAAGCACTTAGAGACATCTTCTTGATGTGAAAAGGCATTATGTCAAATGCAAGGATTATTATTTCTCTAAACTTGTTGATAATAATAATCCTTGCATTTGAAACAGCGCCTTATCACGTTTTCGAGTCATCTCAAAGCGCTTCACAGAATATATTGTAAAGTGAATTCATTGTATATTTTGTGAGCGAAACTGTTACAGAAGAGATGAATTAGACGTGGGAGTGATGATCTTCTGGAGACAAACTCAGTGGCTAATCTATGTCAGCAATGTTCAACAAAGAGCAGTCAATGAGTTAGAATTTGGGGCCGAATTGAAACTTTCTATTGTGTCGATGAAATGAATGAACACTGGGGACCATAGACTTCAGAAGCGTTCTTTGTGTTAAAGTGAAACTCTTTGGAATTTAGTTTCTCTTTAAAAGAACAAATTATTCAAAACCCTGAAGCCTCGCAACGAATCAAGAACAAGTTTCTTTTGAAACGCCATGAAGCGCTCTTTACTCAAAACAAACCAAGTCTACGGTGTTTATTTTTCAAGGATATGAAAGCCCTCTACGCTCTCTATGGGCCCCCATGTCTTCCTGAGGCCAGCTACTGACTGACATGCCAACAGGACAGCTTTGATTCCAGGTTTCTCTCACTGCCGATGCATGATATCTGCAAGGATCGTTTTCCCTTTGATTTCTGTGTTCCTCCCCACTCCCCCCCGTGTCGTTAGCCCAGAGGAACGCGGCTGAAATCCAAGGCCTAAAATTCCACCTAACCTTAGCCCGTGTCACCAAAATTTAAGAACTGGAGAAAACGAAATTTGAAAGCCGATTTTCTGCCGGTTATTAAAAAGAGACTGGCTTCAAAATTGTGATTGGATTTAGCACACAACAATGTTTCAAAGGCTGAGACTAGGTGGAATTTCAGGCCTCAGGTGTCCAGTCGTGGTGGGAGGCAATCAAACCAGACTCCCAATACGATACTTGGGATCCACAGAGCGCTTAAATCAACAACAGCGACTTTCACGCTGGGCAGGTCCCGGAATACTTAAACAAGAAACACAGGTCCCAATGTTTGATGTTTGTCACATACCCAGTCCCCATGCTGCTGCTGCAGCCATTCTGGCCATCTTTGCTTGTGTGTCCTCACAAACCACCGTCCATTTCTCACAGCACTGCTGATGGAGCTGGCCCCTGCAATTCAGCAACAAAACGGGGTTAATGAAGGAGATCCTCGCAGCACTGTTGGGCAGGAGGACCCCTTATTTAAAGACTTATATTAGTTTACAGTTTATTTTTTTCGCTTACATGGATAAGAGAATTAGCACAGCGGTACTAATGGCTTAGAATCTCGCATGACTCAAGATCAGAAGTTCTCTTCACAGGAGAGCTTGGGATGAAGAAGGCTCTTCAGTCCATTTGATCTCATTCTTCCTGAATAATCCATCCACCATTCTCCCCTCACCCATCAAGCTAAGTCTTGAATGAGTCCAATGTCCTGGCAAATGCATTTGAAATAGCACCTTATGTTGTTGAGACATCTCAAAGCACTTCACAGGATACACCGTAAATACTGGAGGGCTTGCGTATTTTGTGGACATAATGACCAATGAAAAAATTAACACCCTCCTTCATCCTCCCTCATGGGTTAATCTCACAAAACAGCAGTGTCCCACAAACACTCGTAGATTGAGTGACCAATTTTTTTTTGAAGAGATAATTAGCCACAGAAAGCGACCCACCAAATCGACTAATAACCGTGTTCCTACTTACTGCTAGGTAAACAAAGGCGTGTCAGAATCTACGTTCAAAGTCCTGACGTGGGGCTTGAACCCACAAACTTCTGACTCGGAGAGAGTCTTACCAACTGATCCAAGCTGACACCTGCAACGCCAGGCATCCTATATTTGGGTTACCACAGGGCTTTTACTTGCTGCTCTGTTCGGTTTCCCTTACACCACAGCGCACGTAAGCCTGCTCATGACCTGCTCATGAGCAATGGCCCTTAGTGAGGGCTAATTTCTACAAGGCTCAGAAGCTGGCTTGCCTTCACTTGGTTTACTGCAGCAAAGCACTTTCAAATATGCTGTTGCCTTAGAAGCAATGATAACTGGATGTAAACCTGAGATTTGGCAATTCACATTGGCGAGAGTGACTGATTGATACAGGAAATGACCAGCGATGAAGCAATGAGCACACGCCTGAGGTTAGACTGGATTATTGTAGCATTTCCAAGATAAACTCTTTTAAGCTATTTTAACCAAAAGTATTTTAATCATTGTGTCCCTGCAGTTACACTCACTCTGAATACAGAATGTTCTGATGACTATTGAGCTTCAAAGCATTGATAAACACTCGCATGCCAAATCGCAAAAATAATGAGTCATCAACTTGGTCAAAACAGTATTACTGGTAAAAGTGTAATTTCTTGTATGCTTTGGATTGAGTCAGTAACTTACGTCTCATCCAAAAAAAAATAAGAATAATCATTTGGTCACTTTAAGGGAAAACTTAACCAAAACTATTTTTAAAAAAGTAGAGTTTTTTGTTCCTCCTGGAAATGTATCCTGGCTTGTATTTTCCCCCGTCATCTAAACTAGCTATGAAAAATCTCATTCTAATCATTTCATTACTGTATATAGGACGCTGTTGGCCCAGGATAAGCTGCTGGGTTAAGACTCCATGATTATACTCGCTTCATTTTAATGAATCGCATTCTATAAAGTGCTTAAAGATCTTTCTTTTCTCTGCATGCATACTAATTATTGTCGTCGCCAATGGTAAAAATACCAGTAACAGAGATTCATGTTAATTGTATTCATTGCTAATGGAACATGATATTAATTTTTGCATTTAATAGTCCTGATGTGCATAAAGTTGTTCTTCCTTTCTTATCTCAATAGGATTTTTTTCTAATTACTAAAATAGTTTTTCATTAGGTTTCATTGAATCTGTAAAACAGGCAATTTGCACAATGCTCTTGTGGTGCTGTTTCATTTCTTTACTTTGGTCTCAGTGCATTATGTGGTGTCTCTCAGTGATTTATGTTTATGTAACACTTGATCAAAGCCAGTGTTCACTTGGACTCAAAACTATTCTGACATGACATGTACAAAGCCTTGCACACCATCACTTAATTCAACAGTCATTATTAAAGCAGAAACACTGTGTCAGCCTAGCTTATTCGGCAGCAGTCTTGCTAACCAACTGAGCCATTGTGGGTTAAAGACCCACATTGTGACATTGAGCTCACAGTCTAAGCTGACACTGCAGCACAGTGCTGGGGAGTGCATTGTCTTTTGAGTGAAGGATTGTCTGAGATCCCGTGACAAAAGAGAAGAAAGTTTCTCCTAGTGTCCGGGCCAATTATCGCCCAAATTAAAAGAAACGAGCATTCCCTTTGTGGGCTGTTTGTGTGGCATTGCTCTGTGCAAATTGGCTGCTATGTTTGTCGATAAAATACACAGCTTCTACACTTCACAATAAATCCTGTGAAGCACTCAATGACTCGGGACACTATCCCGTGTGAAGGGCGCTATATTAACAGTTGTTGTTATTTTTGTTGTTCTGTTCCCCCCCTTTTCACTTTACTTCTTCCTTCCTTTCTCCCCACCCTTGCACTCTCCATTAGCTAATATTGATTGCTCGCCCACCAGCATCTGTCATCACACGGGCAGCAAAATAACTAAGCAAGAATTAAAATGCTTTACAGATCCTAAACTTAAAAGAGAATCTTTAAAAAAAAGGAAACAAGAAACGACTGGATAGCATTTGATCTCAGGGCATCTCTGATACCTGAACTGCTGTGAAATTCCACATGTTCATGTTATATTATTTGACATCTCTAGAATCACACTAGGTGCCCAAGACTCTATTAAACAGAAAATAGTTCAGTAGAAAAATTGGCAGCTCTTCATCCAGACTCTATAAACCGTTATATTTCAGGACGTAAAACGGAAATTTGGGAAACTCTGAGCCCGTACTCAGAACACTGCAATGTTTTAATAAGTTATGGGGTGACAACTGTATTATGGCAGCTTTGAAATGCTACTGATGTAGGAAATGGAACACAGTCTCTCAAAATATACTGAGGCGTACTGTTCCCCCTGTGAGCTGACCTACAGCGGCAGCATTTAAAATAAAGTCTAAAACCTACATTTGAAATGTATTAATGTACAGCCTATCAATCACTCAAAATGGGCATGTTGTGGACACAGTGTGGCTTTGTATGGGTCTGTATAGGACAATATTAACTTGTTGCATAAGACCTCATCAAAATACAACTTGGTGACTTTTGAGTGACATTTTAATCTTGACAGGCGACAGACCACTCAAAAGGCTCATTATTGGGCTTTTTGCCAGTTTGTTACATAAAGGCCACAAGTATCCTTCAGTATTAATAGTTACTGTGCGTCTTTGTAAACAACATGCCTTTAAGTTAATCATAGACCCGTTGAACACATTTCTGATGCCTATACCTTTCCCTGAGCGCTGTGCAAATACACAAGAATTGGGACGAGGATTTGCAGCACAACAAATAATAATAATAAACCTTGCATTTGATCTAGCCCCTTATCAAATCTTCGAGACATCTCAAAGCACTTCACAGGATAAACTGTAAAGCAAATTGACAGTATATTTTGTGGGCGAAACACGGCAGCCAATTGCACACAGCAGTGTCACAAATAGTTGTGAACTGAGTGACCAAATTATTATTATTAAAAAAAATTTGGAGGGATTATTAACCCCGGAAAAGCGATCTACCAATCGACTAACCAGGTAAACAGAGGCGTGCGGATTAAAGAACTTGTCCAACATTTCGCCCTGCCCAGGAATCGAAACCAGGTCCTCTACCTTGCGAGGCGAGTGCTCTAACCTATAAGCTACAAAATTACCTGCTCTTTACAGTCCTCCATATATAATTTTAATAACTTTTCTAAAGGAAAACGCACTAAAAAAGCAGAAAAGTTTCAGTCTGATCTGCTCACCAGCCTTGAGGTTCCGAATGGACATTCGGGCTACTCATCCCTGCTTTGCCTCTGTCGTGAAGCACTAACAAGATAACAATGGTCAAACATTCCAGATATAGCTTGGTTCACTCAGATTTCCCTTTTTTTCTTTTAGAAAAAAAAGTTAGGTTGTTGAAATCCGACTTTCGTGTGAAGAATAAGCTTCACAATGTGCGTGCCACCATGTCATTGAGAGGCAAAGCGTAAACACTGGCTTTCTGCCAGAAAGAAATGTAGAGCGACATCTCTGTAACTGGATGCTGTCATACACCCGTCTCAGTCAAGTAGAACCCATATTTTAGCGCACATCTGAGTACGCTTCCATTAACTCTTGGTTACGAATGAACTAGGACAAGATTTACTTCTGCAACATCATTGGAACCGAGCATTTAGCTCGGCCCTCTCATACCATGTGGAGTCCTGTAGCTCAGTGGTTAGAACACTCGCCTCGCAAGCGAGAGACCTGGGTTTGATTCCTGGCAGGACAAAACCTTGCGCAAGTTTCGTTACTCCACACGACTGATAATAATCCCTCAAGAAACAAAAAAAACAATAAATTGTTCATCAATTCCCCATTGTCTGTGGGACCCTGCTGTGCCCAATTGGCTGCCAGGTTTTACCTAAAAATGTACAGTCAATACATTTTACAGTATATTCTGTGAAGTTCTTTGAGACGTCTAGAAGCTGTGAAAATCCCTATATCAAATGCAAGGATTATTATTATATTCCATGTCCTGCTTGGTGAAAACAATTCTTCCAACCATTCTCCTATCTTTTCATTCCCACTTGAACCAAATGAACTGGTTGACTCAAATGTACATCATCAACCTTAAAAAAAAATTCTCATTAAAAACAATCCTGTGAACTTTGCAGAAGAACACTGATTAGACGTTTCCATAATTCTGCTATTTTACTGTCAAATTGCACTAATAATGTTCACACATTTACGTCCAATTTGTTATGAGGTGTAGTAGTTTGCTGTCACAGTTGGGCAATGTAATGCTTGCATTTATATCAACAGTCAAATGCACAATTGTGGACTTAATTAACCTGTTAACCCTCATCCTGCTGAATAAATAGGAGCTCCATACAGCCATGTTGCCTCTGACCAGTGCTTTAATAAAGAGTTAATAGCTGCCTCTGGGATCTCAGCCAGTTCAAACAAAACCTTCCAGGATTTGATTACTGAAGTCCCCAAAGGGTCAACTCCCTTGATGCCTGCTATCAAGGACAGCTGCGATTTCAGGACCTTTAGACACTGCAAACTGATCAATGACGCTATTATGCACCCCTTCAAAGAGCCGGAAACCAAAAATATATGAGCTGTCTTAAGTGATATGTAAATAAACAGACACATGGGTTATACAAAGGAGTTAGTCTATTAGAAGTCATGTGAAACCACTTGAGTGTTGAGTTTAGACAATCTGACCTGTCGCCATGTATTTTACCTGCTTTCAGCTCAGAGGAGACAAATTAGCAGAAATACTCATCTGGGAACCGCAGTACACAGCCTTCCAGAACCTGTATTCAACTCAAAAACGAAGAACAATACGCAGGCCTCTGCCCACACTTCTCCGATGGTAAGCTAATGGCCGGGCAGGCAAGGTCTCTGCAATATGCTTACTTACGTTTAAAAACTTGAATTTTTAGAGCTTTACCTACCATGACAAAACATCTCAATGGTTTTTCTTTATATAACACTGTCAGACTCCAAAGTTGCTAATCTTATGGAGTGCAAAGGTAACAGGGTAACATGTGAATTTCATATGATATTATTACATTATTAACCCCTTGTTCTCAAGGATAAAGTCAGAGAAGCTGGTTACTGATGTTCATCGATTCTCAGCCTTCCCTTTTCAAGCAGTTTGCTTATTTAATGACCCGATATCCTTTGCAGAAGCATAAAGGAAACAATTTGCAGTGTAATGGGGAAAGAGCGGGGGAAAGAGTGGCACTGATTGGGTAACTCTTCCAAAGAGTCGGCAAAGGCCCGATGGGCCGAATGGCCTCCTTCTGTGCTGTTACAATCTCTGATTCTACGATCCTAAGATACTGGCAGTCCACGCAATGGGTGAATTGGAGATGCTAAAAGCTACAGACTTCCCCATTGAGAACAGTGTATGGGAAGCCCGTTCAACATCCTAAATCATATGGCCCACAGAGGTGACTCAACACCTCCAGCCCACTTCTCGCTCACCATTCTCCGAGGGCTTCCAAGCAGCGCATCCGTCCGAGCACCAGCTCAGGGTCGTCCTTGTTCATGTCCATCTTCTTGTCATAAGCTACTAAAGCATCTTCCCATTCGTGAAGCTTCTCATACCACGTTGCTTGGATCTCCTGGAAACCAATGGCCCAAAATGACAAATTTAAAGAGGTTTATACTGCAGCACATATTCCCATCTAACTCTCCTCGCTGCCCTCCTTAGCTCCAACCTTCAAAATCCCAGTTACATTCTCACCCACCCCAAGCTCCTCACACCCATTGTATATTGAGTTTATGGGTGAGCAAATGTATTTTAAAAAACATTGCAAGCTTCAAAGAAGACCTTTTAGCACCCTCACACCTGAGTCAGAATAACCCCACTGGCAGTCCAGTGCTGAGGGAGTGCTATATTGTCAGAGGTGCCATCCTTCGGACGAGATGTAAAGCCCAGGTCCCGTCTGCCTGTTCAAGATCACTATTCAAAAAGTGTCTTGACCAAAAATGTCACACATAAAATTGCTCAATTTCAGAGCAAGGTCATTCAGTTCATGGCTGTTCGGGACATTGCTGTCATGTTAGCCTACAAATATTTGGGAAGGACAAGTTTGCAGGGCTATGGGAAGAGAGCAAGTGAGTGGGATTTATTTGGATAAATTCTTTTAAAAGAACTGGCATAGATAGGATAGGCCGAATGGCCCCCTCCTGTGCTGTATAATTCTAGATTCTATGAAACACACACATTTCACATTAAATGGTGTGAAGTGCTTTGAGATGTTTTGACGCTATATGAAATGCATGGATTATTATTACCATCTTCTATTTCTCCCACCAGTTTTAATGATTGTAACGTTCGCATATTAATGAAGCTAAAGTGCAATAGTGTGCTGGAGAGCATATAGAGATTTACAACACAGAAGGAGGCCATTTGGCCCTTCATGCCTACGTCAGCTCTTTGAAAGAGTTACCATATTATTCCTAAAGACACCCAAAAACAAAGAAGATATGAACACAATAAAATAAAACCAGGGGTTATGTTATCTGCTAGACTGGCACTATTCTCATCTGATGTCCCAATTCTCTGGAACTCCATCCTGGAGTCCCCCTAATTCGCCCCATCCCTAACCGCTCTCAAAATCCATCTGAAGACCTTCGATTTTGACAGCACTTTCGGACATCTTCCTCCCACCCCCAAACCAGGGCTGTCGGGCACTTGCGATGTAAAAGGCACTGTGTAAATGTAAATTTGTATGGTATAGATGTACACTTTCTAGTAGGAAGTCTCTGGATAGGAATGGAGAGCAGAAATCCTGCCTGACTTTCTTCCTATCGCAGTGGGTAGCGAGAATAATTAGAGCCCTAACTGTTGCCCCATGATGGAATCTGTGACCTTCCAGTTTGTATGGTATAGGGTGGCTGTGTCTCTACTCTGCACAATGAACCATCAGGAGGGGGTGGGGGGCATTCATCTCAGAGCTGCTGTACATTTGAATAAATGTTGTGAGCACAGAAATAAAATGCAGTTTAATGCTGTACCCTTTCTAATAAAAGCTAGCTATTAGATTCTTCAATGTTACTGAGACTCAAAACATTTACAAGTGATATCTGTGGCAACTAAAGCCACATGCGCGCACACACAAGCACTTAATTTCTGGAAAATCTTTTACAAAATATGAAAGATTACTCTTCGACCCGTTTTTAACACACTGCCTTGGTTCTCACCATAAAACAGAGTTCTCAATTTCTCTACAATATATAATTTACTCTCACTAATCCCAAAGGGTACATGAGGGATATGAAGTATATTGCCCTGAAAACAAACAATGCTAGAGGCACAAGCAGGATTGAGGGGCTCTCTCTTTGACAAACAAACTGGGAAGGAATGTGATATAATTTCTCATATCAACTTGCTATCCCACAGCCCTCTCTTAATCTTGCAGTTTAAGCTCCTGTGCAGGAAGTGCTAACGCAGACACCGCTCATTCTCACTGAGAGCAGATGAAAGTGAAGCAAGTCAAAGTCAGAATTCCCAATTCACAAACTAAACAGCAAAAACATTCAGATGTTTTGACACATCTTTCGGCTTTGTTTGAATAAAGATAATTTATCTCAAGTGCCTCCTTCTGTGACAACACGGGCTGAATTTTATGTCTTTCCCAGCAACAGGGGCCAGTGCCTCTTTGGAAGGTTTTCACAATGATATCATGATGTAAATACAATGATGTAATGCACAGAAAGCAATCTCCCAATCCCTTCAAAACAGAACATTACACTGAGCACTCCCCATAGACTCTTAGTTCACAGGTACACAATGTCACGGAATAGCTCACTTCAAATTTATATGCTTAGACTACCATAATGACCACCAAAGTAAAAAATAAGCAGTTAATCCTTGCGTTTGCCAAAGCATCTATGATACCGAAACATCTTGAAGTATTTCACAGCTAATTGCTCTTAACTGACTGTAGGCAAACTTGTCTACCGTGTTTCGCCACAAAATACACAGTCAATCTACTTTACAATATATTCTGTGAAGCGCTTTGAGATGTCTCAGCGACGTGTTAAGGCGCTATATCAAATGCAAGAATTTATTAAACTTGGCTATTGAACTATTTTTATATTTTACACAAATTATTAATTTAATCCTCGCAATTGATATAGCACCTTAACAGGTCATTGAGATGTCTCAAAGTGTTTCACAGAATATTGCAATATTTTCAGGAGTCCTTAGCTCAGTGGTTAGAGCACTCACTTTGCAAGTGAGAGATCCTAGTTCAATTCCAGGCAGGGCGAAACCTTGGGCAAGTTTCCTTACTCCACACACCTAATAATAATCCCTCCAAAAAAAACCAATAATAAATAGGTCATTTTGAATCCATGACTGTTTGTAGGACATTGCTGTGCGCAATTGGCTGCCGTGTTTGCCCAAAAATATACAGTCAATTCACTTTACAGTATATTCTGTGAAGCGCTTTGGGACATCTAGAAGACGTGAAATGCGCTATATCAAATGCAAGGCTTATTATTATATTCTGTCAAGTAAATTGACTGTGTATTGCGTAGGCGAAATACTAAACACTAAATCGCAGTGGAACCCACAAATAGGGAAAATAGCTTGTGATCTAATTTTGCTGCCAATTTCACTGAAGTGGAGTAAATAACCAGATTCACTACAATAAGATTTGGTTACAATCACAAACAACATATCAATGAGAACAGGGTGCTGTGAGGCTGACAGGGGGGGTGGAGAGGAGAAAGAGGACTAGAACACGAGCAGAATAGCTAAATTATAGTTCATGCAAAGGAACACCAAAACATTCAATACTGGAGGAATAAAGATACTTAAACGTTGATCGCAAAGGTAATTAAAGGGGAAGTTTGTTTATAGTAATGATGGTTGGAATGTTAAATTATCTGGTACAAGCCATAGCTTGCTGAAGTCTATCAATTATTTTTAAAAAGAGAATCAGATAGATGCTTAAGAGGGATGCTGAAGGGAATAAGGTGTAACCCGGACAGTGGAATTATACTACATGGCTCATATTGACAAAAATGCTTGACGAGCCGAATGGTTTGTTTCTGTAATGTTTCAGGATTCTACGATAGACCTTTGCATTACTTTACAGGAGTAGCCAGTTAATAGCTATCTCTCAAAGCGTAAGCACAGCTGCCACTGGACGTCACGCCATCTCCTCATTCAAGCTGATCTTGTGGTGAATTTAAGGAATGTCTAACTCCGAGCCAGTAACGGGTGACCTTCCAGGGAAAAGGAAAACAATCAGTGATGGGGTCAAACTTACTTAAAGTTTGGTTTCATTGTTGGATGTCATAGCTCCGTTTGAATGTGATGACAGAACATGAGAAAAGATAATTCCCACCACATTCATTTCGCCTCACTCAGGTTACTAGTTTACCTAAATGTTCCAACAATATTGCAAAAGAAATGGAGAAGGGCATGGGTTACGAAGTTTGGAGTTATGAAGTACGCAGTGAGAGTATCCTATGAAACAAATCAGTTTCCCTTTATTAACTAAGCCAACAGAGCCTGGCTCAGTTAGGAACTCTCGTTCCTGAGTTAGAAGGTTGAACAGATTGTCAAACGCATAATAATAATCCTTGCATTTGATATAGCGCTTTTCACGTCGGGAGGGCATCCCAAAGCGCTTCACAGAATATACTGTAAAGTGAATTGACTGTATATTTGTGGGCGAACGCGGCAGCCAATTGCGCACAGCAGCGTCCCACAAACAGTCGTAGATTGAAAATGACCAATTTAATTATTGTTTTTGGNTTTTGGAGGGATTATTATTAGGCTCTGTGTGGAGTAAGGAAACTTGCCCAAGGTTTCGCCCTCTGCCTGGAATTGAACTCAGGTCTCTCACTTGCAAAGCGAGTGCTCTAACCACTGAGCTACAGGACTCTATGTCAGGATTTGAGCTCCTTGTCAATGCTTCAGTGCAGTATTGAGGGTTTTCTACATTGATGAAGATGCCAGGTAAACTGAGGTTTCATTTGCTTGTTTGGGTGGACATTGAAGATCCCATGGCACTACTTAAAAACAGGAGGGAGTTCTCCTACAATCCTCCAGAAAGATAAAATCAGTCATTTACTTCATGGCCATTTGTGGGAAATTGCTGTGAGCAAATTGGCTGCTGTGTTTGCCAACAAAATTCAGTCACTACACTTTGCAGTAAATCCTTTGAGACATTACAAGATGCTATATCTAAGCAAGGTTTATTATTGGTGCAGTATGTGTGTTCAGAATGATCATCAGATCTCTATTTCTTTCTTCCTCCTCTTTCTAAAACTCTATCAAGTTCTTATTGAAACAAGCTGGTTTTGATTGAAACATTGATTTAGGTTCCCCTGCACAAAAAGGGACAGAAGGACAAACCTGGGAACTACAGGCCAGTCAGCCCAACATCAAAGTGGGGAAACTCCTAGATACTATAATCCGGGACAGAATAAATCTTCACTTAGAAGAATATGGGTTAATTAGGGACAGCCGACATGGATTTGTTAAAGGCAGATCTTGTCTAACAAATCTATTAGAATTTTTCAATGAGGTAACGGAGAGGGTGGATAAAGGTAATGCAGTTGATGTAGTTTATATGGACTTTCAAAAGGCATTTGACAAAGTGCCACATGAAAGATTTGTAAGAAAGATAGAAGCTCATGGTATAAAAGGGACAGTGGCAGCAGATCCAGAACTGACTGGGAGACAGAAAGCAGAGAGTTGTGGTGAACGGCTGCTTTTCTGACTGGAGGGAAGTTTATGGTGGTGTCCCCCAGGGATCGGTATTAGGACAACTGCTCTTCTTAAAATACATAAATGTTCTGGACTTGGGTATAGCAAGTGCCATTTCCAAGTTTGCGGACAACACAAAGTTAGGGAGGAGGTAAACAGTGAGAAGGATAGTAGCCAACTGCAGGAAGACATAGACACAATGGTGAAATGGATAGACACATGGCAGATGAATTTCAATGTGGAGACATGTGAGGTAGAAAGAATGAGGGGAGGCAATATAGGCCGGTAATACAATCTTAAGGGGGGTGAAAGAACAGAGAGACCTGGGGGTGCAGGTAAATGAATCCTTGAAGGTGGCAGGACAGGTAGATACAGCTGTAAAAAGGGCATATGGGATAATAATAATAATCTTTACATTTGATATAGCGCTTTTCACATCTTCTAGATGTGAAAAGCGCTATATCGAATATTGCGCTTCACACAATATATTGTGAAGTAAATTGACTGTATATTTGTGGGCAAACGTGGCAGCCAATTGCGCACAGCAATGTCCCACAAACAGTCGTGGATTGAAATTGACCAATTTATTATTGTTTTTGGTTTTGGAGGGATTATTATTAGGCTCTGTGTGGAGTAAGGAAACTTGCCCAAGGTTTCGCCCTCTGCCTGGAATTGAACTCAGGTCTCTCACTTACAAAGTGAGTGCTCTAACCGCTGAGCTACAGGACTCCTCGTATACTAGGGATACGAGGCTTTATAAATAGGGGCATAGAGTACAAGAGTCAGGAGGTTATGATTAACCGATATAAAACACTGGTTAGGCCTCAGTTAGAATACTGCGCCCAGTTCTGGGCACTGCACTATAGGAAGGATGTTAAGGCATTGGAAAGGGTACAGAGGAGATACGAGGATGGGAACCAGGAATTTGGGACCGTGATTATGAGGAAAGGCTGGAGAGGCCGGGATTATTCTCATTGGAGCAGAGAAGGTTACGAGGACCTAATAGAGGTCTTCAAAATCATGAGGGGATTTGATAGGTTAGAAAGGGAAAAACTGTTTCCACTGATGGGTGTGTCGGTGACTCGAGGTCACAGATTCAAAATAGTCTCTAAAAGAAGCCGAGGGGAGGGGAGAAGACACTTTTTCACGCAGCGAGTTGTTCGAATCTGGAACGATTGCCTGAAAGGGCAGTGGAGGACGATTCAATAACTACTTTTAAAAACGCAGTGGACGGGTATTTGAGGAGGATGGGTTTGCGGGTTATGGGGAAAGGGCCGGGGAGTGGGACTGACATTACATTGCCCTTTTTAAAGAGCCGCACAGATTTGTTGGGCTGAATGGCCTCTTTTTGTGCTGTACGATTCTATGATAGGTTCTGTTTGTCTTGTGATTCAGATGGATATTCAAGGACCACCTCTATTTTTCCCTCTCTCCTGTCACCGAAAAGTCATCGACCTGAAACGTTAACTCATTTTCCTCTCTCCATAGATGCTGCCTGACCCACTGTGAAATTGTCAAAGGTGTTTGCAGTGCAAATTCACAACCACACTGGATAAAGCAACTCAAGGTGCAGTGGTCATTTCCTTTTGAGCACTGGGAGAAATGGGTTTTAAAAGACACATCAGTCAGCACACCGGAATCCTTAAGTCAGTGGTAGCCAAGCTTTTTGGTCGGGAGAACAATATGAATTTTCTTGATTGAATATTTCTTGATTTTTGGGACAAACAAAGGAAACCTGAAAACACACTATCTATTGAACATGGATGTACCGAAAGCAAATGTTTTGGGGGGGGTGGGGAGTGCTAGGGGAATGTTCGGTGGGGGAAGGGAAATGTTTGGGGGAGGGACCCCACGAGGGAGGAGCCTCGCTTTTTGACAGCCCTACAGGTCCCAGTTTGGCCGTCAGTACTTTTAAGTAAACGAGAAACTGGATTCCTTACACAAACACAGGCAAGATAATCTTATTGCTGAACGGCTGATCTGCTACAAGCAACGAGAAACCTGAAAGCCTGTTGGACTTAGCTGAAAGGCCGTCAAATAACAATTTAAAAATGTGCAGGACCTTGGAAGTTTCTTTAATTCAGTCTAATTTAGAAAATTTGGAGGAAGAGGTCCTTTTTAAAAACTGTGGACCAGAAACAGCTTTCTAATTAATACCGTACTGAATTGACGAACTTTCCAAATTTCTGTATATTTTTTAATTGTAAAACAGCAGTCTTAAGCCATTTCAGGTCTCATTTATCCATTTTTTAAAATTCCTTGCAGTACATTCAAAACAAATCTCCCTCTTTATCTCAGATTTTCTGTATTGCAGGTTTATATACTGGAGCCCAAACTGCTAAATTTGGAGGTAAATCTTACTCTGCATTTATGAGTTTCTGTGTGGCATTGGTCTGTGCAATTGGCTGCTGCATTCGCCCACAAAAATAGTCACTTCGCTTTACAGAATGTCCAGTGAAGTGCTTTGAGACGTCCTGAAGGGAAAGGCGCTATACCCACATACAAGTATTATTATTATTCTCTAACTATCTACTGAACCAGCTGCAGTTTGCAAAATGAATTTCTTTGTAATTATAAGCTAGCAATCCAGCTAAAGATGTCACTTTTTCCAGCTTTTTTTCTTCCTACACAGAATGTCTTAAATCGTATTGCTCTAAGATTGGCACTTCTGTCAACTTATACCACTGATTTGGTCTGAGCACTCACTTAAACATCCGAGCCCTTAAGAAATTTTCCGAGAAGCAGATGTCTCTCTCATCATCATGCGTAATGATGTGCTGTAATACGGAGTGTCTGATTTTTTTTATGAGGAGAAATTGGAATCAGAGCAGAAGCAGAGAGTCATAGTTCTTTTCTCATGCCCTGGAGAAACTACTCTTCTAATCCTGTGTTATTCAAGGCTACAGTCCAAAAATACCAGGAATCTTAAAGGGTTTTTTTTACTTTCAGTTGAAATAACCAGAATGTCCTTTTGGGATGAAACTTTCCACAGCATATGATTGCAAAAACCTATTCAAGGAATTGATCTGTTTTTAAGAGAGTTTGGACAAATAGCGTTTAGCACAGCTACTTGCACAAACTGCAATGTTCTTTCAGTCCTCAATTGTTGATGAAATCTTTCCATGCTTTACATGTCAATTTTGTCAAAATTTGTGAGGTTTAAAAAAAAATTTTCTCATAAAATTCCCAAAAGTAACAATTCAACCAATGAGAATATGCTGATTTTCCCACTGGAACTAATTCCAATTTCCTCCTCTTTCCACATATCCTTTTATATTATTGCTCTTCAACTACGCAGTCGAGTCCTTTTAAAATGCTGCCACGTCATGGCATCAATATCACTTGTTGCAAAGCAGTCTATCCGCTAATAATAACCCTCTATGTGAAAAAGCTTTATTTTGTGGGCAAAATGTGGCGGCCAATTGACCACAGTAGCGACCCACAAACAGTCGTGGGTTGAGTGACCAAATTATTACTATTATTTTTTGAAGGGATTACTACCCTCAGAAAAACGATTTACCAATTGACTAACAACTGGGTTCTTACTTACTGCTAGGTAAACAGGCGTGTGGAGTAAGGAACTTTCCCTGCCCGGGAATAAAGCCCAGGTTGTCTCAATTGTGAGGCGAGTGCTCTAACCACTACACTACAGTGCTCCACGATACATCAAGATGGGAGCATTGGAAAGCACTGATATCTCTGTTTACTCTGGAATACAGAATTCCTCATTTCTCTTCTTTGCGGTGCTTGAGAAATATATGAACATTACTTGATTTCGCCAAAGAAACACAAGTGGTCCACTGTCAACGGGTGACGATAAACTCCTCCAAGATAAGTGCCAGTAAGTCTGTCCAAGTACCGCCAACAGGCTAATTAATCATTTTTTCACAAGTGCTCTAAGTGTATTAGCGAGCTGCTGCTGGAGCTGAGATTAGAATGAGTGGAGCAGCTCTGTTCAAAGACGGACAATCGCAGGTGCTGTTGGCTTTGTGTTTCTCACTTGGCTATTGCAGATTACTAGCAGAGTGAGTGGCAAACTCACCAGCTCCCCAAAGTGTTTCATGGCATATTCCAGCACACCAGCGGCTGCCTCGGGCTGCTGAAGCTTGTTGTTGATGCTGCGAATAGAATGAGAACATTTAGTATAGTGCAACCCACTCCCTGACACAAGTATATAATGCAATCTACATTTAGCTTTGTGTCAGGAGACTGATGCTACTAATAATAATAATCCTTGCATTTGGCTATAGCTCCTTATCGTGTCTTCGAGACGTCTCAAAAGCACTTCACAGGATACACTGTAAAGTGAGATGACTGTATTTTTTGTGGGCGAAAGGTGGCAGCCAATGGCACACAGCAGCATCCCATAAACAGTCGTGGATTGAGTGACCACATTATTATTATTTTTTAAAAATTTAAGGATTACAGTCTTTTTTGATTACAGTCAGAAAAGTGAAAGGTGTAGGTGGGCAGTATATTACAATATTTGCTTTCAGTAGTTGGAGCGAGAAGAGAGTAAGAGGGAGAGAGCACAAGTGAGAGTGCAACTCAGTAGCTGTCCCTGAGCCCAGTAATTAACAGCACTGTGGTTTAGTGCTGTGCTAAATGGATGATCTCAGTCTTGCTGCTGTTGGGTGTTGCTGAGTAAATCCAATCAATGATCCACATGCGAGAAGGAAAAGTTGGAAGGTGAGAATTCCCTCATACACCTCAACTTCACAACAAACCAACTGCTCAGCCAAAATGTCAAACTCTTACTTTAAGAATGAGTAGAATTATTAGCTATTTTAAATTCATCGAGATTAAACAATGTTTCCAAAGCACTTCGGTCTTAATGATGTAAACAAACCATTCATTTCCACAACGTGTAAATGTTTTCCTTAAAATATAAGATGTTGTTAATGACAACACACAAATAAGAATACTATGTTTTTACAGCACCTTATCAGATAGAGCACCTTGTAATGCTCCAAGACTTTATCGTGTGTGAAGGGTGCTCTATAAATACAAGTTTTTAGCACCATTGTCTCAAAGCACTTTACTGTCAAGTGTTGTGTTTTTGTTCTTTTAAGCAAATGTGACAACCATTTTGCATTCTGCAAATTCTCACAAATAGCCACGAGGTAAATGATTGATCGACACTGTTGGCCAGAGAAACTCCCTTCTCTTTTCCAATAACGTCATGGGATCTACAAATATTCAACCAAATAGAAACACAGGTTCTCAGTATAATGCAGTCGTATGCAAAATTCAAATTCAAGATCCTCATCCTCACCTACAAGGCCATTCCCGGCCTCGCTCCCTCCTACCTCTCCGACCTACTATCCCCCTACTTACCTGCCCGTACCCTCCGTTTCCTCTGGCTCCGGTCTGCTCCACATCCCCCGCCCCAACCGCCCTACCATCGGTGGCCTTCAGCCTCTCAGCCCCGAGGCTCTGGAACTCTATCCCCCAGTGCCTTCGCCGCTTCCTCCCTCTCCTCCTTCAAGGCCGGTCTCAAGACCTTTCTCTTTGACCTTCAGCCTTCAGCTCCTCTCTCGACTCTCTACCCCCTCCTCACTCCCTCCCTTCCCTCCCCTCACCCTGACCATTTCCCCCCTCCTCGCTCCCTCCCCTCACCCTGACCATTTCCCCCCAATGCTCGGGTCCTGAACCAACTGTCCAGCGCTTTGGGACATCCTCCCGACGTGAAAGGCGCTTTATAAATTGAATCTTGTTGTTGTTGTTGCAAAAGATAGTATTTCTAATAAAATTGAGGTCATATTTATTTGCAAAAAACATTTTTGAAACGTGCTATACAGAGAGCTATAAATATGCAAGTTCTGACTTTAATCCATTGAACATTTTGGATTTTATATCCCCACTAACACAAACCTTGTTATATTTTTATTGATCACGGTATGCATTGAGAGGAAATGGTGCTGATTGATACAACTGTATCGCAGCTATTGTGAACAGTGGGATTGAACATAAGGCGACAATTGCTATATAGTCCTTAACTAGAGATCTCTGCTTATCCAGTGATAAGGATTATGTGCCGCTATTTTTTTTCTTTCTGAATGTAATTGTGGAATTATTATAGCCAGAAGCAGGCCATTTGCCCCATCAGATCTACTCTGGTGTTGTTCTCTTTATGAGACAATCTAATCCTACCCTCCTGCTCACTCCCCACCCCCTTTAATGTTCCCCCTCTTCAAGAATATATTTAAAACTCCTTTAAAAAAATTAGTAGATTCCATTCAAGTTGGGAGCAAAGAATATACTGGAGAGTTTAATAATGTTTCTGATACGGTCATAAAACATTCTCACATGATGCATCACCTCATTCCCCCAAGGATGAAAACAAGATGGAAAAGCTCACAGCACATCCTGCAATAAACTACTATTTTAGGCGTATCCTAATGCATTTTATAAATGTGTGCTCAATGTTTCCTTTCAGACCAACTAAACCTGTTCTTCAATTTTTTTTCTGTGATAAGATCTGTTGGTTTTCCACTTATTATCGTTGCAACATGAAGGTATTGCCCAAGGAGTTGCCATTCCAGGGAGCGCTGTTCAGAGTAAATGGGCAGCTTTATGGAACAGGATGTTTCTGTTTTGTTGAAATCATTTACGTTTTTCTAAATCCCGGGAGAAAACCACCATGTAAAACCTACGTGAAAGAAAACACAGCCCTGACACAGTTCATTCCTGTTAAGTTAATAACTTGTTTCCTTGTCTGATCGCTTAGAATTGAGTCATAGAAAAGAGCAACAAAGCCATTCCAAACCATTCACGTCACACAAAACTTCAAGCCAGTTTCAATCAGACTGTTACATTTCATTTCATTCAAGCTATCCAGTTCTCAGCGGTGTTTTCCTCCACATGAGATATTCGGTCCAACCCACTCTCCTGCTCACTACCATATCTTTATTAATCCTGTTTTCAAGCATAGGTTTAATTAGTTGAAAGTGGCCAATCCCATGAGGTACAAAAGGAAGACTCTTTCTCTTTCTCTCTCTCTTTTCCCTTTCCTTTTTATCACATCTTTTAAGTTCACGTCCCATCTCTGTCCCTACACACTCACTTCTTTCTCACACCTTCCCTACTCACTCCTCTCCCCTCTCCATTTCCTCTCAGTCAATCCTCTGTGGTGATCTCATCAGTCTGGTTCCTCAGCCACTCAGGTCTGCAGTACAGTAAGATAATATATACACTTACATATCGCTGGAAGTACTCCAAGAGTACTGCTGATAGCAAACTAATGAGCCTGGTTCATCAGCAGACTTGGAAGGACAGATCAGTCATTGGTGGCAGGGATTCTACCTGCTAAGCTTCTGCTAACACTGCAAGTCAAAGCCCTAGCGGGCAAGGTGGTGCTAACTGCACAAGCAGCAGGAAGCTTGCAAGAATGCACTTTCAATGGAAAACTATACGATTTTAGCTGGTTAAACCCCAACAGTACTCCAACACACATCTCCAAGCCTTGGACCTTATCAACCTTAACCTAATACTCTATGGAATTAGGTAAGATGGGTGCAACATTCTCCAGGAGAGAGGATTCTTTCCATTCTAGACATAGCGAAATTTCTATCCATAGGTGGCAATACATAATCTGTCAGGTTTGAATAGTCAATGACAGGTGACTCGTGACAGTGACAGGTTTCCACAAATCAGACACCCGGCTGACCCTTTGAGCCTTTCTGCCATTCAATGAGATCATGGCTGATCTGTACCTCTAATCCTGTCAAATCCAATTTCCCACTACCCTGACCTACCAAAATCTATCAACCTCACTCTTGAAGTGTGGATGGATCCAGCATCCACAGCCTTTTGGGGGAGAGAATTCCAGATTTCTACCACTCTTTAAGTGAAAAAATGCTCCTGATTTCACTCTTAAATGGCCTGGTTCTAATTTTAAGACTATTCCCCCTCGTCTTGGATTCCCCCACCAGAGGAAATAACTTCTCTGCATCTACCCTCTCAAATCCCTTTATCATCTTAAATACCTCAATCAAATCACCCCTCAACCTTCTAAACTCGAGGGAATACCATGCAAGTTTACACAGCCTTTCCTCGTAACTTAACCCTTTAAGGTCTGGTAACATTCTAGTGAACCTGTGCTTTACCCTCTCCAGGGACAATATATCTTTCCAGCGATGCGGTGCCCAAAAGTGAACGCAGTCTCCAGATGGGGTCTGACTAACCCTCTATACAGCTGAAGCATCATTTCTTCCCCTTTGTATTCCTTGAGATAAAGGTCAACATTCCATTCACCTTTTTGATTACTTTTTGCACCTGGGAATCAGTTTTTAGTGATTTGTGCATATGGACACCCAAATCTCTTTGCTCCTCCACGGTTCTTAGTCTCTCCCCATTAATAAAATATTCTGCTTCACCTTTTTTTGATTCATAGTGGATGAGCTTGCACTTCCCTCCACTGAACTCCATTTGCCGGGGGAGACGCAATTCAGGTGTGGAGCATCTTCCTATCACTGCAGTGTTACGGTGAGTCCCACTGCTACTTTTGGCTAGGATTCCCCGCTGCCGCTCTCCTGGTCAGACCCAAGGCACAGTGTGACACCTCCCAGGCCACCAAGGTGACAAGGTGCTCGCCTTTGGCTCGGATCTAGTGTTGGCCTGGTTCAGGTATGTGTGGTATTGTATTCAGACACTCAGATGCTCAGTCACTCTCCCACTACAGTACATAACAGTTTTACACTTTATTATTCTAAGAATATCAGACTCCTCCCCACGTGAAAGGTGCTATGTAAATACAATTTGTTGTTGTTATTATTACTGACAGCAAAAGGCCAAATCTGAACCGGGTTTAGTGGCCCTAACAAGATTATACAGATTTTTAAAAGAATCTATGGACTCTGCTTGAACAATTAATTTGCTGCAGTAAATTTCATTTTCCAGCCACCGTCTGGGTAAAGAATTTTTTTCTAACCACCTCAACTCAGATTATCACATACAGTATCTCCCACCACAGCCCAACTCGGCCTGCAGACACAGAGTAAGGTCTTCCAGAGAGGAATTAATCCACCATCTTAAGCCACAGTACTTTGCTGAGCTGCCAACAATTTGAATTTTCAGACTTTGTAAAGAGAGCCCGAAAACAAATAAGAAAAATTGC